AGTAAGGCAAGTTTCATTCTCAGGAGGATCTCATTATCAAGGGATTCAGAGTTAAGGTTTCTACCAAGAGATTCTACCAGAATGATTACTAATTCTCACACACCTTCTGCGGTATTATTATCATTTGCGTTGTCATTTTTTACAATGACGAAACACTAAAACAGGAAAAAAAACGATAATTATTTATTTCAGAGAAAGAAAAAAATTATTACAAAAAGAGCTCATGAAAAACAGAGTAATTATTGCATTCGTTAATGAGTAAAATTTATGTTATTATTCCCTCTAATTAGAAAAATAGCTGATGAGTACTTTATTTTTGATTAAAAATAGAAGAAGTTTAAAAAAAAAATTATACGTTAAAATTTATGATTAAAATTCCAAAATAAATTTATATTAAAAATGGTTATTAATTGTTATTACTTATTAATTAATCAAAATAAAAGATGGATAACATTTTTTATATTCTTTCTAATGAAAAATGTATATAGTTAATGAATTAAAAATATTTCCGCAACGATTTATAGCAAAAATATGCGTGTTTAAATCAGCTCTATAAATCCTGATTAATGTTGAGAAGAGATAAAGTTAATGATAATTTATATTTAACAATATTTATGCAGTAACAATAATAAATCAATTGACATTAATTACAATGTTGATTGAAAAAATTTAATTATCTTCCATTATTTCGATATGATAAAAAATAATGAAATGTCGATGTTAAACATTGCTTAATGTCTTTATAATTTTAGAGCTCTCAGTCTCATTTCATTCGGAGCAGAAAAAAAGATAGAATAGCGAAAAAAGTTTAAATTAGAGGTTCTTACATATACTTAATGAGTAAGGTCGTCGGACTGTCTTGAACAATGCCAGTTCATTTGTAATTTTTTAAATACTCTTTATTTTTTAAAAATGTTCAAATAATTTATTCAAGACTTCATGAATTTATTATCAAGTACGAGGTCTTATCTTCATAAACCTTTTTTTCATGAATATTTCGATGGACATATTAAGAAAAGATTTCTCAACGACTGTATTTTAAACTTAAATTACTGACAACTTTTGATATAATTCTTTTCCAATTATTAAATTATTTATCAAAGACTTGATGAATATTCTAAGTTCATAACTCAAGTCTTTTTCGTATTTGAAATCATCTCGTTACTAAAATTTTGATAGAGAAAAAAAATTATTCTCTTTAAAAACCATACAGTAAATTATTAATAAATAATAAAAATTTTTCCAATAAAATTTTTTCTTATTCACTGAGCCCTCTATAAATTCATTATCGAGAGACAGTCTCCCTTTTAATTCACTTCTCTTTGTGAACGAAAATATCGATAATAAAACGTCAAATACTTTTTACAAGGAAATTTTTATCGGTGATTATATTTTTACCCTTAAGCTATTCCAGGTATTACAATGGATTTTTATGAATTTTTGGAATAGTTACTCCAAAATAGAGATAGCACAGAAATCGAGTGCTTTTAGATGGATCCGAAAAATTTAATTGAAGAGAATGGACGACATCAATCATTTAGTAATTGATACCAATAATATAGAATAAAAAAAAAATAATAATTACTTACAGATAATTGGATAAACCAATGAAAAAAATGTTCATTCTTTGGCAACATTAAAAAGTCAATAGCATTGTTCATGCTTGAATGATAACGAATTATAAGAATCACTCAACGAAGCATTGCAGAACCTCAAAGAAGCTAAATAAAAAGGTGATAAATCAGAACTAATAATATCAATGAAGAAAAAAAAGTTCAACAAATGAATATTATTCCCATGTCAAATGATGTAAAAAAAATTGACGAATCCATTTCCGTCAGCGTGTCATTGCAATAACAAAGTAAAAAGTTGAATTCACTTTTCTACAATAATTCATCACTGGTGTATTAAAAGTCATTGAGGCATATAAGCACGAGGGGAATACATATGTGGTTTTAAAAAAGTAATACATATACGATGGTGATAGAAAGGCATATTTTGAATGAGGGTGGCATAGAATACAAAAGAGTATAGAAAATGAGTATGCATATTCTAGAAGTTGTTGGATCTTTCCTCGAATCAACGACATTCTGTGCAAAGGGACAGGAATCAGGGAGATAGTCCTTGAAGCTATATATACCACACGACGAAGTAGTTCCAGTCATGGAACAGGGTGGTGTAGTGTAACCTGTTTTCATTTTTATTGTCTGCATCAGGTTTCAACGCAGGTGAGCTGAAGCCCCCGCTAAACAACTCTCGTATTCCTGAGCACCATTGCCAACTCCTTCTTTCATTACCTTACCGGACTAGTCCACGCAATATTTTCTCTTCTCTTCATTATCTTTATTCCATCTCGTTATAATTTTCCACGCAGACTAATAATGCAATGGTTTCTCAAGGTATATAACACAAATGTACTTGTAATTTTCGCGGCTTACACGCAAGAACAAATGATAATAGACTGTAATAGTTAATTCCATTGAAGAGAAATAGAGATGGAGAATCATTTAATTCAAGGATGCGGTTTGATTCACGCTGGTAGCAGAGAATCAATGAAGAACAGATCCAATGCCAGAGATGCGGTTTCAAAGTTATACCACTCTGTCGTCGTTTCTATGGAAATACCTAACTTGAATATCTGCAGATCCAAAATCCACTTGCGCCATCACGCGAGCCCACAAAACTTATAGTCCGTGAAGTAATGTTTGCGCGATTACAACTGTAGAGATTGGCTTAACTCAGGTACAAGTAATCCACTCTCGATAATCTGATGTGTGTTTCAATAGAAATCTCCAAGTGAAATTGCAGTTTTGCTAAGACTACATAAGCGTCATTTGCTTCATGATGAAATAACACAAAGAGTTAAATTATCTCATGTTTTTTCTCTTATATTTTTGCCTTGTCATGAAGAAATATACATTCCCTGCAGTGTCGTGGCACGCGAGCTGGTACTTATCATCGCGAGCGTCCGGAAATTGGATTGGATGAGGGTAACATTATCGTAGACATTATTTTTTGTAACTAGAACGCACGCTTTGGCTTAAGGGTGTAATTAAATTATATTTTTCTTCTTTTACATACAACAAACAAAAAACAACGCTAAATTAAAATTCTACAATAAACAGATTGCTTTTTACTCAAGTGGAATACTTTTTGCATAGAAAATGTTTATATTATGGATGATTTATAGATATATATTTAGCCTTTCTTCAGACCCGTATACTTGTAATTTATGTGTCGAGAAGAAAAAGTTTTTTTTTTTTCTAGAAAATATTTTTCAAGTCGTCGTTAAGAAGTTTCTTTTTGTTTAAACTACTAATTATTTAAATAAATTAAATTGTAAATTACTACAAAAAAAGTAACATCCAACTTTTCTGTAATAATACAGAGATGTCCAACAACAATAATTTATGTCAAAATAAACTCACGAAAAGTAATTTCAATTAAAAAAATATATTCTACTCCATTTTTTATAAAATCAAAGATTATCATCTGCACAAAAGAATACAATTCAAACTGATGTAAATAAACTTCTCACTTATTTCAATTGAATATCTGTAGAGTAAAAATATCACCTTCATAAAATATGTACTAGTTTTTTCTAAAAACATATCCATCAAAAAAAATACATGGAAATATTGGTGAAGATATTATTGATTTCAGGAATCGGTCAATGTATTAAGTAACTTCTTGTCTTCATGCTAAATATATGTACCAACAGTTTCGGCAATCAATAAATTTAATTGTAACCAGAATCCAATTGCAGCATGTTCTAAACATGCCTTCAATGAGAAGCTATTTATTAGCACAATAGCCTGTATGTAATTCCAAGTCAGAGAGTATGCGGACGACATGTAATGTGTATCATACGTATTATTATATTATATAGTTCGAACAGACAGGCAACAGGTCTTAATCAAGAGCTTGACTCTGGTCATCTGATATGCATAGATACATGATCTATTTCATTCTTCAATCTTAATGCATTGTACGTCCGATACCCAATTTATGGAAACTGATCTCATGCAGTCACGCATGACTTTATTTGCGTCTAAATAAAGAAATTGATGGATGGTTAAAATTACGTGAGTGAAATTTTTAAAACATAGTTACTTTCATTAACAAAATAATTGTCTGTTTTATGTCATTTACTGATTCAATACTTCATTAATAAATTGATTGATTGACGAATATATACAATGTAATATTGTCAAGAGAAAACAACTCAACCAGATGGTATGATTGAAGAATAATGGTATTGTCAATTTTAGGTAAAGTATGTAAAAAACATGCCAACGTGAACTAACCAATGTTTTACGCCATTATTCAGATACAAGAGCTTAATTGAAAGTTTATTAGCGGTAAAATAAAAAAAGACGGTATTGAAATCAATACAAGACAATAGCTTGATTAGTGTAATGAACGTTGTTAACTAGAATGATCAAGTAAACATTTTTATTCAAACTGAAATTTACCTTCTCTGATATTTTTTAATTTGTATTTGATCGTTACATTTTCAAATTATGTCTGACTGTTGTTTGACAAACACACTTTTAGCGTATAAAATTATATTCTTATAAAATGAATTCTTACCTGAATATCGATGAATCATCAAATATTATTTAGCAAAAATAAAATCTTCTTCTCAACAACAAGCTTCTTTTTCATCTTGTAAAGATATGCGCAAAAATGATGCGCAATTGTGATAGTCGATAAAATTAATTGTATCGATGTTTTTTCGATTGATCGATCATGCGATAAAAAGCGCCTAATTTAAATGTTTTACAATTCAAATTTTCATAAACTCCATTTTTCTGCAGTAACTGGAAATGAATAAAGAACATTAAAATTAGTATTCGAATACAAATATATATGACTTCCATTGTTTATACCTATGTCAACTTATATTTTATTTTTACCAGAAAAAAAATGAATAATCACTAAAGTATTTGTTATTTATAATGTTGAATCCAAACAAATAACATAAAATAAAAGAAACATTTAAATAATAAAGAATTTCGTTTTGTGCTCATATATGTTATTCACATCGTAATTATACACAATCAACGATTTAGGATAATGATTTTTAATATCTACTTGAACATTCCTGCATCATTATAACTTTTAGAAGAAAGTTATTCAATTTTACTCTCTCTCCTTTTTTCATTATTACAAATACATTTGATTTGTCAACAAATGATTGATAATTTTATATTACTTATATATTAAATGCATTATTTATGAAGTTTGTTTTATTTCACATTATAATTACGATATACTTGTCGTATGTAAAATGCAAACAAGTTGATTGATCATTTTTAAAAAATTGTGAAAAATTTAATGTCGCAGAAATTAGTATATTATTACATATTTATTATTAAAACCACCACAGGTTATATTAATTAATGTATTATTAAATATTTTAGTTAATTAACGAGTTCATTGTACATGCACATAATATACTGATGATAACAATACATTATTTCATTTATTATTATATTACTAATTTCTGCGACGATTGTTACTGAGCTTGTTTTACTCTTATTACCTCCATATAACGTACGCTCGTTCGTCAATATTTACAACAATGAATATATATCGACATCTCATAAATTCATACCTTGTAAGTGAATAAATTTTGCTATCGTACACATTGCATTATTAATTAACTTATAGGTACAGCATGGTAATAAAACAAATCCTCATTGTCACTTTACAAATGAAACACAAACAACTCAAGTTTATTCAAAATCCCTCATGAAGAATTATAGATATTTTCCATTTATCACTTTAGATAATACAGTTATGGCCAAAAAAATTTCAAACACAAAATTACATAGATTATTATAATATTCAATTTTTCAATAAATTATATATAATCATTATTTAGCATAAATCAATTTTTTATTTAAATTTACATTTTATGACGTTTTAGATAATTAATTCCAACACAATATTGAATTTGATAGCTATTTTTTACAGTATTTACTCCATTGGATAATTTTTCATTTTTATGGTAATAGGAACATTTTTATCCTTGTTTTTTAAGCTTATTCATGAGTGAAAAACTCATTAATATCCATGAAGGGTTACAATGTTATATCATGTAATGTAATGATGAAATTGTAATTTAAATTACAATACATCATAAATAAAAAAAAAAAAAAACATTATTTGAAGAATAATTAGCATAAAACAATGACATGTTTTTTATTATAATTGTGTTGGATTATTTTTGACCAATACCGTATCAGTATAATTATTATTACTTGATTCTCTTATCATTATGATTACTAATAATTTAACTATCGCTTAATAATTAACACAGTTAAGGAGACAATGGAATGAGGTCTTTGATAATAATAATAATGATTAATGTGAGGTATCAACTAACAGTGTGAATTCTATATCATTTTTTTTTGTTTTCTGGTTTTGCCTTTTTTCATCAACAATGTTCCTGCCTAAAGTAATAAAACAGTTTGAGAACACGATTTTTAAAATTTTTTTCTATGGTTTCATTCTTTTTATAATTGATTAACATTAATTTTAAAACGTATGTTGGAAAAATAAATCAATACTTTATAACATTTTGTTAATAATTATTGGCATCCGTTTCATTCCAAATAACATAGTATGAAAATTAGTTTAATTTTTATTGTTATTATTATTACTTTTTCTTCGTTTATATTCATACATATTAATCTCATATTCCCTCATACAGATTGCCTTGAGTACACGCCGCACGCTGTGTAATAATTACAAACGATGGTTAATTCGACATACATTTGTGGTACTAATTTCAGTTAATCGGCGATAATCAGCCTAAAATTTGTAAATCTCGAATAATTTTTATATTCATAATTAATGCAGTATTCGAGAATACATTACAATAAGAATGAAGAAATTAAAACTTTCTTAAATGATAACTTAATAGAAATAAACTCTTATCAATGTATATCATTTCATTGATACGAGTTTAGTTATAAATACATTCTTACAGCAAGCAGTAACGAATTACAATGAAGCCTGTATTGAATTACAGTCATTGAAAAAAAAAAAAATTGAAACTAATGAGAAGCGATTATTTAAGTAATAAAATCACATTTTTAAATTTTAATTAATGAAAGACAATAATTTTATCAATTAAAATACTTTTTAAAGCATGCTTGTTCTATGAGATTTCTAAATACTACTCACTATATAAATAAAAACCTTATAAAATCGTTAATACACGATAAAGTTTTTATTTAATCGATAAACAATAATAATTTAAGTACAAGAAACGTCTTTCATTTCCATTAATGAAACACATCCATTCTATTAAATCGTGGTCTTAAAGACATTTTAATCGAATGAAAAAAATTCTAGTCAATCAGATACATAATCAATGAAATTTTTTTTCAACGTGAATTGCATGCTTAAATCTTTCACGAGAATACAATAATAAAGAGAGAATTTTTAATGGCTGTAATCTAACAAAGATTTCACTGTAAATTTTTAATAAACAATTAATAATCTATAAGGGAAAACAGAGTTTTAACTTGAAAACTACAAACCATTATATTTATATTTAACTACCTATAGTATTATTAATATAGTGCAAAAATTTAATACATCATTTAAACGCCAATAAACTGTACGATTTTGTTTACAATAATCGAATCATCGTGCGAAAGTGAAAAACATTAGAATGAACGATGGAAACTGTATTCATTTTTCTTTTTTTTGAGTAATTTTTTTTTTGTTCAAACATCAGTAGAAAAAAATATTAGCTTGTGTATCCATATATTTACATCTCAGTGACAAATTATTTATTACTCCAAACTTAAGGTCACATTACCTAATACGATACACATACTTATTTATTTATCCATTATTTTAACTATTATTTTTCTCATTAAAGATTATCTATTTCATAGTCAAGTTTGGCAATGGTATTGTCCCTAGCTATTTGCATTATTATCGTGTAAAAGTTTATTCAGTAAGACACACAATTGCATTAAATGCTGCACATTTGAAGTTTTAGTAATTGCTAGTTTGTCTGTTTATTACTTATGTTGATAATTATAATGCTAAACTAGCATGGAAGATTTCCAGTTCTTTTTTTTGTTTCAGTATATTTGGTGGGTTAGCAAAGTATCGATTCTAATGTAGATAGGTACTTTATCTATATTTATATTTTATATGTATACTTTTTTATAATTATAAGTAAGATATTTTTATTTTATATATATTTGCATTTCTAGAAGAAGTAGAAATATGCTTGACAATGAAAGTAGGGCAGTATTAACATTCTCGCTAAATTTACATCGAGCTGGACTCCAGTCAAACCTGCGACGCATTGTGTCAATAGTAAAACAAAATTAAAATTAAAAATAATTTAATTAATTGTTATTAACAGTTTTAAATATTTCAACCTTTTCTTTTGGCACTCTAATACCTTTTTATGTATGGACAACAATTTGAAAGAAATTCATCTTTATATACAAATTTAAAATCCAAAAAAAAAAAAAAATTGATATTTACTCCGACACGTTAACGCGTTTAAACAGTCTCGCAGATATCCAGTTATGGTCACCAGTATCCGAATGACTCCAAACGTTCACAACAATAATATAATTAAAGATTTTGGAGAACAGTTGAAAAAGTTAAAAACGTAACTTTAATAGTATTCACTACTACGTTGTTATTTATATCAATTTTTGGATGTAAAAATCATGCAGATATAAAATTGAAAATAATATTTATTTATAAACTAAAAAAACTTTTGAGCTCGATAAATACGTAATTTAAATAAAGGCCACAGTATCTGACGAATATCATCCTTATGGCGTTTTCAATGATCCAACAAAGGATGATGTTTAGTAAGTTTCATGTATTCAGAGTAAGTAAAAAATGAATAACTCAATGCAAATAAAAAATTTAAAAAATTATTTTACGTACAAAAAATGGGTTACTAGAAGCGAGGTTGAAAGGTATCTATAACAATTAATCGTTCACTCTCAGTTTCAATATAGATGAAAAATCGATCGGATATTTTAGACCAATACTGTCGCTGTATTATTTATGAAGCCGTTGAGTTAAATAGTGTACGTACAAGATGTAGCTAGCGAATAATTAACACTTTGTTTCAAGATTGGCCTTTTGGACATTGATAGAAATCGTTAATTTTTCATTATGTAATGCTCTAAGGTCAGGCGCCGATAATGATACACTGTTTGAAGTTGGAATTTGTTGTCCAATTTCATCAAGAGATACAATTTCAGTTCCAGTTGGTGAATAACTCAGAGTTGTTGCTTCACTAGTCGGAGATGTCACGCAACTGTCACCCACACTTCTACTACGTGATGTCGTTGAATGAGATTTTTTTAACGGATTAATGTTTAATGATAAACTGGTTTGAAGTGTAGCTTTTTCCGCAGAAAGTGGTTGTAGAAAATTTCCCATCGAAGAATCTGTGGCACGAGGACTCTTGGGACGTGCTACGTGTAATGGACTTTCAGGACTTATTGCTGTTGGCGATGTATTTCCAAGAATTTTCGAACTAGCAGCCAATCGACTGGCACACGGAGAATATTTCGATAAATTGTTAGCAAACGGTGGACGACCATTATAACAGTGAAGACTTTGATTAATAGTAACTTTATCAGGTGTAATAGTTAATGAAGATCGATTAAATTTTTTCAATGGACTTACTGCATTTGAAAATTTTCTACTCTTTATTGATGGTCTATCAACGGAAAGACTTTTCCCTTGAAATTTAGGTTTTTCTTGATTTTCTGCATCATCATTTGTAGATTGATTAACATTCTTTCCATTTAATAAATGAACTTGATTTGATTCCGATGAATTGGAGTCATCATCAGCGCTATCTCCATTGCACTTTTTTCCCTTATTGTTATTTATGTTTTGTGTTCGTGTAACTTTATTACAACAACGAACATTACTTATTTTTAAACAATGAGACTCAACTACTGATTCTACTGAGTTAAAATTAACCTGAACTGCAACAGTCTTCTTTTTTAATTTGCACTGCTCTATGTTTTTGTTAGGAGTTTCATGTGAAAAAATTGATATTGAATTGTCGGGACATTGGGAACAATTTTCCATTTGTATTTTTACTAATATTGTATGACCTGTTTGATCTAAATCATCATCAGTACCAAGGCCGATAGATTTTTTTCTAGTCTGATTGTCCTCGTCAGGTCCAGTCGCAACATCACGACGATTAGATACATTATCTGTATTCTTTTTATTTTTTTTCCAATTAAAAATGTTTGCAGTTTTCTTTTGTTTTGGTTCCTCATTATCAGATTTATTAATCGTAGATTGATGATTCACAGAAGAACCTTTGGAGTTATTTTTATGATTAGAGTCTTTTGATTCGTCACATTCAATGTTCATTTGTTCTTCACAAAAAAATAAAACTTGATCGCTAGATTCTGGTGGATCATTGTCGCAAAGCCACATGGTACGACTAATAGTATTTACCTTTGCACGACTTATAGTATTTATTTTTGTACGGCTAATAGTATTTACCTTCGCACGATTCGCACGATTAATAGTATTTAACTTCGTACGACTAACACTATCATTATCGCCTTGGTCTCCCTGATTTTGGGAGCTACTCAATAGACGTCAGTTTACTAATTCTACGCTTACAAAGTGCTTCAGTCGTTCTAAATACTGATTATAGAGTTCCACGTCATTATGACCAGCTCCCTGAAATTATCATATTTTAATACTCATAAGTTATCTTTAATCAATAAAAAAAATCAAGCAACAATGGTCAAAATTAATTCATCAATTTCTGCATTTATAAGAATACGAAGAGAATCAACTCAAGTATTTACATTTTGTTGCCATTTAATGAAGAATAATTAATTGAAAAATTTATCAAGTTTAACATACAATGTTTTCATTTTAAAATATCTATCATGGACTTTAAACAGTATTTACTACAAGTATTATAATGATTGGCTCACGAGTAATAAACACCTGAGGTAAATAGAAAAATTCTCCTGAGTCACCAAGTAATTCGATGACTAGAATTATAAATAAAAAAAAAAGAGGACAATATTGAAACTAAAAGTATATGCTGAAAGTAACATTATTCATTATTCAACACGAACAAAAATAAAATTGACCAATTATTTTGACCATTCAACTATATTGTTTGTTTTCATTTTATTCATACCTCAACCCACAATGGTTCAACAGCCCTGGGACATCTCTCGTAAATCGCTAGTCCATGACTGATATTTATGACATCATCTTCCGTGCCATGTATTACCAACACAGGTGACATTACTTTTGGTACTTTGTCTATACTGTAAAGAACAAAAAGCAGAAAACACACGCTATCAATATTAATCAAAACAACGTTAGCAAGATAATATAGGTGATTTACCTGAGGAAAGCGTCAAAGAACCAAGTTCTTTTAGTATTAGGGAATACAACTCTCATGCCCGACATCAAAGGAGAGTGAAGAATAACTGCTCCTACTTCATATCTAGCAGCAAGATCAACAGTGGGCACAGTACCAATACTCTGACCGTATAGAATAATATTTTCAGGACTAATCCCATATCTAGTTCTTAATGCGTGCCAGGCAGCATCGATGTCAGCATAAAGATTTTTTTCTGATGGCTTACCACCTGATACTCCATAACCGGAGTAATCATAACTAAAAATATTGCAATTAATTCTGGATCCAAGACCAAGATAAAAACTTGACATATGACCCAAATCTACAGCATTTCCATGAGAAAAGAGAATGGTGAATCGAGCTGTAGCTGAGCAACGAACGAATAGACATGCAATTCGATTGCCCCGTGACGTTCTAGCATAAAAGCCTTCAATAGATTCTTTCTCTCTTTCAGTATAATGCCACTCTGCTCTCTTTGATAAAGATATTGCAAACTTAGAACCTTCGTCCTCAACAAAGCTGTACGTTGGTTCCGGAGGTGCGAATGCAAGCTTTGCTACTATTCTGGACGGACAGGGCGGGCAGCAAAAAAGAGAACAGAATTCGCCAAGTGAATTCATTTTAATTGCTTCGCGGAGAAATTACCTACACTCGCGAAAGCACTAGTTTTTATCACGTCCCGAGATTCGAACTACACATCTGTTATACTCAATTGTCTACTGAAAAGTTTAATGACTTTTTTCACAAGATTTACAAGCACCACGCTCGTATACATATACGCCTATTGACTCAGCTGTAGCATCATTTGTTATTACCGTCGATCACGTCCAGTAGAGGCGCTACTACGTGTCAACATGGACGGCGGACATGACCTGCGCCCTCTAATGAACTACTTTCATATTATTTCAATATTTACAATGTAAATATTTTTTTTTATTTATTTCATTCCAATCAATAGTTTCTTTTTTATTTATTATTCAATATTTTTTCAAACATTAAGTATTACTTACATCGAATTATAAATATTTATGTCACTTAGGATCGTTAAATATATATAAATGTACATAATTTTGTTGTTTACAAGGTTATGCAAAAGCTAGATATATTGAATTCATTTCAATTGAAAAATTTATAAATACATATTGAAAATAAGAGCAATATTTTAAGATCGGTCTGTTAAACTTGGAAAATTTAATGAAATTTTCTTTCTACGCATTTTCTTTGAAATTTGAAGCTATTAACAGCTTTTCCGCCACTTTTGTTAGTTATTACTGTTTTCCACCACTAGGGGAAAATTCTAATACGCCATCTACACATCATTCACTTGATTGTTCCTATTCTGTTTATCCGATAACTGCATCAGCTGTCAAATTCATCGACATTATTGCAGATATTTAATTGAATCATTGGTAAATTAACATAACTCTTACATTTGTCATCATTACACTAGGGGTATCGATGACTCGATTGTTTTCTATTAATGAATTCAACTTACTTGTTTTATATTTAATCATTGTTTCTGAATTTTCTAATCAAACAATTATTGACCTAAAATATTAATAAAAAGTTATTAAATATTTTCACTAAAGTACTATAGAAAGTTAACGATAAATAGTAAAAAAACGTTCGAGGAGTTTAATGAAGTGTATCAAGTGTACTTAAGTAAGTTATACTAAGGTAAGAAAAATAATGTAAAATTATTACTCCGATGATTCAACTATTTCTAAGGAAAAAGGATATTAGGAAAAATTTCTTCGTCTATTACTCATCTTAAATTATCTTTATGTGTTCTACTTTTTGATTGTAGTTAACTTCCTCTAACTTATCACTGACATAATTGCATAAATTCATTGAATTTGTAGTCAATTTGGAATGCAGGCATGGCTGCCAGTGGAGGTGGGAGTTTCATAAGTAAACCTGTACGAGGATGGTTACACCCAGACAATTTAATAAGCAAGGAAGGCATCACTTATGCCGTTAAGGTATAATTAGTTACATGAATGATTCTTTTAGGTTCATTAGTTATATCTTTTTTAAATTATTTCCATTAAATAATAATCTTTTTGTAGTATATTGGATGCCTTGAAGTCTATACCTCTATGAAAAGTTTGGACTTCGAAACAAGATCATGTGTTGCCAAGTAAATATTAACATCTTATATTTGTTAATCAATCATTGAATGTATAATCTTATATTTAATCATGTTCTTTCAGAGAATGCATAAGTCGAGTATGCGAAGCTGCAGGTATAAAGTCTGCTGATAAAAAAAGAAGAGTACGTTGTTTTATTTAAAGATAAAAGAACAAAATATTCATAATAATAATTTTTGAATTATTCAAAATATTTTTTAATATTCTAGGTTGGTCGTAGAGTCTTGAAAGCAATTGCTAACAAACCTTGCATGGAACATGCAGGAGAAAACATTAATTTAACCATAAGCAGTACCAGTTTATCTCTTACAAGTCTTGATACTGATCAAATTATTGCAAAACACGGAATGCCGCGAATTTCTTTTGCCTCAGGAGGAGACACTGAAATTCTTGACTTCGTAGCTTACGTCGCCAAGGATATGCAAGAATGGAGAGCTTGTTATGTTCTCGAGTGCGGTGGGGGGCTTGCACAAGATGTTATTTCTACAATTGGACAAGCTTTTGAACTTAGGTTTAAAGAATTTCTCACAAAACCTACGTCATTACAGTAAGTTTCTTTTCCTAGTTTTCTTCATCATCGTAAAGTCAGTTAAATAGTCAACTAATTTTTTAAAATTTAAATTATTTAATTTTTAGTCCTGTATTAAATGGAATACGAGAACCAGAAAGAGATTATTATAACGATTTACCCGGAAAAATTCCACCGGATATTGGACCACCGCCAGTTCCTCCACTTCCAATGACAGCATCGACTTTACCTAATTTAAAATATCATCATTCAAGTCAAAATCATGTAGGGAATAGTATGCAGTCAACTTCCTCAGATCCGTTCCCCAGTAATCGAAGTAGACATGCTTCAACAGCTCAACAATGGCCAGGTATCATATTTATTTATACATTGAAACAAATTTGTTTGCGTGGTCTTCTAGTAGTTTAACTCATTAATTTTATAGAGACGGGTAATTTAATTGACTTAAGCTCAGATGGAGCAACATCTTTACCACCACCTCAACCAGAGCATAATTATGTAAACGACACAGTTATTGCCGCTAATAGAGATTGTAGAAAAGATCCTTCTTCAATGTTTGATGTATTTGATATGCGTAAGTAAAATTTTTCAAAAGCTTTTTTATCTCGATTACGTCTTATACATATTCAGAAGTCTTTTACATTTCAAATTATTTTGAATTCACAGAGCCATTTAGCACAGCAATTTCAGAGATGAACAAATTAAGTCCAAGATCTCAAAAACAACAATTAAAATTAGAGGTTTGGTATCATGGGAGTGTCAGTCGGTCTGAAGCAGAAGCAATGCTTACAAAAGACGGGGATTTCTTGGTTCGAGAATCTCAAGGTTCTCCAGGTCAATATGTTTTAACAGGAATGAATAATGGAACTCCAAAGCATTTATTACTAATTGATCCTGAAGGAGTAGTATGTGTTCTTTATTAAATTGCATACAATATTGTATAACTTAATTTTAAAATTTAAAATATTTTCTTCTCTAGGTTCGTACAAAGGATCGTATTTTTGATAGTGTCAGTCATTTAGTAAATCACCACTGCGACAACGCCTTGCCAATTATTTCCGCCGATAGTGCTCTAGTACTTCGATATCCAGTACCGAAACGCACAGAATTTTGATTTTAATTTTAAAGCCAAAATTTGCTCGCTGGTGGCCAATAGAAGTATAAATTTAAAGAATTGTGTTAAAATTTATAAAATATTGGATGTTGATTTAAATGTTTGTGTTAAATCACACGTCATATTATTAGGCCCTAACAGAAGAAAGAAAGAGACTGGGAAGTTTTTTTACAGTGCCACGAATGATTACCACATAACAAATTTTCATTAATTTTTTATTCATTCTGTGAAATTTTTTTTTTACTATGAAACTTATAATGAGTATAAAAAAGATCATATAATAGTAGATTAAACATAAGACAGATAAACTTTCCTCTACAATAATATTATTTTTATATGTATTTTAGACACATTAAATTACATACAATTAAAAATATTTTAATTGGAAGGAAATTTTTATAGAGAATGAATAGAGATTATTAATAAAATAATCAACTGAATATTCATTCCTAAGTCAAGAATAATTTCCATGGTCATAATAAAAATTGAAAGATAAATTTTAACCAATAAAATACTTTTTTATATTTTCGTAAATGAAATGAGCCATAAATAAATGATCGAGAGCCATTTAAATATGAAATGTTGAATTTTATTATTATTTACATATTTATTAGAACTTTATTATAAATTACGACAAAATGCGGTCTAATAATTATATTCATCGAATTATTTAATCATGTCAATAATAAAGTCTTTTACCTCATAAATATTCTGAAGAATTTCTTAACTCAAGTAATTCATTAAATCCTTCCAATACCCATTCAATGAAAAATTCTTTAGAATTTTTTTCATCTGGTATCTTAACAATTAAAGAATTTGGAATAAATCCAATAAAACTCTCAGTGTTATAATACTCCAAATAATCATCAAAGTAATTTGGAATAATTTTAGTTTTATTTGGAACTTTTTTTATATTTGAATATTCTTCTTTAATTGCCCAAATATTGTGAGGAGGAATAACTTCGATATTTTTAGACGATAATCCTAATAAATTATTCATATATTTTTCCCATTCGTCTGAACTCATTGAAGCTCTTCTTTTAGATAATTTTTTTTCTCTATTTGTATTTGACTCCTCAATTTTAAGGATATCTTCATCACGAAATTTTAATTGCATACACATCTGTTGTTGGATTACTAAGTCAAGACGTGGAACATCTGAGGAAGGGTCTAAAGAGCCAAGGGGGACACTGCTGACAGGATAAAGAGCTTGTTTTTTAAATTCATCTTTTTCGTAGACATGATAATCATCATGTCTAGGCATTGCATCTTCCTCTATGTCTTCAGGAATATTATTAATTTTAATAATATTTCTGTATTTAGGAGATAAGTCTATAAAACAATGAAATTAATAAAATCTTTCATATTACAGAAAAGTAATTAAATTTATTATAATACGTACAATTATTAAAAGGCAAACGATATAAATGTTTTCCAACACTAAAAACAATGTCTCCTCTTAAGGAAGAGAAGGTAATTTTTTGCACACACACATTCACTTCTAAAATCTGATAAAATGAATAAATTTTAATATTTCACATAATGATATATTTTTATTCCTTACTTTTAGCAGCGAGTTTTGTGTATCCCATATTCTTATCGTGTAGTCTGCAGAGGATGTTGCGCATATTAAAAGAGTTTCGGAAGTCGCGATTCCTATTATTTTTTTATTGTGATTGTGCGATTCAGGATGATAAAGATTGACTGAAACGATAATAATAATTACTATCTAAACGATTACATGAATTTTGTTATTTAGGATATAAATAAACTGGACTTACTTTTTTCATTGGTATCATACATTATTAGTTGATGCATTGCAACATGTTCTGCAATACTTACTAAACAAACAGTGAATCTAGAAAAACAAATTTTTTAATTGATTTGATTTATATTATGTTAATTCTAGAAAATTACCCCATAGAATCTAAATCAGCAATTGGAATTGTGTAGTAAACATAATCAATTAATACTAGGAATGTTTTTATGAAAGGCAATATTTTCCAAATTTTTAAACATCTATCCATTCCCATGGAAAAAATTCGTTTAGATACGGTGGAAGAGTGTATTTTTATTATTGATGCCTCATGAGCCTGAAATAAGTCATTAATATAGAATTTATAATTAATGAAGAAAATATTTACTTTAATCGTATGTTCGTATTTGCCAGTTGTTTCTTCTAGAGATATAAGCTCTCCTGTATTTGTTCCGATAATTATTCGAGCACAATGGGGATGAACTACTTTATTATCTGCACGAAAAATAAAATTATAATAAATAAATATTCGTCTATTATGAAGTAAATCATTATAATCAACTTCCGATCTGAGTTATTTATTTCCTCAAAGTAATCATAAACGGTGATGTAAGTTATTTTTTTCTCACTAGACCAAGCGTATCTATGAGAAAATAATCATTTTATTAGAAAATTCGATTGTATAAATTTTTCTATGGATAACAATCCAATACTATGATGATAAAATTAATTTACCGTAATTCCATCGGAGTCGTAGCCGTATTGTTTACAAAAATTTGTGTAGATTCAGCAGAAATAAGATATACATTGCCTATTAAAATTTTTAATAATCAATAAATAATTCAAATAAAAAATACTGCTGATACAATCATTTCTGCAGATATTTGATTCTGATAAATTATTATAATAAGTATCATACCAGTGATAGCGCTATATGCTATTGATGATGAATTGAATTCTAATGGAAATAACATCATTGATAGCTGCTTGCCGGCTGGAGACAACATACTGATAACACCATCAGAACTACATACAATTATACGCGTTGGATGGGCGTAATTTTTTGTTGAAAATAAAATCTCAGCTGATGCTCTAAAAATTAAGATAATTTATTGGACAACTTTAATCGTAGATCTAACATTCTAATTCTAATAATAATTGTAAAAGTTATGTTATTACGTTAGTGGAGTAAAAAATACGTAAAGCTGATGTATACGAAAAAAACTCAATTTATCTCCAATAGCTGCAATCGAAGAAGTCATTTTGCTGACTGCAATAGAAGAAATGACACCAAGTTCTGAGAATGATTCCATCTAGAATTTTTTTCGAAGAAATCTACTAATTGTATTGCAAGCTTCATTTTTTACTAGAAGTTTTTTATTATACTTTTTCTCGAAGGTTACAGCTCCAAACTTGCAAGATATTATCTTCTGATGAAGTAATAAACCCACACAGTGAAGGATGAGAAACAATAGTTCTTACAGCACCTTTGAGCCCTTGCGAGTATTTAAATACATTTTCTAATGTTAAAGTCCATCCTAAAACTGAAAGTTATATTAATCATTTATTAGAAGTCAATTGGATTCTTCAGTCAGGGATAATAATTGTTACCATTGCCTTGCTGGTCTCCAACTATAATCCACTGACTCATCAAATCAAAATGCAATGCAGTGATGACAGAAACAGAAGCTTTTGATTTTCTAGCGAGAAATTCTACTGGAGCACCAACATCTTCATCCTCTCTATGATCTCCAGAAATAATGTAGATTGTAGTTAAATATGATCCAACAACTCTAAATGAAGTATCCATAGAGATGAAAGATGAATATTGAATTCCCCATAATGACCCATACGTTTGATCCATAAAATTAATAGCATCGTGAGGCATGAGAGATTTATCCAAAGAGCTCAAAGAGTATTTCTATAAGCAATAGTTGTGATAAATTGTTACTAAAAAGCTTTTTATTTCAATAAATAAAAAAATATTTACCATCAAACTGGTGAAACACATGACAATTAATTCTTTGGACGCAGAAGAATAAAATACATTGTTTATCTTGAAATCATTTCTTATTGTTTGGAGTAATTTACATTCTGGTGTTAGAATCCATATTAAATCATCATTGGGAATATAGCCAATCAAAAGCTTAATTCCTGAACACCAAAGTATTTTAGTAAATACCATACTTGAGGTCAGGTTATATGAAGGTTGAATAAATCTTCCTTGAATTGAGTATTTGTAAATTTTGAGGGTACTGTCTAAAATCATATATTCCTTAAAAAAATAACTGTATGAAATATATGAAAGTCGGATGTAAAAATAAATTCAGACAAACTTACTTGAACATCATCACAGTAACAAATATCCAAATATTCCTCAAATAGTTTTGTTGAAGTAATAATTTGCAATCCATGTTGAATTTTGGCTTCTACAATTCCATCAGATATAGATTCTTTCGTGCTTGTTAATAAACGCGCATTTATAGTATCTAACTTTGTTTTCCATGTTCTTTGTTTTTCTTTTAAATACCATGAATCAGCTACGTCCATTTTTTTCTAATTTAAATAAAATTATTCAAAACTCCCGGGGTTTTTTGACGAATCAGATTAAACTAAAGATGCATTTAAAATAATAATAAAGGCTGTTTTCATATAAAAACATTGGTTGAAATTTTTTTTTTACTGTTTATTTATTATTGTTGATTATTGCTGTTATCAAAATTTGAAGGTTGGAGAGATAAAACAACTTGTAACAGAAAAGTCATTGCCGAAGGTCATTCTTTGTCTCTGATAAATTTAGAGTTCATGAAGTTCATTCACTTGTTATTGAACAACATAACCAAAAATACACCTGAAATTCGCAGTTTCATCTAAAATTTAGAGAACAAAGTTGGTGAGATGTTGATATTTCATCATTTTACGTAGTATTTTACCAAAATAAATTGTCACACGAAATAAAATACAATAAAAACTAGAGTTGAGTGTGACTGACGTGTTCTGTACAGTGTACATTGGAGAAAAAATTTGGCAGGAGAGCTGTTCTCTCACCCAAGAAGTCACTATCTATTTTTGTTACAGACCAAGATCGATAAATTTTTGCATGTAAATCCACTCAAAATAGACGATGGCCTGTCCCACCGCGTATTTATAACGTAAATAGAGCGATGAAAGTGGCTATTGAGGTTAGCAAGTCGTTAAGCAAACAACAAGAAAGGAGCACCTTATATCAATCATTGACAGTATTGTTGTATTTATTATCAGATTGAAAAGATTTAACATTAAATAACGAAAATGTCGGTGAAACTTGACGCGTTAGCTATGCGTGTTTATTATGTGGTAAAGGAGGGTATGCCATTAATACTTTCTGCTTTGTTGAGTGACAAGACACCAGAGGAAATTGATTTTATCATCAATCAGGTAAAGAATATAGTTATAATATAATTTTTTCTAATAAAATCTAATGATTTTACATAATTTATTTATATTTTAGATTTATTTATTAATAGAATCTGGCAATAAACTAATAACTGACACGTGCAATCAGTCTTGTTTTTATGCTTGGCAGTATTTCAAATGACAATTGCGTTCTCAACTCAATCCGAAACAAAGAAACATAGTAGTGAACATCAATTAATTATTATTCTTAATTTTTGTAGAAAGTGCTAGATGATGATGGGCAAAAAAATACCCCCTTAATTTGTGCTGCACGTTATGGACATGAAAAAATTGTTAAGATGCTGATCGATAAATATAAACCAGATTTGGAGGTAGAAGGAACTGTAAAGTTTGATGGATTAACTGTTAAAAGTGCTACCGCCCTTTGGTGTGCTGCTGGTGTGTATTACAAAGCATAACTAACATATTTGCTTTAACAATTTCGTTCTGAACTTGAATAAAAGTGTCTTGTAGGTGCTGGCCATTTAAATGTTGTAAAAATACTTGTGAAAGCTGGAGCAAATGTGAATCATCCTACAAGCACTGATTCTACCCCTTTAAGAGCTGCGTGCTTTTATGGAAGACTTGATATCGTGAGTTACTTAACGAAACATAATGCAGATATTCACAAAACCAACAAATATAATAATTCATGTCTTATGATTGCTGCTCATAAAGGACATTTAAATATAGTAAGTACTAATTTTATTTTCTTATTTACATTATAACTTTAATATTCTCATCGTTTATTAGGTAACTTTTTTACTGGAAAATGGTGCCAACCCCAATGAAAAGGCGCACGATGGTGAAACAGCCCTTCATTTTGCAGCAGAATGGGGTCATTGTAAAATAGTTAAAGAGTTATTGAAATTTGGAGCCACAATAACAAAGAATGATGATGGATTAACTCCTTTGATGGCAGCTGCAGAACGTGTTCAACGTGATGTTGTTCAATGTTTAATAGAAACAACTGATTTATTTACCAAAGAAGAAATTATCGATGCCTATGAACTACTCGGAGCATCTTATGCTAATGACAAAGATAATTATTGCCCGGCATTAGCATATCTTTATCTTCATATGGGAATGGAATTGAGGTATTTAAGTAACACAGTCAGCTTGAAAGTTGAAATAAAATACCATTGTTTTACTTTTATACTTAAAACATATTTTTTCTGTTAGGTTTAGCGATCCTGCTAACATAATTCATAAAAAACCTCATCCACCTATTCCTGCTTATGAAAACTGGAAAGAAAGTGAAACAATGGAAAGGTTAGAGAGCCTTAAATGGAGTTTCAATGCTATTCATATGGAATCTCTAACCATTCGAGAAAGAATACTTGGAATTCATAATTTAGAACTTACTCATCCAATAATATACAGAGGTGCTGTTCTTGCCGATAACGCAAGATTTGACAGATGCATTGATTTATGGCTTCATGCATTGCAATTAAAACAGATAAACAATGTTGCTGTGGTGAAAGATCTTCTTAGATTTGCACAGGTAATTTTAACTCAATCAGTGGTAATGTTTTTCAATTAATAATAATTGCTAATCTTTCAATCAGGTATTTTCTCAAATGATTCATGTAGGAGGAGATCTCCAACTAATTCAAGTTATAAGTGTGTTGGAATCAATCGTTACAGAATTAGCAAAAAATAAATTGAGGATAAATAATTGCACATCGTCAGAAGAAATGGAACAATTTATGGTAATGAAACTAATCTGATGGTTTCTGTTTAATTTGAATATTATTTTTTATGATGTTTTTTTTCTAGGAAGAAATGGAGTCAAATATTACGACTACACTTTATATTCTAACTATCCTTGTAAAGTTGATTACATTGAATAAAAAGACTTGTAAAGAAGCAGAAATTGAAAACGCTTATCAATTAGTATATAAATTATGTGCCTTAAAAGTAACTTTACGAGATGGACAAACTTTTTTACATCTCGCTGTTAATTCAAAAACTCCTGTCGATGATTTCCATACTAAAGACGTTTGCAAGTATGTTTTATGATAAAATTCCAACATTTAATTTTTACATTTATCTAATAGACTTCTTTTATTAATAGGTTTCCATGTTATTCTACAGCAAAGTTGTTGATCCGGTGTGGAGCTGACGTAAATGCGATGGATGTTGACAGAAATACTCCTCTTCACGTGATTGTTACCTACGCGAAGCCTATAAAGTAAATATAAATTTTTGTATTTTTATAATTGTTACAAAATAACGTTATACATTTTATTTCAACAGTGATTTTATGACGTTGAACGGAATTATTGTTGAATTGATTGAGGCTGGAGCTCATATTGATATTGTTAATTCTCAAGGGAAAACTCCATATGATGCTGCAACGACGGGTAAGCTAATTGAATATGTTTATTGGCACTTTATCGAACTCTTTTATCACTAAAAAGATAAATAGTAAAGCCGCTCAGAAAATAATATCATTATTGAATAAATATATTAACATCGAGCGTGTAAATATTTATGATTTTTTTTAGGTGTTGCTGAAATCATTCTTCGAACGCAAACAACGTTATCTTTAAAGTGTATGGCGGCGAAAGCTGTAAAAACGTATGGACTATCATATGCTGGGAGTGTTCCCAAGTCACTTGAGAGTTTTATTGAACTTCACGGTTCTGGTCTTCAGCAAGGCTAATAGAACAGAATTTATTATTTTAACTAATAATCAAAAAGATATATTTAAAAAAAAAAATAACTTTTGTTAATTTTTCTATACTCAAAATGTAATCTTGTAAATATATGTATAATAAATATTGTTAACAAAATATTTATAAGTAGTTGGAATGATTCAATCTATTTTATACTGATAAAAATTATAGCCATTTGCCAAAATAGAACTTTAAAAAATCCGCGAAAATATACAACAGTGCTGTATCATGCAATGATTAGACCACTACTGAGGCTATGGAATATCATAATCGTGATTATTTTATGTAAATTTTGGAATCAACAGTTGGAATATTCGAATATTTATCAAAAAGTGATGTAGTGACATGATTGAGTGACACATGTAGATATTTAGGTGGAAAAAAATGAGGAAACATGTGTAAAGTGTATAAAAGAAGTTACGAAATGTTATGTATTACATTTAAATGAACAGTGATGATGGCTTTTTAAAGATGCCAAGTAAGTGAAAAAGCAACAGTTTTTTCTGTATTTCCAGCGTGTTTTGAATGCTTTTTTTATTTACAACAATACAAAATAAAATATTAGATCAAATTTAATGTAGAATAATAAATAATGTAATACTATTTTTAATGAACATAAATAATACAATTAATTTGAAGTACTGTATTTTATTGTCGAGGTAATTATTAATAAAGATCATAAAAAAATAATTTAAAAGTATAAATAATATAAATATTTATTGAAAAATCTTTATTATAAGTATCTATCGTATGTGTTGATTAATCATTTCTGTTCCGCCATATGAGGATTCTTGACTTCTGAGTGGGCTTAATTCATCCTAAAATCAATTGAAAGTACGATTATGAATTTATTTATAAATAATATTTAATATTAGTTAATAAATAATTACATTAAAAGAGGATGTAAGACAATAACAATAAATCAACTGACGGTTTTCATGAGTTTAACTGTAACTGAATTTTACAATATATAATTAATTCACTTCATGCAAAGTTCCATTAGATTATCTATCAGTGCATACATTTCATAGAAATACATACATTTTCACTCTATCGAACTTGATTAAGGCTTTTAAGTTTCTAAGTATATAATATTATGATAGGCAAAAACTTACATTTTACATTCACTGACGATTACTTTATAATTATAATATTCAACCATTTAATATAATTATTTATAAAATAATTATTGTTGGAATTTTATTTTATTTAACTTCATAATTTGTATGAAAGACATGTATAAAAAATGCTTGACTTGATATAAAAGATATTTCAATTTAATTATACTATAATATTTTCGATGTATCAATTTCCGATTTCGTAAAGTGCACTTTAATCAAGCCATCTAATCACTAGCAACAATTAATTCTAAAAAATCACTGTGTTTATATTTAGTCAGATAAGGTGTGTCTTACAAGTAATAACAATAAAAGTAAAACAATAATATTAAAATAAATATCTCTAAATCCATATCTAATACCGATATTAATGGGATAATACTTATATTATATCAACAAATTGATAATTACGCTACTTTCAAGATTATTCATAATTTACTGGTGCATTAATTACTCAAAATTTCTACCGGTGGTAATAATGGACGTGAATTAAAGCGTATAAAAGTACGATTAATTATTAAACTATATACAATTGATACGTGTGGATATAAAATAGTCCCAAATGCCAATTAAATTGTTAAAATACATTTCCAGTCTGTAGTAATACGCTTCACGACATCAACAATCTTAGAATTAATAAATAAAATAAATTTGCTAAAAAATGAGTAAACAAAAATTGCAGGCAGAAGCTGAAGCGAAATAAATAATAATGGTATAAAAGATTCGTGCGTTCTCTCGGAGTAGAGATGATGAAAAAAAATTGTAAATAATCGTCCCATTGACAGCCAAGTCCAGATTATCGATGAAGTATATAAATCAGGGTGCCCCAGTCACCAAGTTATTTGCCCATCTTCTCCAATCTTCTATCATCATTATCACCACCAGCATCATTTGGCCACAGTTGTAGTTGTTACTATGAGTACGGAACTTGAGGGAGAATGCACCGCCTAGGCGAAAAGCCAGAGCATCGGTCACGTCGATGAATTGATCGATTTGACAAGCAATACAGCAAAGTCTTTAGATCAGCGGACGTGATTAGCACTGCCGTTATTCACCTGCATTGCTGTTTCAGCGTCATAGTCCACAGGACGAAATTTCTCTGAGTTGTCAGTCTCACCATTTCTCATTTCTCCAGCTCCGTTTTGTTTTCTATCCTTGAAAAATTTTGCTATCACTAATACCTGTAACATATGATATTTTTTCCATGTAATATATTTGAATGAAAAAGTGCTTGATTATTTCAGATATAAAGGTTTTGTTTTAAGTTACAGATACTTACATTAATTACGGCTACAGTCATGCCGATAAGCATTCCCACGAGGACATCACTCCAATGATGTTTATAGTCAGACACTCTTGACATTGCTGTCGCCCATGCCAAGAATATACATATCAGTTGAAGAAAGTGTTTGAAGATATTACTACCTTTCCACGTGAATCTTAGTTGCAGATAAAACTAGAAAAATTTTGTTTGTTAAAAAAATTAACAAGCTAGATAGATAGATAGATGATGTTGATAAAAGTAATCAGCTTTAATGTACTCACGACAAGAAATAGCATCGCATACATAGAAAATGCTGCATGACCCGACGGAAACGACAATCTGGGAATAAGACACGAGTCATTAATTGAATTTAATGTGGAGTTGTAAATGAGAAAATGAGTATACAATTATAAGTGGCTTTCTCATCTCTCGTCTAAACACTTGAATCTTTCAATATTTTTTGCTTTCTCTACAAAATCTAAAGATAGTGACGATGAACGCGGAGTAGAAATGAAAGCGTTAAAAAAAATATACCGACTAAAAAGTTTTTTTTCTCAACCAGACCCTTCTCTCATTCTCGTCCTCACCCCTCTCATAGTTGCGTAGGACCATGAAAAAGAGACAAAAAAAAATAATGACTTTAAGTCACATGGCTTTTGCCCTCACTTCCAGAAGCAGCTTCCACATATTCAATGAATTCTCTGTCCTTTATCAGTTTTTTTCTTTAATAAAAAGTAGGTTATTGTTCGTATGCCAAAGAAATGTCATGTAACTTTTAGTTAATTTAAACGACCACTTTACTTGAATATATCACACGATTTCAGTTAAGTACAAAAAACGATACATATAATCGTCATAATCACAAAAAATATATCATCATTAATTCAAATAAAAAAAAAACTTCAGCTGTAAGTGATAGTTCAACAGCTACAGATCAATAGGCAAATTCCTATTGATTTCTGCTATTAATCCTGCTAATGATCTATCATAATAAATCAATTATTCACGTAACTAGTAACCCATTCTGTATTTTAATAATTCATTAACATTGACCTAGTTAAAATAACACCAATAGTAACGACTATTTTCATCCGATTACACTCGACGACCTTGTATTGACGATTACGTAAGTAGATTTTGCTGACCCCCATGAGTAATAACAAGACAGTAGGAAGGGAGAAGAATTAACTTTATCTTTTAGAACATTGTAATATAGCATAATTAAATCACTAGATGACTATAAGATAATAGTGCAACTTTATAACAATACCTGACTTCTTTTAAAAGCCTTGGGCCAACATTGGAGGCGGTGCACGTAAATTTTTCTATGTATTTGTTTTGATTCTGTGGCAAACTACAGTCAACATCAGGTACACAGAGAGCGAAAAAATGCGGTCGAAGGCGTCCAATTGTATACTTAGCTATGTCACATGTTAATACTGTTACTGCTGCTCCAAACAAAAATGTGCCAGCCTACAAATAAAATAAAATTATTTCATTTAATTATGAAATATACAGTCATTTATTTACTTTGCAACACGCAACTGTTTTTTTTATATTTAAAAATTTCTACGTCAAAGCAATCAAATTGTTATCTAAAGTATGAGTATGAAGTATGATTGAGCACATTTTAAGAAAATATTTTGTTTGAAAAAAAACCCATATTATTTTCAGATTAGAACGATTTCTCACGTCAAAATTTACGTCAGATAAGAATCTATCATATGAATAGAAAATTATTCTGTATGTGAGAATGAGTAATATTTGCGGTAATCAACAGATTTTTCCTACTTAAACGAGGTTAAATCACAATCACGTTAGCTATTTCCTATTAATCTTGACACCTTTTATAATTTGACGTAATACTAAACCGAAGTATATTTATCTAAATATTTAATTAAGAATCAAATTAGTATGAAGCCGCCAAGATTTTTCATTTGCAGAAGTGTCTTTACACAGTACTTAATATAAAATTCTTAAAGATAATAATTTGAAATCTCCTTTTATCAATAGCAATAATTATTTAATTTAGACAATTCCTATAATTTAGTCTATCATTGTAGCAATTGAGTCAATTATCAAATCACGTAATTCGTTAAAAAATTAAAAAATACCATTTAGTAGAAGTACTTTATTGTTGATTAGCAAACTGTGACTGAGAATAATCAGAAAAAAAGCAAATTCTTTGATGATTAATCAAGTTTATCTCACTTTCCAATGTATGATAAAATTTTTAAATTTAGCATTAAGATAATCGGATTACGACTAATTTATAATCTTAATGAAAATTTGATAGAGGATATAATGAATAAATTTAATGATACTTTTATTTAATTATTAATAGCCACTGAATAATTTAGATAAAAAATCAATTAATATAAACGAGCATATATCTGTCAATAATGATGATAAATGCAGTGGACATAAGCTAGTCTTTACATGTCAAGTTTGTGATTTAGAGAAAGCTATGTACAGTTACATTATCTCTGTTGTTTACCTTGCTATAATTATTCATTGCCTCATTTAAAATAATACTTTTGTCTGATCTTTAACTGTCATAAATATGAAGCAATTCGTAATGAGTCTATGTGGATTTATAATACTTTTTGATTAAATCTAATGTCCAAGTATTATATTACTGACAAGTACAGCTGACTTTCACTCACCTTGTGGTAAACCAATACCACCCAAGGAGGTACCGCACGGCCAAATAATACCACTGACGAATGGCCATTCATTTTTTTTGCGTACACAAATTCTCCAAGGAGCATCTAAAAGAAAAAGATAACATTGATGATTATTATCATAAAATGTGGAAAAACTAGTTTTCTGATTGGTCCTTTTAAATTCACCTGTCGTCGCACTTACTCCACTTTAACACATCCAACCCTCTCATTTATATTTACTTTGTTTACTTTCTTATCGGTTTAAAATAAAATAAATAAAAACAAAAGAATATAAAATTTAACCACAGTGTTATTATGCTAAAGCTTTCTACACCCGGGGGCAAACTACTTGCATCAAAGTACTCTGAGATGGAAAAACAGCCAACAAGCTGATTCCATGTAACTTAAGCTTACGCGTGCCTTGATAAGAGTAATCGTCATGATAATACAGTGGAGAACATGTACGATACGTCTTTTTCCTTAAGGTTATCTCTTTATGATATTCAACAAGATTTTTCTATTTTCCTAATAAAAAAAAAAAACTGAAATGAAAGAAATGAAAGGAATTAATTAAACACGTGAACAATAAAATTAATTAAAATTCTGTTTGCGTATATTGTTTTGTAACCAATATTAAACATTCTATTTCGTATCCATATCGCAATTTCATTATAATCTATCATCACTTTTAAGTCTGGAGGAATCTCTCCTTTGTCTTTAGCATAACCCATGGCGCCGCAGCAGTTTTTCGTAACACATGCGTTTTCTTATCATAAATAATATCCATCAGTATTCATTTTGAAGAGAAATACCAGAAATGATTTTAGAGGAAAAAATATGATACCACAGAGGATGTATTTAAGGATGATTACTTACCACACATAAAGGAAGAAATATCCCCACGATATAAAGCATAACATTGGTCACCGTTGAAGAATGGTAAGGATGCATGAGCGATTCATCATTGCAAAAAAAACCTCGTTTGTATGGTTTACCAAAAAGATAAAACATCAGCACCGCAAAGCCCACTATAAAATAAATCATAAATCAATCAGTATTTATTGGATATTAAATAACAGTATTACATTAATAATAATAATAAATATTTGAATAACTTATTGATTTAATCAGGAGTTATGTACAATGGCTAAATATATACCTCCAAATACAAATGTCCTACTGTGATTACAATGTCAATATGAAAATTAGTAGAAGAAATACTCCAATATTTCTGTACAAACTGCTTAAATAATTATTTACTTGGAATTATATTTTTTTTTCCTTTTTGGAGTAAATTATTCATAAAGTAGGAAGCGCAGTCAGGCGTAAAAAATTCAGTTGATTATTTTTAATTCGCCGAGTTGTGATGAAAGAAAAAAATATAAAATTCCTGGATAAACGAATCGATTAACTGTCAATAGAAGAATTTCTTAATTGTATTCATGAAAAATATGTGTTGCGTAAAAAAAATCACATTCTTTGAAGATAAATTTTTTGGTGATTGAATGAAGAAGATAAAAATAAGAAAAGGCACGCGGGGCAATACCGGTTCCTTGTATACATTTTGAAGCAAGGATGTACATGTAAAGGAAACACCAACCGGTTCTTTGGTCTCCACCTAACGAAGTTTGAATAAGCCCGGCTATTATTTGTGACGCTTTGGGCATTCTTATACTTCAAAGGATTCAATTACTACTCTTTGAATAGACTTTTGTTGTAACATCATCAACCACACAAGATTTTATTTTTATCTGTCGCACTTGTATTTATTTAGTTGATAATTTAACAAATTGTTTCGATAATATCAGTGGTAAAAAATTGCGGTCAATAAAATTTAATATATTTTCAATAAAAAGCCTTGTGCAGAGTTATTAAATGGATTAAATTTATAGATTCCAATCCCCAACTAGGGGATCATTCATTAACTTTGATATAACAACGAATAGAAGCATAGAATTATGAAGAATAGGGACAACCATCTACCCGGAAGAATCATCAATGTTGAATAATAATAGAGAAGATTCATTGATGACTGCATTGCAGTGTCAATACATGTATGTAGTATGAAATATAGTCTTATAGTAGTTTCTAAACTTGTGAAAAAAAATAAATGTAAAATGTACTACGTAGATATTGATTTCGTAAACCACACCTGTCTGCTTATCGTATGATAACCTGTACATGTACATAACCTACTGTATATATTGTTGCTGATAAAAAATTACCTTCAATTGTTGTCAATTATTCTAAATGAAAATCAATATATAAGTAACTAATAGTCACTTGAAGATTAATTAAAGATCACTTACCTATGAAAACACACGTGAAATCGAGAATTATCTTCCTCAAAATTACTTTTGACGTTCGATCCATGATTCACCTTTTAATTGTGATGAGTTTTCTTTGAACAGTCGTGATTTCTGCAAAGGTGAGTGTAAAAATACATAAGAAATAGGGCGTGAACGATAAATGATATAGAAATAACATTTGAAATCATATAAATAGTAAAATAAAGCTTATTTTTATACTAATTGTTATGAAGTAGGACATTTAGGAAAATATTAATATTAATAAAGAAAAAAGAATTTTTGTCAAGTTCAAGTATGATTCATTGATTCAAACTTACCGGTGCGGTGTTAAAACACTTAAAGAGGTGTTTCACGATAATTTATGAATCTTTAAGGCGACACAAACAGCCTCTATGAGACTGTCTGGCAGACTGACGAGTGCTGGTAGGAGCTCCAAGTGTCTATCGCTGGTGTACTCACATCTAGATCCCCTCCATCAGTTATATGTCGTTCATCCACACACAGTTTGCTTCTTTACTTTCATTGAACCTATTCTACGCTACTGCTTCTATTATATAGATATATAACGCAATAATAATCATCAAAGTTACAATACAGCTGCACCGTTTCCCTCAAAGTGGGAAAATTGAAAAGACTATTCAGATTCATTTTTGATTGACAGTAGTATTTGAGAAGTTTCTTTTTTTTTCTAAATCTTTTTTCTCTATTAGTATGCAGATGAATACTTTGGAAATTGTATGCGTAATGTTTGGGACTAGCATGTTTTGTTTTGGTTGGGTAGATGATTATTAAATGAATAACCAAAGGCGAAGAGCCTGATGGAAATTTGTGATGTTAATGATTACGTGCACGCGACGTCGGAGCTCAATTGGTCAAATCGTTCGTCTCGTTTGCTTGGGCGAGACAGTGTTTTACTTGTTTTTTTCCCATTTTTATTTTATTTTACTGTTGATGATCATTATCTTTCTAACACCGCTAGTGGAGTCTGGAGTTTGTTTAGACTATGCACCAAAGGGTCTACTCATCCAGTTGTTTTGTATCAAGATTCGCGAAATGAAACTCAAAAAAAAAGCCAACGACAGAATAGTCTCATTAAAATGTTCCGCTTATTTTATAGCTTAAGTTAGAAAAAATAAAAATTATTTCAGGTTTTACTTAAAAATTATAAAATATTTTCTGCTATAAATGCAGATACAAGTTACTATAAATTAATTATTTGTGATCAACCTATACCTTTTTGAATTGCTGATAATTATAATGTATGTAATTATATACAATGGCAATTTGTATTTATTAATAAAAAAAATTAATTACATTTTCATGTTATTAAAACGAAAGAATGTTAGTTATTGACATGATGTATTTTTAAAATTTTATTAATTAATATCATTAAACAAATATGTACAAAGGCGGCAAGATGAATGAATCATCATCATCATCATCGTAGATGATAATCGTCTGTATTAAAGTCATGTATTGTACGTTTTTCTTCCGCCCTTTAACAAAAATTTTAATAACAAATTTTTGTCATTGTGCCATACAAGAGAAAGCAAGACACGTAGTCGATTACTATGAAACGACTTCAGTATAGAATTTCATAGAGACAGTTTTTAGCAGACTTTGTAAAACTCTTAACCTAAATTGACATTATTTGCAAAAAAAGAAGCATTCCACCGTATTAAGGACTATTAAGTATACTTTTTTGTTAACTATGTACATTCATGACTTATTATCGTATATTATATTGATATAGCGTTTCAAGCATTTGAATATTTAATTTATCAATCTTTATGTACAATCATCTTCTAATTCATTTATCACGTTATGCTGTGCTATAAATTATTTCCGCTTGGTTTGCTTACTAGACAATAACATTACTCTGTGACTTGAAATACACGATGACTTGATTATTAATTCTAAAATATTTTTATTTCTATTTTGTAGTAATTTTTATTTCCTTCAATAATATTTTAATTATTGTAATTACGTAATTCATGTTTTTGGTATTAAAATACGTACGCGCCATGAAGAATTTCTATCTCTGACGGTCATCTACGTGGTTCAGCGGCATAAGCAGTAATGGAGTTATCAATACATCCAGCAGCAAGCACCACACGATACGGATGAAAGTTCAAGCATCCGACAGGACTTATTCGTGAGCTCATAAATCCTTCATGAAACTTAATTGTATTCAAGAGTTGACCTGATGTTGTATTATAAACACTAATACAGTGATGACTTGAGCCGCTGAAAATATAAGTATAAACTCATGAATAAAAATACCGGCACCCTCAAAAAATAAAATAGAACAGGTCGAAAGATACCATGCAAAAATATTTGCTGTTGGGTGCACTGTAAAAGCTGTCAGTCCATGGGTTATTTGTATGACATTCACAGAAGTATTTTTCCTGAGATCAAATATTCTAACATCGCCACTAGAAGAGCCTGTGATCAAACACGCCGATTGCGGGTCATTGAATTTTGAGAGGTAAGCACCAAGGATCCATGCATTGTGTTCCCGCCAGGTCATTATTTTCGCTTCAGCAGGTGGTAATCGGCGATCGAAAAGCCTTACTGAACCATCTCCACAACCCAAGGCCATCATGGCACCTAAAGGAGGCCAAAAATTTCATTGTTATATTGTTTTTTTGTTGTCCTAAAAAATTAAGCCCCGTGAAAATTTTTGAGAGCAACATAATACCTGTTCCATCCGTGTCAATAGAAGTAACACAACAATCAGCACCAGTAAGAATATCTTGTTTTTTTAATTCAGTTTCTGCATCCCATAATCGAACAATTCGTACATCTCCAGTAGCTGCTAAAGTTAAAGAACGTTGTTCCCAAGAGGTAACAAGACCTGCAGATGCCGTAGAAGCTTTTGTGGCAGGCTGTACATCTCCAAGAGCTTGCCAAGCTGTTAAAAGTGTTGGCTCACGTCCTAACATATTACAATAATTTTTCCAAATTCTCACTGCACCATCATCTGATCCTGTCATCAACAAAGAGACATCATGAGAATTTATAAATTCTAACGATGTAATTTTCGTGCCTATTTTATTTCCACGCGTAGAATGATACATCAATTTAGTGCTTGACTGCCAGTCCCATATCCCGAAATTGTCTTTAGAGGCCACAGCTAAATGTGGATCAAACGGATGAAATAACAACACTTCAGGCTGTTGAGGACATCGGCTATGAAACACTTGGGATTCTATTCGTGATACGTGAGCCTTTTGTTGCTCCTCTCTTGCCTCCCGTCGTTGCCTTTTATTTCTTAGATATCTCCATTCGCGTTCATAATGTGCCCTGCTCTCCATATCACTTGTGGACTCTGTCTCATTGTCAAAACTGACGGGTTGAGCAAACTGAGCACAGCTCCATTCAACAAACTGAGATGTTATCAGTGGCTTTCTTATCCCAGAAGTATCGTCAGTCTCCTCCGATATTGTATTTGGGATTGGTTTTCTTACACGATTTGGGTAAGGTGGAACTCTTGCTCTTAATAATTCAGATGTCGAGTTAGTTGTAGGTGGAGACTCCTTATTTAAATAACTGGTTCGATTTGATGGTGAAGGAGGAAGTGATAAAGATGATGCAAGTTTTGTATCAGCAACTTCTTTCGGCGTTGAAGATTCTTTCACTTGATTACGTATATGATTTGTCACCTTTTGAGACATTCCAGCTACACCCGGATGAGGGTCGTTGTCCAGCGATGCAAGACCATGCCATAACTTCATGTAAACACTTCCGTATGATACACCAGGTACATTCCCAAGCGAACTATGACCTGAAATAAATAAATCATTTAGAATGTTATATTTTAATATAATTAATGGTTGAACATTACCAAGAGACTCGCAAGGCTTCCTTACGAATTCCCAATTATTTCCTAGTGAGCAGAGTGAAACAAACCATAAATTTGTTGGAGATTTATGATGGTATTAATTTCAGTTACTTGATGATAAATAAATTCAACAGGTCTATAAATCTCTCATACAGTTTTAGATTTAAGTTAATGATTAAAATTGTTAAATTTCAAAGTTGTTTATATAAGAGATGACATGAGACAAAACAGATTTCTAGACCTGAATAATTAATGAGAAATTTAAAATACCTAAACTACTAATTGAAGATGATGAAGATACTCTTTTTATTCTATCCTGGCCCATACTATCTGTGCAATCGTAACCATGAGTATTATTAGATGGCATCATCTTTAATCTGTCTCTGGATCCAATTCGTCGCATTCCACTGAATGGGAAAAATGTCTCAACAACTAGATCTTTGCGAGAATTTTCTTCAGCAAGTGCAAGCGTCACAAATGAATTTTCAAAATGTAAAACCATCCATTGCAATGCAACAACCAGTTCTTTCCTCACCAGCGGTGACATATCATGAGTGACAGTATTAATTAACGTCATTGCAATTATTTGATCAATATTATTAGCATGTTCACTTCGTTTAGTTACACTATTTATAAAAGTTCCAAGGGCATATACACTGGCAGTTCTTACTTCAGGTACCGGATCTTGAAGCAGACTCGCAAGTTTTTCATGAGCAATGTCACGGACTCCACACCATCGTGCTTTATCATAATTATGCCAAAGTCTTCCAAGACATAAACAAAGCCATTGACGTAATTGAGGATTGGGATCATTTAATTGTTCAAGACAAATAGATACTAGGCTTCCTTGAAGAGCAGCTTCTTGTCCCGCAGGATAGTTATTTACAATGCAAGCAAGAACAAAAGTCGCTAAAGTGCGATGTTCACTTGCAATTGTGACGTCTTGAAGAACTGATAAGAAGTACTTATGTCCATTATCACGAATTAAATCTGCTTGACATGAATTATCTACAGCGAGAATTTTAGCCCAGATAAATACCAAAAGTGGTCTAAGCTCTCTAGCATTACTTTGAAGCAGTTTCAAAACATATGGAAATATTCCAACGCTTAAAGCTAAATTAACAGCCCAAGGACCGAGATCTAAAAATTTCCCAAGAAGCTCCAGAGCTCGTAATCGATGAACTTGACTTAATAAAACTTGTAAAACAATTGGCAATTGTTCTGGTGGATCTCGATTCTTAGATCCTAGTGTTAACCATACTTGAAAGGCAGTCAGTTGTTCTTCGAAAAAAGGCGAATGCTCAAATTTGTCTTCAGCATTAACAACTATTGGAAGTTGGGAAAGACACAAATCTAATGCTAAATCCCATGCTTGCCACATTGGATGCTGATACGTCGGGGGTAACTTGGGGCACGAAACTGGTGTGCAGTCATATGAACGAAGGATTCGTTCAGCAAGTAAAAAATTTCTAAATAAACTTGCTACAAGTAAATCTTGTCGAAACAATCGCTGAAACAAATCACGAGGTAATGTATTCCATGCGATTGTATCAGTTATTGCTGTGAATATCCAGTTTAATTCACCTAACATTGTACGTCTGTCAGTCAATTGTCCAGGAATTTTATCAATAACATCCAAGGTCACTTCGGGGACTAACTTGGATGTGTTTTGCATGGCGAACCATCGTAAGGCAATTTTAATTGGCGTAGTGAGGCAAGAAGTAAATACATCAGCTGGTAGATCTGGATTCATCGGCAAAATTTGATTAATAGCACAAGCTGCGAGTTGAATACAATTTTTATAAGAAGGCATTTGTACTCCAGTCGCTCGATTTTGTTGAACAGCTGATTTATCATTTTCATACTCTTTCTCATGTTGTTCAGCAAACTGTTGGAATGATTCGACAATGATGCCGGCATTTGAGCAATCATAAACATAAATACTTGGTGCGCCCATCCAAGTTTGAAGATCATAAACCGATAGTGGAATGTATTGCGTATATGTTCTATTAAAAACCCATATTTCTCCATTGCTTGTTGGTTTTGGTACTCCATGTCCATTGTAATGAAATAAAACTCTCTCTTCTTTCGCATTTCTGCGCAATGAAGTACATAATTTCTTAACTTCTTCAACCGTAGGATCCAAGCTTTGCTTGTAACGAGCACGAGGCTGCCAACGTTCGTATTGTTTTTGTAAATTAGACCCAATTGTCTCTAGAGCTTTTTGTGGACTCACAGATAGCGGATCTAGAAAAGAAATAAAATTAATTTCTTTATCGACTGAGTGTGACAAAATTACTACTGCGTGTCACATTATGTATTATGATTCCATAATTATGAATAAATTACATAATTGATTGACAATAAAAAGTTTCATTAAATACGAATATTTTATAGACAAAATACTCAATTACCAATCCAGCATTCAAGCCGTGCACATGGTTGAGTTTTTACAATATCTGGAGGATCAACACCCACGTTGAGGCAGAGAACTAAGGCCACACTTACGGTTTTCATCTAAAAATGAATGAATGTAAAAATTATGAGTATGAAAATCTAATTATTAAATTGATTAAATTAAACGAAAAAAATTCTAACTCTTTCTTTTAATCTCCAAAATTGAGTAATACAATTGATGCCTTCAATGGTAGAAGTATGCCGATGTTTGTTAAAAACAATTGGTATTTTCCAATCTTTATTTTCTTCCATTCGTTCAATATCGTCTGTGTCATCATCAAGATTGCCTTGGCGTGCCTTCATTGTGACCAGTGTCATGTTAGCGTGAATCTTCACTTTAGTAAAAGATTAAGCACACGAGAAAAGTATTCAATCACTTGATCACTTTAGCGAAGTTCACGCCTATCAACTTCACCTTCGCATTGTCATGCAAAAGAATTTCAATGTTAATTTTCGTCGACGTAACATTTGATTTTTTACATTAGTCTATAATCAAAAATAATTTTAAAGAATCAAATAACAGACGTGAAAACACTCATCTTTGCACCACTTGTCGCATTAATAATCGCCATGTTTCTCTATTATAAAACTGTATTGCCGATTGAGCAATTATACGCATCTAAATGTAAATGTTAATTTTTATTTACCACTTTTACGAAAATATTCATTAATCAAACATTTATAAATTATGATTTTGGAGCACAAATATTCAGACATTTAATGTTTCCATACTGAGAATTGGGACACCGCTCGAATTCTAAAAAATTAGATTGAGATCCAGATGGCAATACTCGAAAATTTTTTTTATATCGGATAATGAGAGCTCTCTCACTCTTTTCTCAGTCAGAGAGATGAATCAAATAACCTTAAAAGTTTTATAACTTGTCATGTGTAAACAAAAATGCCTTCTATCATAAGATCTTTTATATTAAAAAGTTATTTTACAAAAAATAATTATTTAGCAGCTAAATCTTTAGTGAAAAAAAATAGTCGATACTTTCGAACAACAAATAGTAAGTAAACTTAATTTATTTGTCAACAAAAATTGAAGTTGATATTTATTTTTAAAAAACTTTATTATAAAAATAATTGATGAATGAGTACTTTTAAATATAGAACATTTTTAATTATTAATAATACATCAATGATTGCATTGTTGATTTATTTTAGCTGTATTTCATGGAGAGTATGAAATGAAAGATCCCAAATCACCTGAAGAAATGTAAATAAACTGACAAAAAAATTATTATTAGTATTATTATTATTACATAAACATGCTATTTATAAATGTAATGATAGTATGAGCATTAATAATATAACGTTAAATATAATTTATTGAAATGATTTCAGAGTAAACGTTGTATTTATTGATAAAGAAGGTAAAGAAACGCCGGTGAGAGGTAAAGTTGGAGACAATGTTTTATATTTAGCGCATAGATATGGAATTGAAATGGAAGGAGCTTGTGAAGCTTCTTTAGCATGTACTACTTGTCATGTTTATGTCGATCATAATTATACAGATAAACTTCCTACTGCAACAGATGAAGAAGAAGATCTCTTAGACTTAGCACCTTTTTTAAAAGAAAATTCACGATTAGGTCAGTAGTCATTTTGGAGCGGACATTTAATAATGTTGATAAACTCAGGAATAATTCATTGTTGAATATTTGTTGTAGGTTGTCAAATTATTTTATCAAAAGATTTAGAAGGTATTAGATTAGAGCTACCACAAGCTACAAGAAATTTTTATGTTGATGGTCACACGCCTACACCTCATTAAAGATTTATGAGTACCGTGTAAAATTCGACGATTATTTTTTAAATACTTACTATTAATTAAATTATATATTATGATGTAAATAATGAATATATTTAAAATGAACTCACATGATTATAACTTTGTAGTTAACATTCTTTTTACCAAAAAGTAACTCATATAAAAAGACAAAACAAAATTTAATTTTTTTCAATAGCTGAATAATAAAAAAATTATTTTAGATCATATTCCATCATGATACAATGTTTATTCTCCGTACATGGGGATTATGGTACACATTTTTAATTACAATGATACAAGAATCAAACATTTATGATATTATGATTTTTTCGATTAAAACCTTATTTAATGGGTTGTAGCATTAATTCTGGGAGCTAATTACTCCGAGAATAAGTTCGTCGAGAAAGGTCATAACATTGCATTACTGCCACATATACAATTTTATAGACTTTAAATGAATTTATAATTTATATATTAATATTTAATATTCAAGTCAATAAAATTAATCAATTAATTAATTTATTATTTATTAACTCTTTCATTCCATTAAATAGTGGCAGATTTAATAAAGAGATTAAATCTGATCAATCAGATAAAATCTCAAAATTATTTGTTAATTACATCAACAATCTTTTGTTGTAATTCAATTAGTTTTTATATCTTCATGTATATCATGCTTTGCTGTCTCTTGTTTTAATTTAACTTATTTAATTTATACATGTACATTTATTTATTAATAAAATTGTCGTCGTTTTCATCGCGTTACACAATCATTCGAACAACGAATTATTATTTAAATATTTATCTCAATTAATATTTCTTATAATTAACCATAGTTAATATTTTTTGCGTTATGTTGTAATGTAAGTTCGATACATAGTTACAGACACGTTATTCATTATTGTTATAATTTTCTTGTTTCTTTATCAATTCGAGTATCACATTTTCTCGGCACTATCACTCATTCTTTTGACAAAAAAGCAACTTAAATAGATAAACAATCGTTCTATCGCATTTATACATTCTTATATATCCGGTGCTTTTATTAATCATTTCATAATCGTCTTGTCTTCTACTTTAATTTTTCCTTTTTGTTATTTTTACAGAGACCGAAGACGATCACATATATCATTTGGTTGTCATCACAAGTCGACCTTATTGAGAAAATAGTTTTTGTACTTATTCGTAAATTAAAAAATAATTTTTTTATTATAATCAATGTCATTATCATCATTGTCATTATCGTCATCATAATCATCTATCTCTTTCACAATTGTAAAAATTATCATGCTTACGAGTATGTTACATCAACAATACAATACTTTGAAATTAGTAAAAACATTAATAGGATAAAAATTACTCTAAAAATTCAACCAACTGTTAATTATGGCAGTAAATAATACATCGTATTTACATGATTGTGAAAAATTTTAAATCTTAAGTTTAATTTCTTTTTAACCGTTGCTCGTTAAATTGTTAGAAATTTTCTACTTATTCTATTTAACTTTCTCAATTTGTTCTTTTTTTCTTTTTCCTCTTCTTCTTCTTAATCAAAGATATTTGCATTTTTTTTAACGGAAAATCAGCAAATGTTAATAAAAAATATATCTTTTAATTCAGTGAATTTTTGTTCATGCTAATTGGCTAGAAAAAAGCCTTACTCTTCTTCAATAATTTTCTAAGAACAATTTTTAAAAGAAATTTTGATAATTTAAATCAATTTTGTGCTACTGAAAGATAATTATTGTTAATAATATAATAAAAAATTTTTTTTACATAATTCAATTAATCTTCGAACCGATTTACATTCGAGACCTTAAATTTAAGATTAAATTTTCAATATGGATAAATGAGACAATTTTATATGATCACGAAATAATGACACATGAAGCTCATTTTTTATTAATTATTAAAATAAGAATAATTAAAAATGTTATTGTGAAATTGTTACATGCGTTCATTCATATATTTAATATACTGTACTACTAATTCAATGAATATTCAATAAATTAGTTCTATCAAAATTATCGGCATATACTAAACCAAAATTTCTAAATAAATTAGCTTTAAATTTACTTCTTTCTTTCTTCTAGCTCAAATTTTTTTTATCAAATATAATTCCAACGAGGATATCCGCTTATTGTGTAATATTTTTCTGCTTCCTCAAAAAGAGCATTATTAAATGTTAAACATTGAATATTAATATCGACATACCAATATTCATATTAACATTAATACATTATTTATACGTACATATTTATATTTATATATATATATAATTCTTTTTGTCAATTCTAATTACTTAATGTATTATTTTTTTTTTTTGTAAACTAAATATGTTTATAGGTGTGCATAGGAGTGCGCATACGAGTGTATAAAGTAATTTTACGACTACGACATGTGCTATCCTAAAGCAAAAAATGACCGAGTGTATTCTTCTGAGCCATCAGGAATACACTGTCATCTTTTGAACATACAAAACTGTAAAAAAGTCAATATAAAATTGAATATACTAAGGTTTATTATTTTTCATTATCATTTTCATTTTCTTCACATGTAATCTAGAGAAGCCTTTGTACTTACATTCTTTTTTTATTTTTACTCTTTTCGTGTTTTTCAGTGGTAGGATAAATGTCAATGTAAGTAAATCTTGCTCCATCGTTCAACCAATGAAGAATATACAATAAATTTCGTATGAATTTTTTTCGCAGAAATTTCTTTTATTCATATTTTATTACAATAATATATATTTATTTATTTATATATATTTATATATATATATATATATATTAATTCTTTGATTAATTTATGTTTAATAAACCATTAACTAATATTTTCAACTTTGTTCTCATTACATAAAAATATAGCAAAGCTCCTTATTTCATTGGTTGCACGTCCACGTGGTTGTTTTTATTTATTTTTGTTTATTTGTCAATTTCTAACATTGATTATTAACTGAAATTATTACAGAAAATATTGAAAAATTTTATCTCATACTGTTGGTATTTTTTCCCTCAAATTTAACGATAGATAATTTTTTTGTAATTTTTCTTCGAAGTTAAGCGACATTAAAGCTTCATTGTGTTCCCACTTGCAATTTAAAAGGGAAACAAAACAATGTAAGAAATACTCAATGGTTCTTAGCAATACGATACTTATTTTTAATCAATCATACGTTTTTGTCTATATTCACATTTTATTCATCAACATTCATTCAATACAATTGCATACATCCATATATCATTATTTTTTTTGCGTAATGTGAGGAAGAAGAAAAGTTTTTCCACTTTTCTGTTGATTTCATTATTATTACAATTATTAATAATAATATTCTTATTAACTCTATTTATTATTATTATTATTATTATTATTATTATTATTATTATTATTATTATTATTATTATTATTATTATTGTAGTTGTTATTTATCATTTGTTTATCTATCTTTATTTCCCCATTCTTTTCTTTTCGGCACGTTCACAAATTGTACAATGAAAGCTCTAGGGTTGCTAGAATACTAGAAACATAGATCGGGGAACATAATATTCAGTTTTGTATTTTTCTATTTCTAGAGATTCTTTTTTCGTTTACATTTTTTTGCCTTGATTTACTATTTTCATATTCAATCCAGCAGATTTCCAACGACAATTTGGTTTGTTTTAAATGAATTTAGTGTAAGAATAATTCAGTTTAACCAAGCGATTAATACCTGATTGATTTTCTATTCATTATTAACTAAAAAATACATACAAGTGATCAAACTCCTGCCTATTTTAAATGATATTAAAAAAAATCCAATAATATGTATGATATCGTAGGAGGATGATTAAATAAGACAAAAAATAAGTATTATATGTGTATTCTAAAGTACTAGAAAATAATATTTACAAAAAAAATATATATATAAAAGTTGTTAGTGTAAGAAGAAAAAAAAATTGTCTTCACTCTTCGTGGATACTGTATTGAGAATGGAAAAAATATCCATTTTATAACCCACTCATTTTTGAAAAATCAAGTCATAAAATACTTAGTTGTACGATAAAGTTCACTCGATCAAGATTAAGAGATTCTCCGTGTCTAGAAAATTCGATTACACCCACACAATATTCAATTAAATTCATGGTTGTTTTAGATTTCTATTACTTCACTAAACAACATTTTAATATTAATATAAGTAAAAAATCTTATTTTAAAATGAAAATAAATACAAAGCAGTATTGAACAAGTTAATAATATTACAAAACTTATTAAAGATTAATAATACATACTTATTGTTATAAAAATATAAATAGAAACAGTTTATTGTAAAAAAAAATTGGATGAAATTCAATGTCAGGAAGAAATCTACTGGTTGAAGAAAAACTAAAGCATTTCTTGTTCTTAAAATATCTGTCTACTGGTCTAAACTTTCCAATCCACGTCAAAGTCATGACCAAAGTCAATTATTAACCGTAATATGACGAATATAATTAGCACATGAGTTAAGAGTTTGTGTTAAAAGAATGCACTTACTAGAGAGCGAAACGTTGTCAAATCAAACTTCTCTAACTCACATATATATTTTCTTCATCTGTATCCTCAATGTGAATTAAATGAAATGGTCATGTCTGAAGACGATCTTGGAAGTACTTACAAATGGCGCTGATGTATAAGCGCGTGAACAGGAAGCTGTCTACCCCTTTGATATCTCTGGCATCGGCCCATGCTTAGGTCATGGCATTCATATACATTTGCCACTGCACTTCGGGTTGTAACCGAGAACTGCGACTCGATTGTAAATGCTGCAGAGATATCAAAGGGTTCCTCCCGTTATTCCATTGGATGATGACGTCCTCCACATATGCCACATGCCATTCCGCACCAGTGAATTGCACGAAGTGGTGGGTATAACCAGAGACATGGTACTATTAATGATAATAGTGCTAGACCAAACCATCGACGACCACAACCATCTTCTGCACTACAACTGCAAAATAAATTCAATTATAATAAACATTCTTACTCAAAAAACATTGTTATTTTTAATGAGCTGTTATTCAACAAAATTTCAATTAAAAAGTACGATATAATATTAATACTAGTTGATTGGTCTTTTTAAGATTAAGAAATAAATTAGTAGCAATGTAAATAATTAAAAACGCAATAAAGAAATCATTGATAGATAATGAAACACTTATCTCAGATACTAATCGGAGTGATAGTGTCACTTTAATTATCTTTCACTTTTTGAGAAAATCAAGGCAATTGAAAGATTAATTGAATGAAGTTTTGGAATATAAACATGAATCAAGTTTGATTTCTGATAAACTAAGTGTTTTCTTAGAAGGACTCATTATAAGGATTAGTAGTATACTATTGATCATAAAAAAAAAAATTAATTATCAATATTTGATAGAAATTTAGTAAATATGTTCTGAGAATTTATAAGTTTTTCTAAGAGACAATTTCACAATAAGTTTTATAGAAAATGGTTTTTTTTTTCTATAAATAGTTTTCATATAAATATTGAATTTTTAACTGAGTGAATAACTGATAAATAGTGTACTCATGATTGAGCATATTCAGCTATACGGAAAAGAAAGAGTTAGCAAATTAATATTTCAAATTAGTTGAAATGAGAAAATAGATACCTGCAAGGATTTTGTGCAAAATCTCCTTCTGCATCACTCATACAATGATAGAGCATACATTGAGCACACAAAAGGCACGAAACTTTAGCGATGCCTTTTTTAACAGGATCAGGTGCATACTCGCAAGACCCTCTAGGGTTTTGATGCTCCGAATATACTTCCTGACAATATTTACATCGTAACCTTGCATTACGTTGTTTTTCGGAGCTTTTAGTAGGTTGTGAAATAATGATGTCGGGTTTCTTAAGTGAACCTGATGAATTACGACGTTCGGTAGGACTTCGATCGCCTTTATGATCGTCGATCACAGGATAAAGGTAATCGTGGTTAAGAGTTGTGAACTGCACGTAAGGGTAATTATCGGAGCTCACGTCGCCACTCGAGTCGAGTGGATGATGATGCGTCGGCGCGACCTTGACGGACGGGCTGATATAATGAATTGACGTTGACTTGTGTGGATCTGGAGGATCACCACACTGGGAATGATAATTTGGTACACGAACTATTCCACGAGGTGGGTCCGATGACTGTCGAAGATCAGGAGGATCTGCAGGGAGATTTACAGCCTGGAAGAATACAAAATATTTTAATTAATTATTTTATTTTCATTCATTTTTAGGAGCTTATTCTCATTAAAACAACTGATATTAGTTAATTATAAAATTATGAAATGTATCAGATATGAATCTTAAGATGTATTAATAGTGAAATAGGTATATGATTACATTATCAAAGATTTTTGAAACTTGAGACATTTTTTTCCTAAAACAAAAATTCTCAAGTCAGCAACATGGATTTCTTTCAAAGAAATATGTAATAGTTCATCTCATAATATTTTCATTTTAATAAGCATAAGCAACAATTTTTTTTTTTAATTTTCTACATGAGAATATGTGCCCTTTAGATAAATATAGATAAATGAAAAAAAATTACCATAAATACTCCATCGTCACCTCCATCTGGATGATCACCACGCAAGGTTGTATCCGTGAGCCCTGTTGAATAGTATTGATGTATTGAATTAGCTGATGAAAGAAGCAGTTTATTAGTGAGACAAAAGCTTCTACCATAGATCTTACCAAGTAAGTAGATAATCCAAAGAATAGCAGAGAGACAAGACAAAAAAGCGTTAAATAGGTGAAAATGAAACACTCGGCGTTGAAATGTCAAGTGAGTAGATGATTAATTCGTAGATTATCAATCACCTTCCAACAGCTCTTCCAGTACACTGCGAACTCCTTTGTCGAAAGCCCTGGCATCAGCGGCGGTTTGGAACGTCAGGCCAAATTTCTTCTCCCCCGTGCACCAGTGGTGGAAGGTTGGCATCACTTTATGGTACTTGAAGTCCTTTTTTATGGTACAGCTAAGCACGACCTGTTTAATTCATTAATGAAACATTAATATTTGGAGAATTTTGTATTTTACTATTGTAAACATCAAAAAAAGTGAAAGTTTTTCTTACCGATTGATCTTTCATTCGTCTTCCGTAAATGAAGTATTCATGATTTTTCTTAGCCGCGGTTGGTGGAGATGTGCTAGATGACCCTAGACTCTGATTGGAAGTAACTATGCCAGTGGTAGTAGATGGAGTCGATGATGATGGAGTGATGACAGCAACAGAACTAGAGCCTCCACCAGTGCCATTGGAATTTCCTGGAAGATGTCCAGCATTGCTTGAAGTTACCCTCCGTCTGACAGATACATTGGCCAACCCTCCACCACTCAATGGAACCCATCCTCCAGAGCTGTCATCTCTCGTCATCACCTGGGCTTGGACTCTCACCAGACAGTTACCACTAGATGAAAGACAAATAACATAAGTTGAATTAATGTAATAATATGAAAATTATTCAACAGAAATTGATTTAATGAAAAATCCTCGCCCTACCCCAGACTCTCAGAGTCCATGTCATCCGCACTCATGTCACCTCAAAGCAAACTTTTAATAAGAACCAACGTCGATGCATTCTCAGTATAAACTAATTTTGTTAAAGTTTTAACATTAATGAAGACAAGATTGGAAAAAAGCATGGAAATACGTGAAATAGGCGTACGCATTGACATCGATTCGATGAATGAACGGGCAACGTGCACACACGCACTCACACCCGCGCATGACTTCTCTTCATGAATGCCCCAGAACGTGTGTTCACTTGATGGAGGGCAGACAGGGGTGTGTGGGTGTTTTGTCGGTGGCAAACGATCGGTATTTTCCTCAACAACGACGTTACCTTCAAGGTTAGGTCACAAAATAAACCTTCAACTCCCTTCAACTTCCAAACCTTAGCTTTAGAATCAACAGATTTCGATCCCCAACACCAAAACACTTAACACTTGATGCAAATTCCAAAATTATGAAAACGACACCCTTTAGAACAAGAATGTCGTCGAGATGATTTAATAACTTTTACTCACTCGTCCGAGGCTTCTGTCATGGTTTGAGGTGTCGAAAGCCTTACTCAATGCCCACTTTTCTCCACACTTTATCATTTTTGTCACATTGAGAAAACATTCGGTCGAAGATTCAACTATTAGTGGACCTTTTTTTAGGCTAACGCCAACGACAGGAAGCAGTGCTACTCCTCCCTCTTTAGCGTTCACGCTTCACCCCTTCACCGCTCTTGCCCCTACTTCGTTTCTCAAATGGACTCCACGCCTGCTCCCTGTGCTGCCCCCCCTAGTCTTCTATTCTCTCTAGCTCTCACTCTTGTCTACCTCTGCTATTTCCTTTCTCCTGTGAATTGTATACATTTACCATCTTCTTTTTTTTTATTTCTTTCTCAATGATTTTCACCCGTAACCCGGGAATCTTGTTCGAAAAATGCTTTTTTTACCAAACAAAAACTGCAAAAGGTGCTTCATCAGTAAGAATTTAAGATAAAAATTCTATATTTGATCTTTTTCTAATTAAATCGAAATTGTTTTACACGAATTTTCCTCCACACAAAATACAATTTATTTATTTAAAAATATCTAGAGTAAGAGTTTGTTGGGTTAGATTAATAATACTGATCATCTTTCAGAGTCAAAATTGACTGGAATTTCTACAAGCCTTGAAATGGATCGTTCCAATTTATTCAATTAATGAGAGAATGATATAACCTCAGATAATGCAATATCCGGATATTCATTAAGTATCTTATAACATTATCACACATTAGATTCTTCTGTTGACTATGTAACAACAGTAAACTGTCCAAGTCAAATTATTTTTGAAATATCAATTTTTTTTCGATTTAAAATAAATTAAAAACCGCGCTTTTTGAGACTTGATATATAGCACGATCTGGCGGAAAACATGCTAATTATAATTAAGAATTTTTTTGGAAGAAATCAAAGAATTTTATGGATTTGTTTACAATTAAGAATTATTTACAAAATAAAATTATAAAAAGTTGAAATTCTATTTGTTTTTTACAGCGTTTCCGTATTTTTTATATGTTATGTTTAAAAATCCCGCAAAAATGTATAAACTGCCATCTATCTTTCAATTCAATTTACACAAAAACATGACAGATGTTTATGTGAGACAGAGAGAAAAGAAAAAGTTGTGAATGAGAAGCAAGCAAAGGCAAATGAACTTGTTACACTTGTAAATTATTTACTAAAGTACTTAAAATAGAAAAAATCATACATTATATTTATTAAATAAGATAAATTTATTTCAGTGACAATAATTACAAACATAAAATTCTAAACAGTATCTGGAATTTTATAGAAGCTGGTGAAGAAGTTAGGAAATCACGTAGTATTATGAAAACATTGTGACAAAAATTGATTAAATTGTGCGAACAATTAGTGAATAATAAATGGATAATCAATTATTTCAATGATTAGTGTGATATTGTTAGTGGCGTTTAATCGTCACATGTAAGACTAATTCATAATTACCGAGTGAAAAGCTACTTTGGTGATCAACAATGGCTGGAAACTTCTGGCACAGTTCACATCAGTAATATCATAAATATTAATACTGAAACTATAATCAACTTGTAAATTTTTAATTCTTTCTTTTCTGACAACATTCATTTTTTTGCAGTCAACAATGGCTATTGGACAAACAAGACTTAATTAGAGAACGACAATACGATTTAACTATTTTGTCTGAAGAAGAATACCAAAAATTATTTATCTTTTTTGCAAATTGTAAGAATTATCAAAAAGCTATTGATTAATTGAATCTCATCGCATCATAATTAAAGCATTTATTATCATTTCAGTAATTCAAGTATTAGGAGAACAATTAAAATTACGACAGCAAGTAATTGCAACAGCAACAGTTTATTTCAAACGTTTTTATGCACGAAATAGTTTAAAATGCATTGATCCACTTCTTCTTGCACCAACTTCTGTATTTTTAGCATCTAAAGTTGAAGAATTCGGTGTCATTTCTAATACTAGATTAATATCGACTTGTCAAACAGTTAGTAAGTAAACTTGAATTTTTTATTTATCGATAAAATTGTTATTTTCAACAAATTAGTGAAGCTCAATAAATAAAATTTAAAAATCTATTTTCTATTTCAGTTAAAAATAAATTCAATTATGCATATTCTCAAGAATTCCCCTATCGAACAAACCATATTTTGGAATGCGAATTTTATCTGCTAGAACATCTTGATTGCTGTTTAATTGTTTACCAGCCTTATAGACCCCTTCTAACACTCATTCAAGACGTCGGTCCTGATGATCAACTTCTTACACTCGCTTGGAGAATTATCAACGATAGCTTGAGAACTGATGTTTGTCTTCTCTATCCACCTTATCAAATAGCTATTGGATGCTTACAAATAGCATGTGTAATACTTCAAAAAGATCTCAAATCATGGTTTGCTGAATTGAATGCTGATATGGAAAAAATTCAAGAGATTGCTCGTTATATTATCAATTTATACGAATTATGGAAAACTTATGATGAGAAAAAAGAAATTCAAACTTTACTAGCAAAAATGCCGAAACCGAAAGCTGCACCACAACGCTGACATGAGGGAGAATTTGGTCTTTATGAGTCTACATAGAATGGCATTAATATCCATAATGATCAAGTCTCGCTGTTATCGATAAACTAATGAAAGTAATCGATAACAAATTCTAAATTATTTTTCTAAAAAATTATTTATTTTAATTTCGATTTATAATCGTTAATCATTGATAATATTTTTATTTGATTTCATCATGATAGATTTCAGGCTAATGATTTACTTATAAACTTTTATATATAATAAATAAAATTATATTGTCATACAAAAATTTTATTGAAAAAATTATACCTATATTTACACTCAGATAGGAAAATTATAAAAAATTAATTTCAACCCTTAGAGTAACGTTTCCAAAATCTCTTGACGTCATCATGGCCAGCTTTTGTAACTACCATTGTACGTTTTCTGTAAAAAGAATTTTTAATAAATTGATTTTAACATTTTTAGAATAATTTATTTTTTCCAAGTTTTTTTTTACTTTTAGTTTACAATTGAAAATATTGTCGCTAATTACTGTACCTTTCATTCTGCCACACAAGTACTCCTATCGATACTGCATGATCTCGTAATACTTCGAAATCCGTTTGTGATAAAAATTGACTGTATAAAACACCTTCGCTAAACATGAACCTATTTCTTTCATTCTCCCACAATTTAATTTGATCAACAATCGTCGGTGGTAGCGTTGGCGGACCCGCTTCAATCATTTTTTTATGTGCATGTTGTTGCAAGAAACTGTTATACAAATAAATGTCAAAGTTAAAATTCGTATATTGAGAAAAGAGCATAATAAAGGGAACAAAAGAATAGACTTTTACCCTATTATTTGAGTTGCCGTTATTCCGCTTTTCAATGCTTGACGTACTGAATCTCTTGTCAATATCGCTACAACTAAATTTGGAAATCTGTGAAAGAGATATGACATTTAAATTATTTAATAATTGATATCATAAATAGAATAAATGTAGTTCACAAATATCAAATAACAAAATATTCTAAAATAACTTAATTATTAATTTTAATAACTTAAATTTCATTACCTATATAACATTTCACAAAACAACCCTAGCAAAGCAATTTGCAAACTTGAATTAGTGTAGGCATAAACTCTATAATTTGTTTCTACAATAACGTATCCTTCTTTATCAATATCTCTTACTAACGGTTTATTTTGGCCAGTTGCAATATTTAATGCTAAACGAGTTGGATAGAATCTAAAAATAATAAGAGATTTTTAAGAAAAATTATTTAATTATTCCAATAAAATATGCGTTACAGATTCGGATAAATAAAAAATTACCTTCCAGCTTTTCTCTTACGTTGATAAACAAGTCCAAATTCTCTTAAATGTTGTAAAAATGTTAATAATCCTTCAGACATGCCTTCAGTACTGTAATCTTTACCGAGGATTGAAAAATTTAGTTGAAATAAAAATGTTAAGCATTCCACCAAATCTAATCCTCTAGTTTCTATTGTATCCAAATATTGGAGTATAAAATACCAGACCTAGAAACAATAGATATTTATTCACTTTATTCTACTTATTTCACGAGTTTCGCAGCTTAATAGCATCATGATTAAATTACCTGAGATGCTGTATCCAAAAGAAGAAATTGAAATCCTGCTTGAGTAATAACTGGACTGCCATCATCATCTCTCTTCATTAATCCAGCATGAAGTAAAATTCTCACAGCATCTGCAGAAATTCCTTCCTGCTGCTGAGATCCCACCATATAATGGAGCACACATTCCCATCTTTCTAAAGCATAAGAATCCAAAAAAGCTACATCTCTTGGCTTAGAATCTATTTCCAACTGATTTGACATAGTCCATGGTTTCCCTCCACCTAACAGAACAATTTTTAAGTTTTTCTTGAATATTGAATTTAATATCCATCCAGGTAAACCTCCAGGAATTGATGCTTCCTTCCAAACGTTTAATTCGTTGAGAACATGTACAACTTTTTGATGCTCTTCAGCATGAATTTGCGAACACCAAGAAGCAATCACAGCTTGTGGCACTGGTTGCTCCACAAATAATAATCTCATCACATAATGCCGAGCAATTTCTGGGAGCTCTCGAAAAACTGCCAAACATATCGGTGGATTTTGATAAAGTTTATTTAATACTTCAGGTGGCCGAGATTTTAAATATTCATGTAAATCTTTGCATTGAAGTCCTGTTGAACGCAAAAGGTTTTGACCACTTTGTGAAGTCATTCTTAAATGACAAGAAAATTTTACTTTTACGGTTTTATTTAAATTTTAAATAATTCATTTAAATTATTCAACTACATTAATATACATCTTATATTATTTATTTTATAAAAACATTTAATTATAATACACCTAAATAATTGTTTTATTATTTTATATGAATGAAAATTTATTCACATTTTCTGAATATGTAAACAAATCTCAGAATTGTGAGGTTAGAAATAAACCTCGTATACCGGTGTGAAAATTTGGCCAATCAATCTCCAGAAAAATTTGTGGTACAGTTTATTCCATGAGCGTTAGTTGTATATTCCAGCGTGTTATTTATTTATTTATTGAGTTTTAAATTGAGTGACAATGTAAATTAAAAAGTTATTTTCTACAACTATTATTAACATAATAAAATTTTTAGTATAATATTCAAAATATAATGGTACATAACCAAGATTATAAATTTAGGTAAGTCAAAATGATTTATTTATTTATTTATTATATAATCAAATTTGTTAGAAGAATACAATATTATTAATAGTAAACTGCAGAAAACTAAAATAATTGAAAAATATAAAAGATAATATAAAAACATCTTATCAAATAATTAAAAGAGTTACATGAACGTATTAAATATTTTTTCCAATATTTGAAATACATTTAAAATACTTGGTACATTCTTCAATTTTTTTTCAATATAATTGTTAGGACTTATAGTTTCAGATGAAATTTCGCTGAATATATTTTTTATCAGTGGTACATGAATCACTTTATTGATAACAGCATCATCGTACGGAAATCCTAGTATGGAATTGATGATTTTAGAGTGTTCCAAGCAACATTGAAATTGCATAAAAATGTGATATGCGTCAATTGTTATTTCTATGATATTTTTTTTGTTTTCAAACATAGATAATATCCAGTCAGCCACTTCTTTCAAATCTTGACTTGTTATCTTTTCTAGAGCTGTTATTAATGATGAATCTTTTTCTTCAACATTTCCTTCACTTGGAAGCTGTTCAATTTCTTCAACAAACCTGATATCAAATAATTGATCTTTAAAGTTGTTAATCTTATTTTCAAGTATCATAAAAAACATAGACAAAATTAATGTGTATGAATGATATTCATTTTTTTTTGGTTCAACAATTTGTTTCATCCAAAACACCATTGTTGCGAAATAAAGTCGCCAATCTTGTGGTAAATTATGAAGGACATGTGCTTCTTTAATTCCCAATAAAATATCATTTAGAATCTCCAGTTTAATCTTCATATTTGATCTGATGTCTTCCAGGCTTAAAGGATACTTTTTCACCAATATTTCTCTGCATTCAATGGTAGAATCTTTTCGTATGAATAACTTTAGTGAAGAAGTTTCGTTTTTATTTATGTATGGTAATAAAAGACGATAAATAAATATAATTAAAGGTATACTCATTTCATAAATTGATGGTTGATTCAAATTTTCCGTATGAGGCCAAACAGTGTAAGCTTCATGTTGAAATAAATCAATTATAGAAGGATTGATGTTTCCTTTTATAACCTCATGAATAAGCCAATCTGGAATCATTGATAAGGTTTTAGAGATACTATCGAATTTTTCAACACTTTCATTATTGTCTTTATCATGTTCACTTTTCATTTTGTAGTTCAAAAATTTTTTTTCCATTTTCGAAATTTTTACCTGATTAATTGTAAAAGATTGTAAATTGGTACAGTAATTGAACATGTATGTAGACATCCCTGTGTAACTGTTTATAATACTTTCAATATGTGTTAATGATTTAGTCTTTATTTTATCCAAAATTATTTCAACTGCTGAATCCAAAGTGTGATTGCTTAACCATTTGAATGCTTCTTCTATTTTATAATGAGGAAGAGAATTAAATTTATCAAAATTTGGTAATGAATAAGGCAAAAAAATTTCATGTAAATTATCATCTGGAAAGTAATCATCATTTAGTAAAACTGACAAAAGTGGTAAGCAGAAAATATCTAATCCAGAATACATTTTTATAAATTCATGTGGACGCGAAATCTTGCATAGAAATGACATGTTTGGTTGACCATTATTTTTGAATAGAAGATTACGGAAAAAAATACAGTCAGTGCCAAATAAAAATAGGTCAGCATTAGCTGTTAAAACAGGATAATTTAATATTTTAGCTGTAGTTGCTATAACGTCTGCAGCGTGAAACGGACATACTGTGAATTTAATATTCAATCCCTTCAACACTTCCACAAAAATATCATGTTTAAATGTTTTATAGTAAAGATAGTCAATTGGTCTCACATCAATTGGTGAATTCTTAATTGTTTCAGTTATAACTTTTATTTGTGAATCTAGATTTTGTTCTTTCCATGCACCATTGACAAACACAAAAATATCAACTTTATGATCAATAAACTTTTGGAAAAAATTCATCACATAATCAAAATAAATTTGATACTGATTTTCAGGATCAATTCTTGCATCCTTTATGGAATGGTGTAGTAAATGATACGAAATACTGGTACCATCAATAATTATTTTCGAATGATCAAGTTTAGAGTATTTCGATAAATTTTTATTCTTTTCAATGAGAAAACTATATAATCCTGGTACTCCCATTTTTAAATTAAAATTTTTTTGTTCAATTAAACACTGAATAAAATTTAGATGATTTAAAGTTTCGCCGATCAGTACTTATACTAGCTTTATAAAAACACCGATCTTCTTTTCAAATGAGAAAATTGCGCAGTATATTTATCCTATCCGTCATTTATTCATTAGTGGAGAGGGTTCTTTTCTCCGAACTATGAATGTGATTGGATTCTTTTAGATATTGACTATCACCATTCGAATGTTTTATAACAACTACTAAACGAACAAAAATTGTATATGTATATTTATTTAAGTCGAAAATATACAATGACATTTCAAACATTCTATATGAGATTATGATCATATTGCTTTAAACCAATGAAAATCACTGATCTACAAAAATAACATTTTTTATCAACAATAAAACAAATTTTTTACCATATAAATGGTATTATGATTTTACGGTTGGGATAATTTTCAAAATTTTGTTTATACCATTGATGTTGGAAGAATCCATTCGCCATCTGCAACAATATGTAAGCAAAAAATTACATACTTGAGTACATGTAATGATAATGAATTATTGCAATGATGATGCATACGACACATGTGACTCATTAATGTTTCAAAACTATTATTTAAAAAAATCTTTTATTATTTACCTGATTCATAAAAACCCACATTGATATATAATGAATGGTCGAATTCTCCCAAAGAATAGCAGTAAGTGTTAAATATATCACGATTTCAGTAAATTGCAATGGAGTTGATATAAAATCAAAAAGTCTACCCGTAGGAAGTTTATATGAATTACACAATATTTCTTCTGTTTTATTTTTCCGAAGATTTACTAAAATAATATTCGTTCGAAATTGTTCATAAGTCGCCATCAGCATTACTACAGAGCAAATAATATTGTAAGTGGTGGCAAATTTATTGAATTGAAAACTTTTGTGAAAGCCTAAAAAACAAAATAGTATGAATGAGTATACAAATTTTATTTAATTGATAAAAAAATCATTCATCTAATTATAAATTATACCTCTTACGAATCCATAAGATTCTCCAACAATAGTTGACACAAGCATACTGTAATGAACCAATCCAATAATATAAAGTAGAAAACTTATTCTCGCTTGACTGTAAATAGTAACATAATGAGATTCATAAAATCGTTTCCATACGTGAATAGTCATCAAAATCATTGCTAGCAGAGTTGCTTCTGGAGAAACTATTGAAATGTAATAATCAATCAGTATCACATTGAAATCATGACTTTTCTATCAATTATAAATATTATTCTGATTTTATTACCATTTGCTTTTCTAGAAGAACCTAATTCAAAATCTAAGATATTATAAATTATACGAGATGTTGTACCATAGAAAAAATATATGCGTATTGTCATCAATAAAATTATAGTAAAAATTGGTGCAGCATACAGATAAAAATGTCGAAAGTATCTGAAATAGTCACAATAATTATCTTTATATTATTACAATACAAACAATAATTTATAGTTAAAACATTTAATCATTACCTTTTAGGCACTTTTAAATCCATCATGGAAAATTCTTGCTCACTTATAGATTTTCCATGATAAACATTTCCTTGTAAAATATTTGGAAAATATTTTTCTTCAATAAACAATTTGAATGTACTTATTATTACACCTGCATTAAAAAATAGTGTTATTAATTGAACAATATTGAATTCCATCATCTATGTATTTAAAAAGAAGCTAATGTTAAACTTTAAGTGATTTTTGTCTGAATTATGAAACATTATTTGAATTTTACAATTTATAATAAATTCCGTTCCCCCTACTATTTTAGTAAACATATTTGTATGCACATAAAAAGTATTATAAAATTAGTTGGAATAAATGAATAATGCAAATAAAGAATTAAATAATCCTCAATGTATTTTATTATTTCATCAAAACTAACATAGTAATTTTTATTGTAATTTTATATTTATTAAGTGAGTAAGAAATTACATTTGAATTAGCAATATGAGTTACGATAATTGTACAAAACAGGTAAACCATATTTTTTGTAGAATAAATGTTTATCTATGTTTATTTTATTATGATTTTTATTAATCATATTTAAACTAGTGATTTTTTTTTTATATTTTCATTATAAGTTGTGTTTGATTAATAGATATATAATAATATTCATGAAAAATAATTATCAAATAAATAAATTGATACGTTTTAAGCAGTAAAATGAAGTTTTAATAAAAATTAGGACATGATTAGAGATATCAAAACGTTGTGTTTCATTGTTTCTGTATTATGAAATCTATTCTACTTTGTAATAGTTTGAAAGCATTTAGAATGCTTGGTGCATGTTTTAATTTTTCAGCAATATAAGAGTCAATGTTAATAGATTGTTGCGACATGTCCATGAATAAATTAAATATTAATAATTCATGGAAAGTCTCGCTGATAACTGTTTGTTGATAAGGAAAATTTAATAGTGCATTAATGTCTCTTAAATGTTCTAGACAAATCTTAAACTGCGAAAAAACATGAATAGCTTGAATGAGTACATCTGTTGGTACTGCGGAGTCATTCGTAGCTTGAAATGAATATGATTCATTTTCTAATAATGGTAAGAAGAAATTAGCTGCCATCACACAGTCATTATATGTGATTTCTTTAACAACATTCTCTAGAATTAATCCTTTATGTTTGAATAATTTTCGATTTGAGATTCTTTCAACTGTTGCATGATATCGTTTACGAAAAAAATCATAATCTCGTGTGAAACCAATTTTTTCTTCAATTACATTAAAGAACAATGCTAGAAGCATTGCATTTAAATGAATTTCATTTTTTAATGGCTCTTCTTTCTGTTTTAGCCAAAAAACTATTGTGGCTACATAAAGACGCCATTCATCTGGTATATCTTGAAAATCTCTATGATTAATACCCAAATCTTTATTAACAATATTTAATCTCAAATTAATCTCCAAATTTCGTGTAGCATCTAATTTTGAAAGTTCTTTTTTCAAAGTTATTCTTCCATAATGTTCTAAATCGTTATCTTTCTCTAATATTAATGATAGTAGTTTAATTTTTCCTGTGTTAATGCAAGATATTGCCAGATTATAAATCAAGGAAAGTAATGGAAGACTTATTTTATACTCTGATGGATAACTGAAACCTTTTAGTTCATGCCATGGAATATATGCATGATGTTTCATAAGATAAAGAACAAATGGAGTGAATTTTCCTTCTAAATATTCAGATAAAAATGAATAAGAAATAGATCTTTCAAATTTTTTTTTCATCAAGTCTTGATTACAATTAATATGGTAATGAGTAGCATTCATTTTGGTCAGATCACTTTTATCTTTGAATTTGAATACAAAAAATTTTTTCTCTGCAGCATACATTTTTTCCTCAGGAATATCAAATGAACTTGTAAAAGTTAAATGATGTAACATATAAGTACACATTGTTGAATAATGATTAATAATTTCTTCAATTAATTTTCTTGATAATTCTAAAGAATTACCAGTAGCAATCATCCATGATAAAACTTTTTCAGCAGCTAAATCTAGAGTTTGATTTCGTAGCCAATTCAATACTGCTTCAATTATTTCATGTTCAGTTAATCTGATATTTGATGGTGGTTGAAGCTTCAAGAAAAATTGCAAAGCATCTTCAGTGAAGCAGCCTTGGCTCAATAAGACTGATAAAAGAGGAAGACATGAAACATTGAGTCCAGTAAATTTTTTTAGAATTTGATTATGACCAAAGATATTGCATTCTGTGTTATTTTTAGAATCGTTGAATCTAATGAAGTCCAGAAAAATGCAATCGTTTCCATAAAGAATAAATTCTGGATTATTCGTTAATACGGGACAGTTTAAAATTTTAGCAATAGTAGCAATTGTATGATCAGCTTCAAACGTACACATTAAAAAATCAATTTTTAATTTTTTTATTACTTCTAAAAATACGTCGACTTTGAATGTTACATCTTTCGGAAAAATCAAAAGATCAGAATTTTTATGTTTTACTTCTAGATCTGATTGTTTTGAAGATAAAACTGTAGATTCATCATGTTGTGATTCCCAGTTTCCGTCAATAATAACAAGAATGAATCGATCATTATCAACCTCTGCTAGAAGATTATTGAAGAAATATTTTACAGATCTGGCGTAACTGTAGTAATCTACACCAAACATGTTGTTTCGATTTTTCCATTGGTTAAATAAATATTGCGAAGTACTGTTCCCATCAACAATTAATTTTGCTTTCTTCAATTCGTAAGGATTAAATAATTCCTTACATTCTGTTGTAATATATGAATATAAACCATTGCTTCCCATCTTAACGGTTTTCAATTTTACCTTTATCAATTTTCACTTAGTTTTACTCGTAGGATTAAAAAAACTGTATATGTATTTATATTCCTTAATTCAACAATTAATACACAGTTGAATCTCTCTATTACTTTTATCTATTATCAAATGTAATTACAAACGTGTAACAAAGAATATTCTACCATAATTCATCACTTAGGTACACATGATCAACTATGTAGCACAATATAGAATGAGATCATGCCGAATTAAAACGATGGAGGTAACTTTGATCATGTTTATTTCACTTCCGGTTTTTTTTATCCGTCTATAGTACATACAAAAAATTTATTCCTTATCGGTGATCGATGCCATAACCAAGTTTTTCTTTCTTTTGAATATATCATTATTTATTTTTTACATTTATTTACAAACTTATTAATTTAAAACAAATTCAAATAAAATTTTATTTATTTTAATATAATAAATAATTATACAGAGTTAAATATCACCTTAAAATATTATTCTTAATTAAGTTTCGAAGAATTTCATATTTGTGTTCGATCAAATTAATAAGTGATCCTTCTCGCTTAATTATAATTGAATTATTGTCATTATTCTTGACATAAATTATCAATCTAAAGGTAGCTATTCCAACTTGAGCATATCGTTTTGGATCATTTTTAAGTTTACAGGCCAAAGGACTTCCTATAAAATTCTAAAATAAAAATAATTAAAATTACTATAAAATTCATAATTCATTTAATATACTTGTTTTTTATTTTATAGATACGTACTAAAGGAATAACTGAGAATTCGTTATTATGAGCATGTGACAAATGGAAGTCTCGACCAACAATCCAATCTCTGTCAGTATGCAGCTGTCTTTGACGAAATCCTTCGAGATTGAATGATTGATTAACAAAAGATGTTTTGTATGGAGTATTTATTATACCTAGTTATGAATTTTATCAGTAAGTTATCATAAATTATATAACACAATGTATTTATAATTAATTTTCGCAATATTTGTTACCTGCACGATAAGACGTTTGAGACCATTCTCTCATCCAACGAATGAACACACAATCATCTTCATTAATAATACTCGTACTATTTGCTACAAGTATAGGATGAATTTTAGTAGAAACAAAAAACGGAGTTTTTAAGATTAACATGGTATAACTTGTCTCTAAGTTTTCTTTTCTATTGAAGTTGTTTTGACGAACAATTTTTGAAATACGCCTGGTGGTACAACCATATATAAACAATTCATTATTTATGTTTAAATTTCTCTTAATATCTCTACATTTGGTTTCAACAATCAAATCATTTTCTGTGTACCTAAAGAATCATATACTGTTATGGATTATTTACTGAATAGGTCAGCTTTGAAGAAAATTTATTCTAATTATTTTTATTCTATTAATGATACCCTTCGATAATTGATGCTGCTGTAAGCACTGCTTTTGGATGGATTATAGAACCATAACCAAGTCCTGTAAATGCATACAACTTTAAATGTAAAACTCAAATAATTATTCATTTACATAAATATGAATTTCATGCCAAATAAAAGAGAGTAAAAATATTTGAGGATAAAATACTTACTAAAAATAATATTGGGACTATTTTTTCGAATTGCAACAAGCCATGGAAATTTGCTATTGTTTTTCTTATTAATTTTTCGATTAACATATTTAAAGTGACGAAAGCTGCAAGATAGTGACCACTGTAACAAGGTCAACACTAAGAGTATTCTTATCGAAATGTACATATTCGTAAATAAAATTTATTCAAAAACAACAAGCTTTATAACAAGACAAATTCAAGTATTTTCAATTATCATAGTTTGTACTGAGATATTAAGTCATTGAAATCTAAGATCTAGACTGGAATAAAATCACTCAATTTTTATTTCAAATTTTATGTATATATGAAACCGATAAAGATCATGTGACTTTTTATGTGTAAACTTGCTCAATACCTTTGGTATCTATTCAAGTGCAAAGTATTGTATGATATTTAACTACAATAATCGAATGAATAACATTAATATGTGTAGAATGTAATATTCTTAAATGTGCTCTTTTATTAGAACAAGTGTCATTGAGTAATTACAGGTGGTAGTATTCTATTGAAAATATTCGTTTATTAATATTTTTTGTTAACATGTCTATTCATTGGAAGCCGCTTAATTAAATTTGAGTAGATTATAAATAAATCTTGACGTCATAGGTTTATAGTATAAATTTCACCATACCAAAAATAATTTAGAATATCTTTTACAATTCTATAATTTACTTAAAGTTCAAAGTCACATCTACGAATATTGATACAAAAAATTAAAAATAGATTTTCTATTGTAAATAAATTCAATTCAAATAATTTATTTAAATAACATTTTATGGTAGTGACTTACCAGTAACTGAACTTAAGAGAATAAATATCAATTGATGTCTGACTAATGACAGACTTTCGCTACTGAGAATTTATTTAAAATATTAGAAAATAATTATGAGAAAAAATTACAGTTTTGACAGAAGTGTTTTGAATTTAATTATTATTTTTCTCTTTGAATTATCAATTATTCAGAACTTATTTATATAAAATTATTTTTACAACAAGTGAAAGAATTTCTAAAGTTTCGATCTGCTTGTTCACGATTAGTTGGTGAATAAACGGAGTTGGGAGCTAATGGCTTCGGTGGTGAGATATGTACTGATTCAGGTATTGAACTAGGTGTTGATTGGGGTGATGTAGATGTTGGAAGCTCAATCGTTGAAACAAATGAATCAATGTTCAAATTTTCACTCAATAATTGCATTATTTCATTTCGTTGATGAATAATATCAATAAGAGAACCTTCTTGTTGAATTTTTTCTATAGACTTATCATCATTTTGCAAGAATATTACCATATTGAAGGTACCTATGCCAACTTGAACATATGTTTGTAGTCCATTGAGTTGACAAGCTAAAGGACTTCCCATAAAATTCTAGAATAAAAATTACGTAGAAATTTATTATCTCCAGATTTTTGTCAACCACTCATGGCTATAAAATAAATAATTTTTTTTATAAAAAACTAGATTAAAATTTACCAATGCATTACGATGTGGTACTTTATTGAGTGCATTAAAGTCTTGTCCAATAATCCAATCTCTGTCAGATATTAATTGTTCTGAATCAAAATCTTCAGTACTAAATGATCCATTATGGTAAGATGTTTTATATGATGCTATGACCAGTTCTGGAAATGAAATAAATTAAATTCCTGAGAAGAAATTGTTCTAATGCACGATAGAAAATTTTGTAAATCAATTTTAAGCCTACCTCTTTTACCATCACTCATAGAAAACTCTCGCATCCAACGTATATAAACGCAATTACTATGATTGATATCTTCAACACTTCTAGCTAAATTGATTACATTAATTTCATCTTCTATTTTGAATGTTTCCTTGAGAATGAGAATAGCAAAATCATTTTGAGAAGGATTTTGCCAATTATAATTTTTTGAATAAATATTTTTTGTAACATCTCGATTGATACAATGACGTAATGGTAATTCTTTTTCTTTACCGAAAGCAGATGATGGTTGGCATTTGGTTTGAACGATTAAAGTGTTACTATAGTATCTAAAAAATAATTAATTATTTGTGTAAAAAAATTTCTCTTCACTTTAATTAATCTATTTATTTATACCCTTTGATACCAATTGCAGCAGTAAGCACAGCTTTAGGATGTATGAGAGAGCCATAGCTCAATCCTGAAGATAGAAAATATTTTTAAATGATAAATATTGTTGAAGTATTTACAATTAAAACACTCCAAAAAAAATTAATTACTTAATTGATAGCGACTTTGATGTTTTGCCTTGATAGCCACAAGCCATGGATATTCTTCTCTATTTACCGGATCTATTTCTCTCTCAACTATTTTAGTGTATCGTCGATTACAACTTTGAGATAGTTGTACTACAGCAAGAAGCAAAATGCACTTTGCTATTATATTCATACTTTTGGTTTTCGACACAATAGTTCTGATTAAAAAGGAAGTATTCGAACTGTTGAAGTATATAACTTTGTCTTTGCTGATAGTACGATTCAATATGCTTTTTAGTAGGTTGCTGTCTCATTTATAAAGATGGTCAATGATGTTTTTTTATATACAATAACAGCTATGTATATAAAAACAGGTATGAACAATAATAGAAATAATTTTTACATTTATCTACGTTCGATCATAAAATGTTATCAGATAACATTAAATGAATCCAATCATTGAAGAATAATTAAATGTAATTGATAGGGTACGTTAGTGTGATTAGAGAATTATTCTACATGTTTCTGAATAAATAAATCCATTGACACAAGTGTAGGAAGTAAGATATTAACGGATGTTAATTATGTCTTATTCTTAAAAAATAATACATGTACGAATTTATCTATAAATATCATTAATTTAATAACTTTAAAAAACGATGGAATAGTACAAAAAAATTTGTCAAATTTCAGTCATTTTAAAACATGACATTGTCCTTGATCATTGAAACGAGTTGATATTAATTTATTAGTTGGATTAAATTAATCTCACTAATAAAAATGTTTACTCTAAATTATTTAATCCGGTAATTGTTGTCAAAATTATCAATTGAATTAGTGTTGATTTTTATCATTTTGTTTTAAAATCTATTTTTACATCTAACTGTTATATTCTTTTATGATATTTTTAGTTTATATAGTTATTAAAACAAATATATATTTAACATTAATTAAACAAATAAAGAATTATCTGTTTCTTTCTATAAATGCAGTTATTTTGAGCCTTTCCTCTACAACATCAACGTAATATCGTCCTAAAATTAATTTAAAATCATTCGATCTTGGTAACATTAAATAACCTGCTGCTACTCCAATCTGAACGTAAGTTGATTGGTTTGATTTTAGAGTACAAATCAAAGGGTTCCCTAAAAATTCCTAAAATCAAAATTATTAATAAAATTTAATTTTCTTGTCATTACTTGAAGGTAGAAGATGGATACTTTTTATAAAAAATATTACTTACTCTTGACATATCTATAGTCGCATTATGTCCATCTTGTTCTTGAAGGAGTATTGCTGTAACGTTTGAAATAGCATACTCGATATCTTGATTTCTTAATCGGTTGTGAATTAATTTTGCAATATTAAATTCATCTTCTAAGAAGAAAACTTTGTACGAATTTATTATTGCATCTAAAAATATCATTAATCACATTTATAATAAACAATTCTAAGCTTTTATCTGCGATTAGTTTGTCTTGTTTACCGACTAAAAATACTTACTTTGGACCGTAGAATCTCGCATATTAATAAAGTCCCATTGCATGAAAAGACAATTCTTTTTATCAATATCATGAAGATCTTTAGCTATATTTATCATTTTTTTTAGATTAAATGACAAGTTTAAAATTAAAATAACTATATCATTCTGGAACTTTTTAATGTTTGAAACTTTTCTTTTATCACATAGTTCCATAGGAACAATTGGAAGAGATAAAATTTTACATTCTCTCATGACTGTTAAATCACTCTCATGGACACTAAAAAATCAATAAAGTTTTCAAAAAATACTACAGTTAAAATTCGTTCATTATGCTTAATTAGTGTTAGAAAATTATTTGAACTGATATATTACTTAGCAACTACAGCAGCAGAAGTGAGGACAGCGTTATCAGAAATAAGCGAGCCATAACTCCATTCTATAGACAAAAAAAAAATTATTATTATTATTGTATATATTTGAAATATTTGATTTTTTTTTCTTCAAAATTTATTTTATTTTATTGAACTGTATTTTTTACTCACCTGTAGAATTTTTAATTCCAATAGCTACTACCCATGAATGCATGTCATTATTTTTATTTGCATAAATATTTCGGATAAATACAAATTGTAACAGTTGAACTAAAGCCCATTTTTGAAATAATTTTTTCGAAAAAATCATGGGCACTTATGATCAATTGATGTTTTAAAAAAAAAATTTTACAAAAGAGCGTATAATTATAAATCGAAGGAAATGTTAATAAATGCGTTAAGTTAGTCTGCTATCTCGTGAATTTATACCAAAATTTTGACACGTTTAGCATTAATTAGAATTGCTATGTACATAGATATAGCCGATATAATATAGATAAATCGTTAAAAATAATTTATTTCGATCTTTAACAGATAAATCGACTACTAATAAAATATTATGAGCTTACATTAAAAACAAATTTATTATCTTATCAATAATTCCACAAAATTTCTTACGTCGATTAACTATTAATAAATTTATGAAATGCGTAAAGAAGAACTGAATACATTTTTAGACTTTTATTGTATTATACTATCAATATTATTCATCTTTATTATATCAATTTTTCGAATGGAATTAGTGCGATTTATTATTCAATCCTTTAACAAAATTTTCAAAAAGAATAAGCTACTGACGTAATAATGAGACGTCTGATAGACAATCATTAAACTGAATTGCGATTATTAGACTTTTTTATTATATTCGATAATATTTTATTTATTAGTTTACAACTTACAGTTATACTAATACCTAATTTTTTCAAAAAATATCAATTTTCGTCATCATTTATAAAATTAAACTTTTATTTATAAATTTATTTCTGCAAATGATTGGAAAGAAAAAAAATGTTTATTCATTGTAACAAATTAATTGTTAAAGTATAATAATTAATATATTTTGACATAGTAGATTTTATTATAATATATATAAATATAAAAAAAGAATCTTTTTATAGCTTAATTAAAACTCACTCATTCAACAATGAATCAACTTTTTTTGACAATAATTTGAAACATTTCAAAACAGTCGGTGCATGATTAAATTTATCAGCAATGTATTTATCTACATTAGAATGTTGAGAAATATCTAAATACAAATTATAAATCAGTGGTCTCATCAACATTTGTTCAACTTTAATTTGATAATAAGGCATATTTAATAAAGAATTTAAAGTTTTAGAAAATTTTAAACAAATTTCAAATTGCGAATAAATATGAATAGTTTCTGTTGATAAATGAAAGGAAGGAGGTTGATTAAGTATCTTAGTTTGATTTTCAACCAAAGGCATCATATAGTTTGCTGCTATTAAAGCATCATTATTACAGATATTTTCAATTGCTTGAATCGTAGTAATTTCATCCTTTTGATTATGATGAGAGATACTTGTGGACATAATTTTTTTTATCGTTTCGTTATATTGTTCATTGAAACATTTGGATTTTTTTAAATGAATAATGTTCTTAACTACAACAAAAAACATTGCCAGAAGAAGAGCTTTCATGTGATTTTTATTTTTTTTAGGTGCCACATCTTGCTTGAACCAAAAGACTGCCGTTGCTACATAGAGACGCCAGTTCTCCGGTAAGTCTTGAAAATTTTCTGAATCTGCTATTCTCAAAACGTTGTTAATAATCTTCAATCTGTTTTTGACGTCTGATTTTCTTAGAGCTCCTAAACTTTTAGGGTAGCTATCAATTTTTATTGTCTTGTAATAAATATCACGATTTGTTCTAGCCATTAAATTTAAAGGTTGTAATGAATAATTTTTCATGCAACTTAACAAAAGTCTGTCGATTAATTCAATCAAAGAGATGCTCATTTCATATGCACATGGATAATTCAAATCTTCTAAATGATCCCATGGAATAAATGTTCGTAGTCCAATCATGCTAAAGATGAAAGAATGAATATGTCCTTTCATATGACAACGTAGTAACCAATCTGGAGTTAAACTGAGAACCTTTTTTTTTATTATATCATCATCTCGTTCTACTAGATTGTCATGTAGTTTTTCACTTGGAGATTTCTTCTTATCGTCCATTGTAAATTTAAAAAATTTGTCTTTTACTGAAGAAATTTTTTCTTCAGTAATCTCTAATAATGGTTCTGTTACTAAAAACTCTAATGTTAATTTAGAAAATGTTGTAAACCTATTAATATGAGCTTCAATAAATTTTTTTATTGGCTTTGGAGATTTTTCTACTGGAGTTAATAATGAACAAATTTTTGAGGATGCTGATTCAAGAGTATGATTACTCAACCAGTATAATGCTGCTCGAATTTTATTATAATTTTCAATCATTACGTTAGCTGATGATTGAAACTTGAGAATTTCCTTCAATAATTCATCATTGAAATAATTTTGATCCATTAACACTGATAAAAGTGACAGACACGAGATGTCGAGTCCAGGAAAACTCTTAATAAATTTATCAGAACGATATATTTTACATGCCATTTTATTCGTTAATTGTAGAGTGTTTTTATTTAATTCGATTGTATTGAACAGTATGCAGTCATTTCCGTAGAAAAAGTAATCCGAATTTGCAGTTAGAACTGGATAACCCAATATTTTTGAAGTGACTGCAATAACTTCATCGGAATCGAAAGTGCATTTTACAAATTTGATTCTCAACTTTTTTATAACACTCATAAATACATCGTCCTTGAATGCAGCATAATGAATACCTTCTTTTCTATCATAAAGAAATGGATCAACATTGGATGATAGACACTTTGTATGTTTTTGTTCAATTTTTTCTCGATTTCCAGGTCTAAAACAACCATTCATGACAAGTAGAAAATTAACTTTATGAAACATTAACTTTTTGAAAAAATCTGTTACGAATCTTGAAAAAGCTTCGTAATCACTACCAATAATGTATTTCGTTGTTCTGTTTTGTTGAGACAAATCAAATAAACGGTATGATAAACTCCGACCATCAATAATTATTTTAGTATTTTTTAATGTAAACGGCTCAAATGATCCTTCAGATGTTTTGATGACATAAGAATATAAACCACGAACACCCATTTTTTGTAATAATTTTAATATTTGTTTTGATCACACTGGTAATAGAAATATAAGAAATATTCTATCAATATAATTGAACGATACGTTATGTTTTACTTTTTACATGTACACATGTATGCTTGCTATTTTTTTTTTATCAGAAAATTCTGGGAAGTACACATTTATAAATCTAAGGACCTTGAAAATATTTCACGATGTATACACCGCTGTTCTACATATACATGTCATATTTACCATGGTTGAACTACTGAGAAAAGAAGCCGGTTTAGTTTTGCAAAACATATTTGAAATTCAGCGCCAACAATAATGACATACAGCGCCATGCGTTGTACGAAAACGAACTTCTGCATAAATTGTTGTTCGCTTACCGGGCATTAAACGTGTGTTTTTGTTGTCGTTTGTGTATTAAAGTAATTGCTTTGCAATAAATAGTAAATAAACATTATGAATTTAATTGTGACAAAATATAAATCAGTCATTCAATTTGATCAATAGTTCATATTACTCAAGTTTCAAGTTGATATATAACTAAAACATCATTGTTAATCACGTCCATATAATTTAACCTTAAAACTCTGAAGACGAACTGCTTCATCAAACAACTAAATAAATAGTTGAAGAAATCCATCAGGTGAAAGAATACTTATTTAAAAATGTATTCAATTTGTAAAAGTACGCATCCTGCCACAGGTGTGGAACATGCAATAACATGTTACTTTTTTAATCGAACTGAAAAAAATCTTGTTGTTGCCGGCGCCAATATCATCAGAGTCTTTAGATTAATTCCAGATGTAGATCCATCAAAAAGAGACAAAGTTTCGGATATACGATCTCCAAAAATGAAATTAGAACGCTTAGCTCAATACGTTCTTCATGGAAACATAATGTCACTACAAGCAGTAAGTTTACTTGGGTCTCAGAGAGATTCTCTGCTTCTTAGCTTTAGAGATGCTAAATTATCAGTAGTAGAATACGACATAGAAACTCATGATCTACGAACTGTATCTCTACATTATTTTGAAGAAGAAGAAATGAGAGATGGTTGGACTAATCACCATCACATTCCTATTGTGCGGGTAGATCCTGAAGGAAGATGCGCTGTAATGTTAATTTATGGTCGAAAACTGGTAGTATTACCTTTTAGAAAAGATCCTACTATTGATGATGGTGATTTATTAGAATCTGCCAAACCAAATTCGCACAAAACACCCATTTTATCTTCATACATGATAGTTCTCAAGAATTTAGAAGAAAAAATGGATAATATAATAGACTTACAATTTCTTTATGGTTATTATGAACCTACACTATTAATTTTATATGAACCAGTAAGAACATTTGCCGGAAGGATAGCTGTGAGACAAGATACATGTGCTATGGTTGCTATATCATTGAATATTCAGCAAAGAGTCCATCCAATTATATGGTCTGTTTCTAATCTTCCATTTGACTGTTATCAAGCTGTTCCTGTCAAGAAACCTCTTGGTGGAACTCTTATCATGGCTGTAAATTCTTTAATTTATCTCAACCAAAGTATTCCACCGTATGGAGTTGCTCTAAATAGTTTAACAGATACCAGTACTAACTTTCCGTTAAAAGCTCAGGAAGGAGCTAAAATGAGTCTTGAAGGAAGTCAGGTAGCATTTATCTCATCAGATCGTCTTGTAATTTCATTAAAAACTGGAGAACTATATGTTTTATCTTTATTCGCTGATAGTATGAGATCAGTTCGTGGTTTTCATTTTGATAAAGCTGCTGCTAGTGTTCTAACTTCCTGTGTTTGTTTATGTGAAGAAAATTACTTATTTTTAGGATCTCGGCTAGGAAATTCTTTACTACTACGATTTACTGAAAAAGAGTTAGAAAGTTCTTCACCAATTATCGATGTTCCTATGTCTGATGATAATGATACAGGTGAGACTCCTGCTAAAAAAATAAAACAAGACTTTTTAGCAGACTGGATGGCTTCTGATGTACTAGACATTAAAGATCCTGAAGAGCTTGAAGTTTATGGTAGTGAAACTCAAACTTCAGTTCAAATCACTTCATATATTTTTGAAGTTTGTGATTCTCTTCTTAACATTGGACCTTGTGGTCAAATTTCCATGGGAGAGCCAGCATTTTTATCAGAAGAATTCTCTAATAATGCAGTTCACGACGTCGAACTTGTAACAACTTCAGGTTATGGAAAAAATGGAGCACTTTGTGTTCTTCAGCGTTCAATTCGGCCTCAGGTCGTAACAACATTCGAATTACCTAGGTGCCAAGATATGTGGACAGTAATCGGATCTTCAAACTATGATCATGGCAAAGAGGTTGAAGGAGTTCATGCTTTTTTGATTTTAAGTCACGAAGACTCAACTATGATCCTACAAACTGGTCAAGAAATTAATGAAGTTGATCACAGTGGATTTAGTACCCAAAGTACAACAGTTTTTGCTGGAAATCTTGGAGCTAATAGATATATCGTTCAAGTAACACAAATGGGCGTAAGACTTCTGCAAGGAACTGAACAGATTCAGCATATGCCAATGGATTTAGGCTGCCCAATTATTTATGCAAGCGCTGCTGATCCTTATGTAGTTCTCCTTGCTGAAGATGGCCAAGTGATTCTGCTAACTCTTCGAGAAGGAAGATCATCACCCCGGCTTCATGCTGAGCAAGCAAACCTTCTCTTTCGGCCTCAAATAGACACTTTATGTGCATACAGAGATGTCAGTGGTCTTTTTTCTACTTATTTACCTGATGATCAAGAGACAGATAATGTCCAAGAAGAGCAGCAAGTTGAAGAACCTTCAACAGTTACTAATGTTGACAACGAAGACGATCTACTTTACGGAGACGCACCAGCATTTCAGATGCCAACACTACCACCTCAAAAGGTCATAGAAACAACAACTAAAAAAAATCCTTGGTGGCAAAAGTATTTTCAAGAAATAAAACCGACTTATTGGTTGCTGGTTTATCGAGACAGTGGAACTTTAGAAATTTATTCGCTACCAGATCTTCACCTTTCTTATCTTATTCGTAATTTTGGACTTGGTCAATCCGTTTTACATGATAGTATGGAGTCCACAACCCTTATAACTCCTCAAACAAATGAAATACCTAATCCAGAACTGCAAGTGAGAGAAATTCTAATGGTAGCTTTAGGTCATCATGGGAATCGACCAATGCTTTTAGTACGTTTAGACGCTGAAATCCAAATTTATCAGGCTTATAGATATCCAAAAGGACACTTGAAATTAAGATTCAAAAAGATCGACCATGATATTATTCCTGGACAAACGATGCCTAAACCTAAAGAAGAAGATATGCACCATGGGACAGAAACGAGAATTTCTATGCTACGATACTTTAGTAATATCGCAGGTTATAATGGAGTTTTTATTTGTGGAGATTATCCTCATTGGTTATTTTTAACAAGTCGTGGAGAATTAAGAGCTCATCCAATGAATATCGATGGTCCAATAACATCATTTGCAGCTTTTAATAATATCAACTGTCCTCAAGGTTTTCTTTACTTCAATAGAAAAGAAGAATTAAGGATCTGTGTTCTTCCAACACATCTATCGTATGATGCTCCTTGGCCTGTAAGAAAAGTTCCTCTTCGTTGCACACCTCATTTTGTTACTTATCATGTTGAGAGCAAGACTTATTGTGTAGTCATGAGTAGTTCTGAACCTTTTAAAAGCTACTACAGATTTAATGGCGAAGATAAAGAATTAACTGAAGAAGAAAAATCTGATAGATATTTATTTCCTATTCAAGAACAGTTTAGCATCGTTTTATTTTCTCCAGTCTCCTGGGAGACTATTCCAAATACAAGAATTGAGCTGGACCAGTGGGAGCATGTAACTTGTCTGAAAAATGTATCTCTTGCTTATGAAGGTACCAGATCAGGTCTAAAAGGATATATCGTCGTTGGAACAAATTATAATTATGGAGAAGATATCACTAGTAGAGGCAGAATAAAGATTTTTGATATTATTGAAGTGGTTCCTGAACCTGGCCAACCTTTGACAAAAAATAAATTCAAACAAATATATGATAAAGAACAAAAAGGTCCTATTACAGCTATTTCTCAAGTTTCTGGCTTCTTAGTCTCAGCTGTTGGCCAAAAAATTTATATCTGGCAATTGAAAGATAATGATCTGATTGGTGTTGCTTTTATTGATACTCAGATTTATATTCATCAGATGCTGAGTATCAAAAGTCTTATTTTGATAGCTGATGTTTATAAATCTATCAGTTTGTTAAGATTTCAAGAAGAATACAGAACATTGTCACTTGTCAGTAGAGACTTTAGACCTGCTGAAGTATATACGATTGAATATTTGATTGATAATACAAACCTTGGATTCTTAGTTGGCGATGGGGAAAGTAATTTATCACTTTTCATGTATCAACCAGAGTCAAGAGAAAGTTTAGGAGGACAAAAATTAATGAGGAAAGCTGATTTTCATCTTGGACAGAAAGTTAATACATTGTTTAGAATTAAATGTAGAACACATGATTGGGCTGATCCAAATAAAAGTTTCCCTGGAGCTGATAAAAGACATGTTACTTGTTATGGTGAGTAAAATAAATAAAAAGGCATTATAACAAAATTAAAAGTTAATTCTTATTAATTTTTAATATTTTTCAATTTTCCAGCTACTTTAGATGGCAGCCTTGGATACATTCTTCCTGTTCCTGAGAAAACTTACAGAAGATTGCTTATGTTGCAAAACGTTCTTATATCTCACATTTGCCATATTGCTGGATTGAATCCAAAAGCATTTAGAACTTATAAAAGTCATGTTAAAATGCATGGAAATCCTGCACGAGGTATTATTGATGGAGATCTTATTTGGAAATTTTTACAGCTTCCTAATAATGAGAAAGTGGAAGTCGCAAAAAAAATTGGAACACGTCCTGCTGAAATTGTAGATGAATTAATTGAAATTGATCGACAATCAGCACACTTTTAATTTTTTTTTTATACTTCAGAAAATGTAAATACAAAATGTAAATATTTAAATATTAATTTATGCAATGTGTAAATGATTAAATATTTATGTTAACGATAGTCGGTTGTCATATATTTTATCAATTCGTACACAAATTTTGTAATGATAAATGGTGACGATTGAACTAATCTTCAAATGGCTGGTAAAATACCATTATGAAGATTTTCCATTGTATATTTTTTAATATACTGAACTACTTTTTGTAAAATAACTGATAATGTTCGTGAATTAAGTAATAAAATTTTGTATACAAAATAAACATTTGGATTTTATTAGAATTAATTGTTTATAGTGATTATTATTAATTTTATTTATAACTAGATACTGTTATTAAATTTTAGTCAGAAAACTTTAAAAAATGTTAAAAAGTAAGAGAAAATCTATCCTTGCTCATGAAAGAAGGAAAACATTTACATTTGCACTATCACGAGGTACGATAATATCGATTAAACAAACTGTAAATAGAAATTATTATTATCGTCCAATTTATCTATTTTATATAAAATATTACAAGTTAGTACTTTAATAATAGTAACTGTATCAATATAATCAATAAATTTTATAAAAAATATTCCGTTTTATCTCGTATAGTGTCAGCTTCTCTTGAGCCTACTCTACTGGAAAAAAGAATAGCGGACGCTTTTGATGTCTTTGACAATGCTCGAAGCCATGAAGTTGATGTTAGAGAGTTGGGAACTATTATAAGATCATTAGGGTGTGTTATTTCAGAAGCTGAGCTACAAGAAATTCAAGTAGAAGTTGAAGATGTAGAAAATAACTGTGTAACTCAGGAGAGATTTGTTGAATATATGTCAAAGGCCATATGTGAACAAAAGTAATATTTAATTATTTTTATTCTGTAGAAAAAAATTATTGAATGAGTTTTTAATTGAATTTAGATTTAAACCAGCCGACCCTGAAGAATTACTTCAAGCATTTCAGCTTCTAGATCCAGAAAATCATGGGTATGTTATGCGAGCTGATTTAGAGAAGGCTTTGATGGAAATCGGAGAACCATTTACTAAGGAGGAAGTTGATGAAATGATGGCAGTTGCTTGTAATCCTACTACAAATAAAATAAATTACGAGCATTATATAAACCTTTTAATCGTAAGTTTTATACCAATTTTTTGACAAATTATTTATTTTTTGTTGAATTTTTACTAGAATAAAATCCCTGAAGAAAAAGATGTTTACAAGATTGCTGAAGAATTAGATAAAAATGAGCAACCACCTGAACCCCTTAAACCCACTTTATTCGCCAACATAACATAGTTAGGAGAAATAATTGTTGTTCTAACATAACACTCAGTTCTATTAAATGAATTTTTTTCAGGTGGATTGAAACAACGGAATTTCTTTAATGATGGTTTAATGATTTGATGAGTTATAACACCAAATACAAATGTAAAATATTCGAAAACTTCATAGAATATTTAATATTTTAGTATAAAATTTATATAAAATACAATAATATCAAAATTATAATTTTATTCATTATTGAAATAACATGTAGAAACTTCTACATTACTTAGGCTGTTTATAACTTGGAGAAAACTGGAGGATCACTTTTTGTTGCTTGAGCAACAGTTGCATTTATAAAATCTTCACTTTGAAGCATCGTTTGATTTATTGTTCTCTGCAAAAATAAAAAATATGTAATATCAATATTTAATTTAATATGTGTAACTGTAATTATTCATCATATTGAATCGAAGTGATAATAAAAACATACAACATAATCTAGACCATCTTGAATTGAATGATCTCTTCCGTGAATCAAAGTCATTTTTGTCGCTTGTACTGCTACAGGACTTTTTTTAGAAATTTCTTCGGCAAGATCTAAAACTCCTTTAAATAATCTATAAAATAATGAATAATTAGAGCAATATATGGAGTTTATTGATGAAATAACAAAAATTATTTACGCTTCATCATCTTTGAATAATCGGTTGACAAGTCCACACTGTAAAGCCTCTTCTGCAGGTAATTTTCGAGCAGTAAAAGCCAATTCTCTTACTAAACTTTCAGACCCAATAATTTTCGGAAGCCATTGTAAAGCTCCAACATCAGCAGCCATTCCAATATCAACTTCTTTTAATGAAAACCAAGCATTTGAAGAACAATATCGAATATCAGCACCACATATTAAATTAAACCCCCCTCCCACACAAAGACCATGAATTGCTGCAATTACTGGTTTCCTACACTATAAAAGTATTTGACAATTTGTTAATCAATTTTACGATATAAAAATTATGAAATTACATAGATAAATTACTTTTTCAAGAGATAAAAGTGCATCTTGGAATATTTTAATTTTTTTCTCAATTAGTCGGCATTTTCGGGCCACATCTTCATGTTCTGCTAAAGCTGGTGCCATTTTCATAGCATCCTTTAAATCTAATCCGGAACAAAAACCTTTTCCAGCTCCTGATAAAATTACAACTCGGCAATCTGGAGAATCATCCAATTCTTTGAAACATTTTCCTATTTCTCTGAAAATATTCAAAATGCATTATAATCACAATTATTAATTTAAAAAATAAGATAATAAATTTAACAAAAAAATATGACAATTATATGGCCATATACAAATGTAATGTTTTTTGAAAAAGAATTTACATACTCCCACGCTTTATTACTGAGAGCATTGTACTTTTCTGGTCTGTTTAATTGGACTTGATAGACAAACTCTTTGGGATTTGTAATTGCAAGAGTTTCGAATTTCATTGATGCCATGCTTGATAATGCTTTCATATTCGGAGCACCTAAATTTATTAAAAGTAAACAGATTAACTTAATTGATTTTTTATTGAATTATTTTACTAAAAAAAAATAATAACTAATAAACAGATCATAAACCGTAGTTACCTTTTAATGATTTATGTAATAAAGCTACAAATCTCGAAGTTGAAAACATCCCTAATTAATTTTTTGTAATAAAAAATATTAAATACAAATATAATGCAGTATACGAGATGCAAGTTGGACTTATGTACTTGCTATTGTTGAGTCCAAAGTTCAACATCGGCTTAAAAATAAAATAATGTAAACAACTTTTACGTGATATAAGTCTGAAGTGTTTTAAACCCTATAAAATACATAAACAACGCTAGAATTTTACTGATAAAATTATTAGGCCATATGAGTTGATGGTAGCGCTGCACATATTTAGCTTTGTACTAAGAGCTGTGTGTGTTGTGTGAAATCTCGGCATTCGGGTTTCTACGTTAAGTAGTATTCTTCGGTCTTGGTTTATAATTTTAGACGACTAAACCATCATCAATTAAACATTTTTGAATGATAACATAATGAACATTCATTAAACCTCAGTAAATAATTCATCAATATTTGACGTATTACTTGTCATGCGACAAATACAAAAAGAACACAATACTACGCATCATCCTGGATGATTATCTAAGTCACTATCGTTCACTGAATCGTTTATTTGGATATTAATTGAGTATCAAGAATAATGTCGTCGTTTTGCTATATAATAATACCTCTCATTGTGATCATGGGATTGTTAAGAAAATGTCGAGAACGTACATGGGGAAAGTGTAAAGACACAAGTAGTTTACTAGGTAAAGTTTTTCTTGTGACCGGTGCCAATTCAGGGATTGGCAAGGAAACCGTTCGTGAACTTGTAAGACGCGAAGCCCGGGTTATTTTGGCTTGTAGAGATGTTGAAAGTGCTCGGAATACAATTATTCACATCCGCAAGGAAATTTCGACTGGAGAAATGGTAAAGTTTCATTTTTTTATTTGTAACCTATTTAATATTTTCGCACATTTACTTGATATTTTAAATATTTATAATAATTCATATATGTTTTTTTTTCATTTTACAAGTTGATAATCATCAATGAAAAATTAATTTTTAGATTCCCATGGAATTAGATCTTGCATCCTTAGCTTCCATAAAAAAATTTGCTGAACAAGTTCTTCGAGATTTTTCTGAAATTCATGGATTAATTAATAATGCTGGAGTTTATGTGCCACTAAAGGATCATGCTTTGACTAAAGATGGCTTTGAAATTCATTTTGGAGTTAACCATTTGGGACATTTTCTTCTTACTAATTTATTATTAGACAGACTTAAATTATCTGCTCCAAGCAGGTTATTTAGATTTTTTACATATTTATTTATCCGATAAGTGCTCCAACGACAACGTTTCATATGTATGGTTGTGTTTTTTCTAGGATTGTTGTTGTAACATCAAAGCTTCTAGAATCAGGAGTGATTGACTTTTCAAATTTAAACAGTGAAAAAGGATTACCAACGAAGGGAAGAATGAATCCAGCTTATTGCAATTCAAAACTTGCAAATGCCTACTTTGCTGTTGAATTAGCGAAAAGATTGGAAAATACTGGAGTTAATGTTTATATGGTTTGTCCTGGATTCACATATACAGGATTATTTAGACATGTTAAAAGAAGCTGGTTTCACTACATCATTTTCTCTCCAGTTGCTCTTCTCTTCCTACGTACTGCTTATCAAGTAAATATTGCAACTATTTATTAGATTTTTCCTTAGAAAATAAATGATTGAATTATTTTTTCTCTTAATAGGGCGCACAAACAGTCCTTCACTGTGCAACTGATGCTTCCTTATCAAACGAAAGTGGATTGCTGTATCGAGATTGCAAAGTCTATCATTCCAAGAAAGAACTAAAACCAGAAATAGCATCGAAGCTTTGGGACATAAGTGCTAGTCTTACTGGAGTTGATATTTCTAAATAAAACTCATTCTACTTAAAATAAATACGGAAGAATGAATGCATAAATGATAAAATAAAGTGGCAAAAATGAAAGTAAATGAGCAAGAGGTAAAATAGTTAAGATTTTTTTATGTAAATAAAATAAGACAGATTTCAAATTCGAAGCCTCCATTTTTATAGAAGTAGTTTTAAAAATTGCTAGAATTTTTATAGTTAATAATAACTAATTCAATATTCCTTATGAGATTATTGTAATAATAAGATAATATTAATACTGCTTGACATGACACTGGTATTTGATATTTATCCATTTTTGATAATTTTTTTAAATATTTAAATAACAGAATATTTTTTTGATTTTTTACATTTATGAAAGTTTACATAAGATTTTTAAATTAAATTTTACGTAAAAATATTAAATAAAAGAAAGTGATTTAATTTTAATACTTTATGACTTAAGTGATGATAAAAAAATTTTCCATTATTTTAATAAAAAAAAATAACTATTTGTTAAGTGACGATTATGAGATTATCATTTACTAGTGTCTTGTTTTGAGCTTTCAAATATTTAAAGTCAATTTTAGATCTCATCAGTTAACAAACTTACTAATTAAATATTATACAAGAAAATAATTAGTTTAAGTAAAATGTTTAATGTTAAATTTTACTATGATCAATTAATTAATAAAAAATCAATAAATAATAATAACAACTGTAAGTAATCAATATACGTTATTATTAATCGCAAAGATCATTAAAACATAAATCAAATACATCTTTAACTTTGCAAGAATCTATACAAGAAAATTACAATTTCTATATATAATTAACAACATGCTGCAGAATTCAAATTCTGCAAATTGCTGCAAGAAAAATATATTTCACTGAAAACTTTACTTTGGGTGTTTTACGCGTGAATAATTTCGAGTAAATAACAATATAAAACGTTATGTAAACAGCGATTCGAACAGATTAATTAATAAATAAAAATTAAATAATTTAGGAATTTTTATATTAACTCTCTTGTAATCAAATTTCTGATTTATTAATGTGCTAAGAACGCGGCTTCATGACTTTAAAACTAGATGTTTTGCTTGCCAATGCCTCAGTTCTTGCAAATACATTTTCCGAACTTCGTCGAATAGAATCTATGAGTTCTGATGAAGTTTGGAAGTCGTTTATTAATTCTTGAACTCCACTAGGCTGCGACTGTGATGTAGGAACTAACTTTACCATCTTCTTCATCTCCTAGAAAATTGAAAAATAATTTTATTAAGAATCAATCATTCACTGTATCCATACTCTCAATATTCAGCTAAACTTACGTGATCATAACCTGTAGACGTCTTCAAGCTAGGATTCGACCCTGTTCTCCAATTTCTCGTAATGACACTTTTACTGAAATTATTTATAAATGACTAGTTAATATTATAAATAACCTTCATTAGTATTAAAATAATTTAATTATATTTATTAGCTACTTCATTTTTTTTATAAGAAAACTTAGATAATCTAAATTTAATTTACCTGTCACTATAAAACGATTCGGCGTTTACCGGACAACTCGAGGCAATTTCTTGATTATCAGCAACTCTGTCACTCAAGTTTCTGGTGTCATCCAGCGACACAACAGAACTAGAAAGTGTTTCATTACTAGTAAGCTCATCACTTTTGCTGGATCCATTAACTTCTTTCCGATCTTCCAAGTAGATCAAAGTCTCCTGACTTCTCTCTCGATCAGTCTTTTCAAATGCTGAAGTAGAAAGACTTTCACTAGATAAAATACTCTCATTATCTACAAGACTGTTAACAGATCGAATCAACGAAGGGTCTGAAGATTCGGCCAGCGAAGTACATTCTCCATTCGTTGATGTAGCTTTGTTTGGACTAATACGAAAATTATCGACATCATTTTGAGATCCACTTAAAGCCATTTCACAGCTACTTATTGAGTTAGAACTTCTTTGACGAGCAGGATCTTCAGTCGTTGTCATACAAACAGACGTGGGAACAGTAATTTCAATGTCTGTTTCAATTGTACCTGGCGACGAAGATGAAGATGCCTTAAATCTTTCCCTATTAGCCGATTTTCTGTCATTAAAATAATTTTCTTCATTGCTATCACTCAATCGATCTCTGAATAATGAAAACATTTTATTATCAATCGCACTTTCTTCAGACTTACAGATTCTCTTCGTTTGTAATCCAAGAACTAAAATTTGTGTAGGTCTATCAAGACCTTGATCCAAAGAAGATCCTAAGGTAGTTTTTGAACTTCTAAATTGGCTTATCGACCTCGTCGACCGATGCAATTTTAATTCTCTATCAGCAAGGATTTTTTGTAATGGTGGAGTTGAAGGAACGTTACTTTTCCCATTGCTATTATCAGTATCTAAAGAAGAACCTGAAAAAGTTCTTTTAGAATTATCTAATGACTGATTCGGTTTCATGTTTAATAAAGATGCTAGATTTGGCAAAGTAGGTCTTAAATCAACTGCTGAAAGACCACAGTACCATCGAAGTTGAGCTATATTTTTGTTGAGTAAATAAACACCATAATGGAATTGTAATTTATGGTTGCTTCGTGAAAACAGAGGAAGCTGGCGTTCTTTATCAGGAATGCTGTCACTTACATGGTCTACAATTTTGCTCTTTGAGCCGTAAAGAATCATAGGATATCTTGTAGGAACATTTAAAATATTTGCTATCATTTGAGTTGCTTGAGCAACATATCCTAAAGCTATTGATGTGTGAAGATCATTAGCTGCATCCAATGCTTCACTATCTGGTAAATGAACATTATTAATAGTGAATTTCTTTTCGTTTTCTTGTCGTATTGGAAATATTATATTTAAATCGGATATAAATTGTCGTCTTAGGTTTGCTAATTCATCTAAAGTTTGGACATAGTAATCTCTTATTTGTATATGATTTTGCCTCCATTCACGAAGTCTTTCGATATCTTTATTCAACTCTCTATACCGTTCCATTTGCAATGAAATCAGGTCTTGATTTTCTTCCATGATACTCAAATGTATCTGATTTAAAGTCCTCAGCTCACCAACCTTTTTTATTCTCTCCTGCTCTAATAATTTTGTTCGGAACTTTGCTACTTCTAGTTCTTTACGGATCTTCAGAATTTCAGCTTTTTTTTCTTTGCTGATGCGTTTGGGCTGTAACAATCTATTTAATGTTGTTTGTTTGTATTTTGGTGATTGAAGACTTCCTCCGGATGCTATTCGTTCTCTCAAAGCTTGTACTGATTCAGTTCGTTGTTTTAATGACTGCATTAAATTTCTTAAATTGCTTAATTTGTTCACTGTATAGCTTTCACTTATGTCAGAGTTGTTTACGCTCATATAGAGATATCTACGAAATTCAGGAGGATGAAGAAGGCAGTAAGACGGTACGAAAAAGCCACCATGTAAGTGAAATATAAGAGAATTGTGATGTAGTATTGAATCTAAATTATTTAATAGTTTCGGTCCCATATAAACTAATCCAGTAAATGATATTCCCCAAGTAAATACTGTGACATCTGTCGTGGGATCATTTGCCACTATTCTTCTCCACAGTCGTAATACAATTTCTGCAAAAATGTAAATGTGAACGATTAGCAGATGTGTTTAATAAAAAGATTCGTTATTGTTTTATACACACTAATCTGAATTTTAAATAGATAAAAGAATATTTTTTATCAACATGTAGAGAATTTTGAAGCATGAAACATAGGAAATGATAATTATTGACTCATTATATGATAAATGGAACTGCTAAAAAAGTTCAGATAATAATGAATCAGTATCATACAATTGTTCAACATTTGTATTATAAACATTGTCTAAAGAAAATTGTATCAATATTTATATACAAAGGTTTTCTTAAAAGATGTCTAATTAATTCTCAGAAGTTGTAAAACTTGCAAATCATTATTATTATACTATGCAAAGCTTTAAATGACGTTGTGTTATCATTATAATCCTCTTGAAAGATATTAAAAATATTACTAGAACTTGAGACAGTACTTAAGAGATAGTAGAGTTGAATAATTGTAGTCATTTAGTTACTTTAATTGAATCAAATTACCATTGGCAGTAGCAAGACCTGTAGCATGTAGAGTAGGCACTTCTAAACTTGCCCATTTTGGGTTTACATTATCAATGGGCTCACTTGTATACAATGGTGAGGACATACTTGAACGATGAAGAGTGAAGTAGAACCAACATGTTTCAAAATTTTTGTCAGCTTCTAAATTAAATCCGATGATTTGATAGAGACTTCTTAGACGCAGCTAGATCAGTAAATATCATTATGAAACAAATTGCTTTAGCTAAAAAAGTTTTTGTAAACAATGCATCGTAAAAAAAAATCTCACCTGTTGGGTTGCAAGTGGAAGCCAAACTTTGTAGCGCGGCGCCGGCCGAGGTTGAAGAGTCAGGTCCAAGTCTCTGACAAGACCTTCTGTAATGTTTGTTTCCATCCTCTTCACTCATGGTATCGCGCAATTACTTAGACTATCGCTCGAGGTGATAAATCCTCGAAATATAAAGAAGGACAATGAGCAGGTTGAAAAGGTTATCCACTTCCTTCAATTCGTTCATTGATTGTCCATTAGCATTGAACTTTTAACATGTAAATTCACTCAAGGTTATGTTTGAGGACAATAGAAATTATGTTATCACTCGTTTTCAATTATATTTTGTAATATTATTAGTGTTCAGAGATGTCATTTTTGATCAAACTTGTCACTTGATTTCTCCATAGAATATATGAACATACACACATTTGAGACAAACTTTCCTTACTAAAAGCTGTTGAAAGTGACTATAGTCAAAGCAAGAAAAGAATAGTCTTGATTTGGTGTCTAACTTCCCGCCTCCTGATAAAATCTTATGGGGACGTGACATTAGACACCAAATCGAGACTACTCTTTTCTTGGTTCAACTATAGAGTGCAAACACAAGTCTTTCATTACTGTTGGGCGTTTTAGCCTGTCATATAATAGTATTATTACCGTGCGTTAGCACGCCTCGCATTGTCTTTATTTGCCCGGGGTAATTATTGCTCACTAAGTGTCCACGTACACTGAGAAAAAAATTTCGTTAAATGAAAGAATTTTTTATTCAATCAATAAAAGAAACTTCGAATATTCTCGAGATAATATTTCATTCAGACTAATAGTAGTGTTATCAAAACAACATTTTGTCTTTTGTTTCAATGTTGCGACAAGTTTGAAAACAAATTTTCAAGGTTACGACAAGAATGAAAACAAATGACATTTCATTCATTTGAGTAAATAAAATGATTTCAATCAAATATTCATAATTTCGAAGAAATATTTTATTGTGACTATTTGAAATTTCGATGTTAATGATCGAATAAAATATTTTTTGTATGAAGTAAATTGTTTTCTCAGTGTATATACGATATTTCATATGACAGAGGTTCATTATAAATTTCGAATTATTCTAGCCGTAGATGGGAGCGCTAAAGGGCCGATTAGTGACACGGTGGATAGGGCTCTTGATAGTTTTTAGAAAAAAGGAAAAATTTTCACAATGTTATTCTCTTTCGAGTACACTCGGCGTCATTAATGCCTGGTCCATCAAAAACTTTAATACTATCCGAGCAATTATCGATGGAGTAGTTTTGATTTTCAAACAGAGATTCAACATCTAAATCAATTTAGAAAGTTCATGATTTAATACCCTTTTAGATAGTCCCTATCTATAACAATAGAATATCCCGACTAAAAAATTTTTAAACCTTAATTTAAATAAGAAACTATTGATTAGAATAAAATGAATGAAAGAAATATTTACATTGTAAATAGAAGTTTAATAGAACCGGAGAAACCGGTATTTTCTAAAGAAGATACACATTAGTATGTTATTTTAATATTTATTTGATTAATCCATCACCTTATAAGCTATTTGTATTATGTGGGTACAAAATATATACAAGAGTGAAAATAGAAAAGAAAATAGAAATGAAGGAGAAAATAGATAAATATGTAAAGCTGCTGATTGTTGATTATATTTTCGTTAATATATGCTCTCTTAAACAGAATCAGTGAAAACTACTGCAATTCAGTGAATATTCACTGATTGCCAGTATCAATCATATTATGGAAAGAATCAGTCATTGGATTGGCACTGGATATCAGTGAATATTCACTGAATTGCAGTAGTTTTCACTGATTTAGTTTAAGAGAGTGAAAACTGCTGTCTGGCAGACTTTCAATTTGGTTTGGGGGTGAGAGGAGGTCAAAATAGGAAAAAGACAGATTGCAGGTAGAAGAAGGTGTCAAATATATTAAAGAATGTTGTTATACTTACAGAGAAATACTTTTTATGCAATTAAATGATATATTTAAAAATTCTATGTTGTCCAATCCATTGAATCCTTTTGCAGGTAATCCTACAATTAAATTTTCGGATAGGACGACTTTTCAAAATTTTTTTTTTCTCTCGAAAAATGAATGGTGATAGCGATTTTAATTTATTTTTGTTGAGATAGATGCTTTTTATATTGGGAGTATTTGAAAACTGGTCTGTTGACAGGTCTTCCAAGCCTAGTCCAGAAAGATCTACTACCTCCTAATGATGCAAATTAGCCAAGAACTCTTTTGGAAGGATGTTAATATATTTTTTTTGTTTTCTCTCAGAAAAAATACTTTCAGTTTTTTTTTGTTTTTTTAGAAGATTGTGAAACAGCTCATTTGCTTTGGTGTTATTGAAAGACAAATCGATTATTTCTACTTTCGTTAATGGGTGAAAACTGCTGTCTGGCAGAATTTCAATTTGGGACTAAACTTCGTCAAGTTTTTTTGAGCCCCACATTCAATAGTTAGATGTTTTTTATATTCCCAATGAATAAAAAAATCAGGCTTGTTTCCTTTATTTAATGGGTATTCGATTGTGACCTTTTCTGGTGCTATCATTCTTTTTTCTGTTAATATATTCTCTCTTAAACTGAATCAGTGAAAAATACTGCAATTCAGTGAATATTCACTGATTGCCAGTATCAATCATATTACTGAAAGAATCAGTCATTGGATTGGCACTGGATATCAGTGAATATTCACCGAATTGCAGTAGTTTCCACTGATTTAGTTTAAGAGAGTGAAAACTGCTGTCTGGCAGAGTTTCAATTTGGTTTGGGGGTGTGAGGAGGTCAAAATAGGAAAAAGACAGATTGCAGGTAGAAGAAGGAGGTGTCAAATATATTGACGAATGTTGTTATACTTACAGAGAAATACTTTTCATGCAATTAAATGATATATTTAAAAATTCTATGTTGTCCAATCCATTGAATCCTTTTGCAGGTAATCCTACAATTAAATTTTCGGATAGGACGATTTTTCAAAATTTTTTTTTTCTCTCGAAAAATGAATGGCGATAGCGATTTTAATTTATTTTTGTTCAGATAGATGCTTTTTATATTGGGAGTATTTGAAAACTGGTCTGTTGACAGGTCTTTCAAGCCTAGTCCAGAAAGATCTACTACCTCCTAATGATGCAAATTAGCCAAGAACTCTTTTGGAAGGATGTTAATATATTTTTTTTGTTTTCTCTCAAAAAAAATACTTTCAGTTTTTTTTGTTTATAAAATATTACAAGACAGCTCATTTGCTTTGATGTTATTGAAAGACAAATCGATTATTTCTATTTTCTTTAATGGGTAAAAACTGCTGTCTGGCAGAATTTCAATTTGGTTATTGCTCAAATCAAGCTTGATCAAATTTTTTAAGCTGTCAAAAGCTCCATTTTCAATTTTTTTTACTTTATTATGGCTTAAATCTAGTATTTTTAATTCTCTCAAAAAATCTAAAAAATTAGAATTTTCCAATTTATTTCTGCTCACGTCTAATGAAATTAAATTCAAATTTTTAAATAAATCATGAGGAATTTTATCTAGAAAATTGTGCCTGAGTCTTAGATGTTTCAATCCCTGGAAATTTTCTCTAGATAATTCTCTCGACAATTTACGATGTGAACTGAATGTCAACTGAATGTCATATCGTTACCACGATATTTCTTTCGACTTTTTCCTCTGTTACTATTCTAATTTTTTTTTAAATGCCATTTCTGCTTTTTATTTGCTTCACCTTAATAGTCAATGTTTTTGTCTTTTTCATAGAGATGATTTTGTAGGATTACCGAAATTGTGCAATATAGATATTCGGGAGAATCAATTAAAAGAGATAGAGTTAAATATTCTACAAAATTACCACATTTGCTTATTTTAAAATTCTGCATCCATGTATGAATAATCAACAATTAGCAGCTTTACACTCTCTTAAACTAAATCAGTAAAAACTACTGCAATTCAGTGAATATTCACTGATATCCAGTGCCAATCCAATGACTGATTCTTTCAGTAATATGATTGATACTGGCAATCAGTGAATATTCACTGAATTGCAGTATTTTTCACTGATTCAGTTTAAGAGAGAATATATTAACAGAAATAAGAATGATAGCACCAGAAAAGGTCACAATCGAATACCCATTAAATAAAGGAAACAAGCCTGATTTTTTTATTCATTGGGAATATAAAAAACATTTAACTATTGAATGTGGGGCTCAAAAAAACTTTACGGCGTTTAGTCCCGATTATTTACTATCCTTGAAAATCGATGATGATATAGATCACATCCGTTTTGTACATTGCGATATGCCTAAGGGCAATAAACTTGTATCCATTGCCAACTCAATGTCTAAAAATGATACAACGATGTTGACATTCAGTTCACATCGTAAATTGTCGAGAGAATTATCTAGAGAAAATTTCCAGGGATTGAAACATCTAAGACTCAGGCACAATTTTCTAGATAAAATTCCTCATGATTTATTTAAAAATTTGAATTTAATTTCATTAGACGTGAGCAGAAATAAATTGGAAAATTCTAATTTTTTAGATTTTTTGAGAGAATTAAAAATACTAGATTTAAGCCATAATAAAGTAAAAAAAATTGAAAATGGAGCTTTTGACAGCTTAAAAAATTTGATCAAGCTTGATTTGAGCAATAACCAAATTGAAATTCTGCCAGACAGCAGTTTTTACCCATTAAAGAAAATAGAAATAATCGATTTGTCTTTCAATAACATCAAAGCAAATGAGCTGTCTTGTAATATTTTATAAACAAAAAAAACTGAAAGTATTTTTTTTGAGAGAAAACAAAAAAAATATATTAACATCCTTCCAAAAGAGTTCTTGGCTAATTTGCATCATTAGGAGGTAGTAGATCTTTCTGGACTAGGCTTGGAAGACCTGTCAACAGACCAGTTTTCAAATACTCCCAATATAAAAAGCATCTATCTCAACAAAAATAAATTAAAATCGCTATCGCCATTCATTTTTCGAGAGAAAAAAAAAATTTTGAAAAATCGTCCTATCCGAAAATTTAATTGTAGGATTACCTGCAAAAGGATTCAATGGATTGGACAACATAGAATTTTTAAATATATCATTTAATTGCATGAAAAGTATTTCTCTGTAAGTATAACAACATTCTTTAATATATTTGACACCTTCTTCTACCTGCAATCTGTCTTTTTCCTATTTTGACCTCCTCACACTCCCAAACCAAATTGAAACTCTGCCAGACAGCAGTTTTCACTCTCTTAAACTAAATCAGTAAAAACTACTGCAATTCAGTGAATATTCACTGATATCCAGTGCCAATCCAATGACTGATTCTTTCAGTAATATGACTGATACTGGCAATCAGTGAATATTCACTGAATTGCAGTATTTTTCACTGATTCAGTTTAAGAGATAATATATCAACAAAAATATAATCAATAATCAGCAGCTTTACATATTCATCTATTTTCTTTTTTGTTTTTACTCTTGTATATATTTTGTACATACATAATACAAATAGCTTATAACGTGATGGATTATCAATTCGATTGTATTTAAACTGAATCGGTAAAAACTACTGCAAATCAGTGAATATTCACTGATATCCAGTGCCAATACAATGACTGATTCTTTTTGTAATATCATTGACACTGGCAATCAGTGAATATTCACTGAATTGCAGTAGTTTTCACTGATTCTGTTTAAGAGAGCATTTATTAAAAAAAATAAGAATGATTGATTTATCTTATAACAACATCAAAAAAAATAAGCTGTTTCACAATCTTCTATAAAAACAATAAAATCTGTACCGATTCTGTGTAACAATTGTGGAACCTATGTAATGTTCTAATTCAGAACATACTTTAAGGCTGGGCTTATCTAAGCTGAAATCACCGCAAATTTTTCTCGTTAACTTATGTTTTTTTTTATTCGTTTTTTTCATGTAAAAAATATTTTACGCCTCCAGCTTGGGACAAAATTTTTCTCCCAAAAATTTTTAACAAAATCATTTTTAGATAAAATATTCAATAATTTTAATAAATATACTTTATTTATTCTAATCATTAACACAATTCAAATATCACTTTTGTAATTTGTTTTTCACGTAAGGCATGTATGGCATCTTCGTATTCAGATAATTTACAAACATGAATACCCAATTTTTCATGATTAAGATATTGATTTCCCATAGTTTGTACTAATGATAATCCATTTGGAAATGTAAATGGATTGACTTTGACTCCAAAAATTTTTAATTCTTTCATGTATACCTAAATCAAAAAAAAAATTGAATACTTGTAATCTTAAAATACATTTGTTTAATAATAAATGAATCTATACCTCAAAAGGATTGATTTTCATTGTTGCTGTAGGATTAGCGACTCCAAAAATGCAAAGGGTTCCACGATTGTTGAGTAAAGGAAAAGCAGATTCTATAGCTGATGCAGAACCACTGCAATCAATAACAAAATCGAATTTTTTTCCTTCTAATTGATCTGGCGTACATACTTCATACTCCAAACCTGAATACATATTTGAAAAAAATTTAATTGAGATCGATTCAACTTATTATATAATTAATACTATCAATGATAGTTTTGATGAATAAACTTTAAATAATCAGAAGTAATAATTCACATAAATGATTAAACGAATGTTGTGATGTAATTATTATCTATTAATTATATACTTTGGTCTTATTATTCATTTATAGTGATTAAACTATTGATAAATGTACTTTTACCTAGGTTTTCAGCAATTTTTTGTCGCATAGGCATTGCTGCACTAATGGTTACAGTTTTTCTTAAGCCATGTAGATGTAAAGTACATGCCCAAAGTAGTCCAATAATTCCGGCTCCAATGATGAGAACTTTACTGCCAATAGTAATAGGATTAATCAGATCCCAGCCATGAATAATACATGACAATGGTTCAGCTAATGCAGCTTGAAGCATATCTATGTCATCTGGCATTAAGTGAATCTAATAAAATAGTCATGTTTTATTATTTAAAAGAATCAACAGTGAATGATAAAATAATTTAATAAATTATTAAATAATTACTTGAGATTCAGGAACAATTACATGAGTTGCCCAACCTCCATTTTTAAAAATTCCTATTGTAAAATTGATTCGTCCACTTTCACAAAAATGATAAAATCCTCTATAACAGTCAGTGCATTTATTGCAACCCTTGTTGGGGTCGACGGCAACTTTTTGGCCGATTTTTAGATTTTTCACTTCATTGCCTAAACCTTCAATGGTTCCTACAAATTCATGGCCTAAGATTAACGAATCATCATTCTTGGTTGGAAATAGACCCTGTAATCAACAGTAAATTATAGAAATTAATCTGAAAAATCAATAAAAGCTGAAGGCTTTGATTTATCTTCTTACAATGCCTACAAGTATTGAAAGATTTTAATTTTCTAAATGAATACTTATTTGTAAATACGGATAATATCAAATAATTGAATGACTAAAAGTTGAATATACAGTATTAAAGAAACTCATATTATCTCAATTGGAAGTTAAACCCAACACTATTACATGTAGAGCGATAGTTAAATTAATCACAAGGTCAAGATGAATTAGAAGGTCGGATGAAAAAAAATATATACAGAGGATTCACGATAATTTTAAAATGAGTTTGTGGGAAATCTTCAACAATAAAGTAATATTGGAAGTTTGGAGTGTTTAGGAAATTTCGAACAATATAATGTAAATAAAGAGTATTATATTCACTTCAAGGATATGAAGATCAGTTCCACAAACTCCTGAGTAAGCAACTCTGACCAAAACTTCATCTTTTTCTGGAATTGGAATTGGAGCAGTTTTCAAAGATAAATCTTTTGTTGCTGTGTTGAAGCTTAAAAATTCCATTGTAAAATACGACAGACTAGACAATGAATATAATGATGATCACACTTTGACTGCCAAGAAGAAACTAGTATAAATGCCAGAATCCTTTACATTAGTCGCTCATTATATAATAAAAACAAATGGATAATTTACTTAATTCTTTTACTTTACAAGTATTTAGCATTGTCAGTTACATTTATTGTTAAAATTATTTCTCGTCTGTTATTAAATCAAGATAGGTGATTACACTAATTCAAGTCAATATTTACTCTTTACTACAAATTACTTATTGTTTACAATAGCTTAATTCAAATTCATCATCCAGGTGTGATTTGTCACTTGCGTTCAATATTTCAATCTAATACATTGCAAAATGTATTTTATTCATTATGGAGCCAACTGGCAAAAACAATATCCATAGATATGGAATAAGGGTATACAATAGTGATGGTTACCTCTGATCTCCTACAAAATCTATCCATAGGAAAGAGGAATGGCATTCCCCATTGAACCCATATTTTTCATATTATGCACCATCGTATTTTTTTAGCCACCTTCATCACTTTAAACAGCATCAGAAGAGTTATCTACAGCCACCATATAATAGCCTGATAGGTATATATGTATACATATAGGTTCTCATAAGATCATTGGTCGTTACTAATTTTTTGGTTAGCCGATGAAAAGCCCAACTGTCAAAAACATCGTATATACAGTACTCTTTGCGACAATCAATGAAATAAGTTTTCAGTGAATAATATGGAAAATTTAAAGAGATTCTTATGTAATCTAGAGACATTCAACGAAATACAACAAGATTATGCATCAAATGAAGATAAGATACGAGATATTTCAGCCAAAACAATGCAAGAAGGAATTAATAACTTACAAGGTTATAATATGATTTTATGGTTAGTGCTATAAAAATAAATACAAAATTTTATAATATCGAAGTATTTTGATTTCAGATAGTAAAGATCAATTTAAAAGTGAAATAGAAGCGAATTTAAAATATATAACATCCTCCAAACATGTTATTGAAAAAAGACAAGATCTAGTATGTAATGAGAATACTGGTTTATCTGTTTCTAATATTCGCAATGAGTATGTAAACAAGCATTTAATTATTATGAAATAATTTATATTTTCAATTGCATGACATTAACTTGATTTATTTTAGTGCAATGATTGAATTTACAAAGGATGCAATGACGTTGTTGAATAAATTTGGAAATAGAGATTCTATTAAATCATCACAACTAGATAATAATCTAACATATATAATAGAAGCCGTTGTAAGTATAAATTATGCATATGAATGTTTTTCTTTCATTCTAACTGTTTATTTGATTTTAACAATGTTTTATAGAAATTATATAATGAAAATATTGCAAAATCAGTTCGGAAAGAAAAGATTTCTATTGATGATGTTGAATCAGCAATGAAAAGTATTCATATATTATCAGATAGTTATCGCCAAATCGCAATTCATGATGGTTGGTATTAATAATAAAAAGTACAAATAGAATTTATTTATTCATGTTTAAAATGAATATTCATTTTCAGATGATACACCAATGGACCTCAGTATTATAGAATTCGAAAAAAGTCAAATATAAATATCAATTTTTTTTTCAATTACAATTTAGATCTTTATTTTATTGGATTTAAATCAGTAAGCATTGGCAGATGAGATGTTTTCAAACTATCATGGAGATTTATCTTCAAGAACAGAAGTTGAGGGTCAACCATATCCTACATAATGAAGATTAAATATGTAAGAATTTTTTTTAAATTTATATTATCTGTATTATTATTAAGTACAAAAAATATAATTTTTAAACTTATTTACCGTAAAATGCATCTGCTTTTGTACTGGGGGAATATATTTCGGTTCATTCAATTCATTATTTGCTAGGAAGAACGAATCGTTGACATTTTTCTTCGATAAATCTTCTGCTTGATGACAAACCACTTTCAATTCCAATCTTTCTCTAATTAAAAAAAAATTGTTTTTATTTGTATGTAAATAAATTGTGTATTTTAAAATTAATTATTTATACCTAGCTAATGCCAATTTATCAGCGGCTATTCTATTCTCTCGTTCTGCTAATAACTGAAGTTGTGTTCTTAAGTGATTTAACTGATCTTTATGTTGTTTTTCTATTCTTTGAGCTTCCTTCAGTGCACGCATTCCTTCCTCCCGTTTCACTAGTGCCGACTAAAATTTCCAACATGTAGTAATTGAATTCTTTGGTTTAAAATAATTTTAAAAAAAAATCAATACCAACCTGAGTTAATTCCTCTAAATCTTTAGCTCTTTGCATCAATTCGAGTTCTTTTTCTTCAATTTTTTGCTTATCTTTGTGTAGATTATCCACTTTCTCTTTCCATTTTTGACGTTCAAGATTTGCTTCATGCACAGCCTCATAGGCAGTTTTGATTGCTGCTTCCAACTAAATTAAATATAGTAAATTTAATTCACCCATTTATAGGTAATAACAAATGAATCTATTTACCTCAGTCTTTGTTATATCATTTGAATTTGCTTTTAAATGATTAAGCACTTCAAGTTTGCTTTTTTCGGCTGCCAGGTCTTCTCTTTCGTTAGCTAAAAATTTCATTTGCTGTTTTTGATTGGTCATCCATGCATCTTTTAGATTCTATAATCAACGTAGTTTAGAAAAAATCATTTTTTGATTAAATTTTCTACAGAAAATAGAAACATACCTGTAAGTATTGACGTTCCCAATTGATCTGTTCTTGAAACAATTCTCGTTCACGCACTAGAGCTCTTTCCTGCATCTCAAGTCTTGTTTCTCTCTCATTTAATAATTCATTATTTTTTATAAATTGACTAGATAATTGACTTAGTTCCGATTGTAATTTTTCTGCTGTTGTAACAATTTTTTTACGTTCGTTGCTAACATCCTCTTGTTGTTTATGTAATTGTTGAATTAATCCTGTTTTTTCATATTTTATTTTAGATCTAAATTCATTTGCGAATAAATATAACTATAAAAACATACCTTTTATTAATTCTTCTTGCATTTTCAGATTTTTTTCTCGTTCATCTTGATTTTTTTTCTCATTGCTTTTTATCTCATCATATAACGTTTGTAAATTATCAGACACGTTCTCTGATTTTTCTAACATTTTATTAATATCAGTTCGTTGTGCTTTAATAAAATCTACAGTGTCTCGTTCAAGTTCTTTAGCACGAGTAATATTTTCTATGGTTTCAAAATGTTCTTTTTGGAGTAAAATAAAGTTTTCAGATTGTCGAGTGTGAATTTCTTGTATAACTTTTGTATGATTAGCCTTAAATAATTGTTTAAAAATTTAATTAAAATAAAAAGTTGAAATAAAAGAAAATATTGAAGAGAAGAAAAAAGTGGGAGAAAATGAGGTGATCTTAAAAATTTCATAGTTTATACTGCTGACCTTTAAACTTTCAATTTGTTCTTTATATTCTGTTTCCAGTTGAATTTTTTCGTTTTGTATTTTTTCAATTTTTTTCTCATAATCCAATTGCAAATCTTCCATTTCTTGACGTAGTTTTATTTCTAATTTTTTTGTGCTTTCTTCCATCAAAGATATCTGTGTTCTATACATAAAAAGAATAAGTTTACTAATTCATTAACGGCAAGGATGAATTTTTTATTTAACAAAAATAGAAAACAAAAATTTCTTTACTCGTGAGAATTCTTCAAAATATCTATTTCTCTTTCATAACTTTGCTTCAAAAGGTTCTGCATGTAATCTACATCTCTTTCAGATTGTATGGAATAAAAAGAAGTCTGTGATTCCACCTTTGGATTGTTATCCTTTACACAATCTTCAATTTTTGGAATTGAATGTTCAGAAGATGATTGAGTTATCATGGACTGTTTTGCTAGTGCCTTAAAAATAAGCTCGATTAGAAAAAATTTTTACCAAAGACAAAAATTAATTTATTCATAATGTACCTGTATATAATGATTTATTCGAGTTTGTTGCAATTTAATTTGGGCTTCAAGCATTGATTGTCGATCGATTTGTCGTTTAATTAGTGTATCAAATAATTTGTTTTGTTCATTTAATTGAATTTGTTGATTTTCGACAAAGAAGTTTATTAATTTATCAGTTTGTTCAGACAACATTGTCACATTTTTCAGATCATTCTCTTGCTGTTGGTGAATGAGAACGAAAGGCTCCTGTAATGACTCGACTTGTCTAGTTATTGGCATAGTTGGAGTAGAATATTCATTTTTTTCTTCCACGTTAGCAGAAATTACTTTTGTTTCATGTTTAATATCTTTTTTATTCTTTGCAGCAATATCATTCATTGGTTTATTATCACTCTCAGATATATTTTTCTTTGCCCCTCCAAGCCATTCTGGTAAATCATCTGGAGATGATTGTAATTGACTAGTGGTTGGTTTTGATTCAGAAGGTTCAACCGGCTTTTCCTAAACAAACAAGAAAAAATTTTATTTAATACTGTTTTATTGTTGAATATTATCTGATGATCATTCTACAATATAAATTAATTATATTATACCTTTTTAGTTGGTAAAATATCGTCATATTGATACTGTAATCCTGACAATAAACCTAATGGATCACTTATGCCGTCAATGTTAGATTTAGGCATTTTTCTTCGAGGTTCTTTTCTATTAATACTATAATCACTAGAAATATTTATATTAGATGTTGCAGTAATAGTGGCAGTAGTTGTAGCAATTACAGTAGTTGGGTTAATGCTATCACTTGAAAAAGAAGGAGGAAATAATTCAGTCATTATTGATGATTTACTTTCATTACTTCTTGAGCGTGATAAACCACTCATTTTATCTCCAGCACTACTGGGTGTGAAATTAAATGAAAAATATTCATTAGTATCATCAAATTTATCAGATAAAAAAGAATTAGGCTTCTGAGAAGAACTTTCCCACTCAGTGTTTATAAAAGATTGGTATTCAATTGGTTTTTCTCCTGTAGAGCTTTTTAATTCACTTTTCTCACGATCAGTTAATAATAAATTATTACTACTTGGTTTTATATCATGACTATTTTTAGAGGGCTCATGTTTTTGACTAGATGATAAATTTCTGCTGTTATCGAATAGTAAATCATCCAAAATGTCTTCGTCAGCATCAATGCCTGGAAAAAATTAATTTAAAACGATGAAGTTATAATAATAATAGCCAGAAAAAAATTTGCAAAATTATACCTTTAAAAGACACTTTTTTCTGAAGTTCTCTGATATTTTCTTTTTGTTTTATTAATCTATTTTCACCTGTTCCCACAGTAGAAGGCTTTTTTACTGATACATCTGAATGACTTAAAGGCACTCCAAATAAATTTTTGTGAAGATCATCAAGATCTTCCATTATATACTTACTTTTGTACTTCTGTTCATTATTAATATTTTCATTTTGTGATAAAACATTCATCATTTTTTATTGATTAGCCCATATTCAATTATTAATAATAAATTTCTATTTTAATGGTTACTTGTTCTATGAATATATACATAAAAACTTTGGCGTCTTAGCAACATTTATACTTCACGTAATAAATAATACTGTCATTTATCAATAAAACAAGCATATTTAATATGTATGAAAAACTTATATATTATATTTGACATAAAAATCACAAACAACTGATTTGTTATTAAGGCTGGGCTGAAGTCAGAAAGTTTCCCGGAGTTGACTTTACGCCCTCGTGTTGTGCGGCAAAAGGCCGAAGCTTGACATCAATTGAAATTGAGTAGGTAACAGAGAAATCGTTCGAAAAATGATAATTTTCAGGGATGCACTACAAAAAGGGAGCCTTAGGGCACCAAGAAATTTACAAATTTTTGAATAATCTGTTTCGAGCAAGACAGAGCACAGAATATATCTATCTATCTCCGTCTTATTTTTCAGAGAAGACTGCGAGTTCGAACAGTTGACGAGCAAGCACATTCCCCACCCTCTGTTACCAAGCCTGAAGCTTATGATATCTAAACGTAAACAAAGCAAATGAAAATATGTTGGCTCTGTAGTCAGAAGGTTCGCCAGTTATTTTACCGAACGGTGTTCGATTCCAATTGCGGCAAAATTTTTTTTTTATTTAAATTGCATGTAATTGCAATTTTATCATGCCAAACATGAGTTTTAAATTTCAATTTTTATGTAAAATTTTTTTTTCAATTAATCAATGACAAATGAGAAAATATTTGAACAGGGCCATTAACCTTTTTTTGTACAAATACATTGATAATAGCCTTTTTTAACAACTTATTAACAATAAAAAATTGTTTAAACAATCCGCGGCGAGTTCCGATACTTCGCCGGCAAGCCCCCACTTTCTGTGCCCAAGCCTGTAGCTTATAATTTTCAAGCATCGTTTATATAATTGGAACTATAATAGCTCAATGGTTAGAGCCCCGACCTTTTATTTTGCTGGGCAGGGTTCGATCCCAGTCATAGGCAATTTTTTTTTCTGTTTCTTGTTCAAGTGACTTTATATACTTATAAATCAATTCATATATTTGATTAAATTATTCTTCCAATTAATTACGGAGAACAACTTGTTTTTCTGAAAATAAGCTGAGGGTGAGGAACGAGTTACTATGAATTCTCTTTTTTAGAAAATGTTGTCTTTAAAAGACACTAGGAATTGATTTTGAACTTATACAAACAACCAATTATTGTATTTATATAAAATTTTAATGAAAAAAAAAAATTGGCTATAACTGGGATCGGACCCTAATCGGTAAAATGAAAGCTTGGTGTTCTACCTACAGAGCTAACATATTATCTCTGACATCATGTTTATGTTTATAAATTGTATAATGCAGGCTTGAGTACGAAAGGTGGGGATAGAGCTTGCCGGCGAAGTGCCGGAAATCCCCGTGGATTATTTCAACTACTTCTAAATATTTCTAAATTGCTTAAAAAAAAGCTACGTTCATATAGATATAGTAAAAAAAGTGTTTATAACCCTGTTCATGTTTTCCGACTCGGCGTCGATAAATTACATAAATAATTGAGAAAAAAAAATCAAATCGTTGGTAAGAATTCATTTTAGCATGTTAATATTATAATTACATGCAAATCTAACAAATGAAAAAGAAAAAAAAAACTTTACCATGAATGGAATCGAACCCTGCCCATCAAAATGAAAGATCGATGCGCTAACCACCGAGCTATTATGATTACAAAACATTTATATATGCTCAAAAATTATAAGCTGCAGGCTTGGGCATAGAGAGTGGGGGGTAGAGCTTGCCAGCGAAGTGCCGGAACTCGCCACGGATTGTTTAAACTACTTTTCAATGTTGATAATAATATGATTAACTTGTTAATAACATAACATTGTTAATACATGTAAAGATGTATCAAACACAGGCTATTATCAATGTATTTATACAAAAAGAAAGTTTATGGCTCTGTTCAAATATTTTTCGACTTAGCGTCAATAAATTCAATGAATAAAGAGAAAAAAAAATCAAATTGTTATAAAAGATTAATTATAGCATGTCAATATTATAATTACATGCTAATCTAACGAATAAAGTAGAAAAAAAAAATTGGTTATGACTGGGATCGAACCCTGCCCGGCAAAATAGAACTCTGACGCCCTAACCACATGGCCAGCATAATCTCGATATTGAGATAATGTATATTTGTTTTCACACTACATGCTTGGATACGCCGACTTGGAATTGAGCTCCCTTATTAACATTTATACCTAATAAAAATGATAATAATGGATGAATATATGTATTTGAAGTTATTTGCAGGTATTATATTAATTAATGTTAAATGAGTATCATCATTTTTATTTATCCTAACTGCAATAGTCATCAAAGTGTAGGGCATTGTAAAGTGATACACTATGTTTACATCACATACATATATTACCCGTACACACACATACAGAATTTACTCGCCAAAATGCAGGGCACCATCAGTTCTGGATACGGATTGAGCATTTTTTCAATATGGATGACTGAGGTCATCTGCGAGCATAATGCTGTCACCTATCAGAATTTTTTCAAACTAATTTTCCGGAGAATATCATCTGGAATACAAGATTTCTAATTATTTCTAAATTATTCAATTTTATACTATGAATTGATTTTTTTAACATTCAGACAGGTGGCAAGGACTGACGCAAACACGAATTTTGGGCGAAAAACGTATAAAAATGAAATAATTAGTGATTTTTCATCTGAATGATGTGGCCGCCATCTTGAAATTTAAGCGCGGCAAGTCAATTCATAATTTTTTCATTATTCTTTCTAATTTTTTTAATAAAAATATTCACTATATACAAAAAATTGTTGTTTACGTCAGTCCGGCATTAATTCCTCTGTAATTTGGTACCTAATTTTATAGAAATAATTGTAAATTGGCGAAGAAATTAGAAATTTCCCGATCCCATGTATTTGGATAGGGGGAATCAGTCGCCTTTCTGACTTCAGCCCAGCCTTAAACCATAATATAGTCGGACTGAGAAGAGAGTTCCTCAGTTGCTTCAATGCTTTCGGGCTCCCCACCACTGATTTTCTACCCCTTCTACCATGTTTTTTACTACTGCGCAAGCGTACAAGAACACATGAAGAACATCTGAGGAACTCTCTTCTCAGTCCGACTATAATGACATAATTGTATGCTTTGTTTACATGTCAAACTGTGGCGACACAAGTGCTACCACCACTCCGGTATACTCGGAACGCGTTGCGCATGCTCCATAAATGTGTAGCGAACACGACTATTGTTTCCCGCGCAAAAACATAGCGAAAATACATTTTGTAGCTTGAAGGTTATCAAGCTAAAGAAATCAATTTAATATTGTGAATCAAGAGACACGTTTATTTTAGTAGTGTCTCGAGCGCCAAGTATGAATAGCGGTGACGAAGGCACTACCGTGTCTCTATTCCACTCAAATTAGCACTTTTGAGGTTATGCTCCTTTAAATTTCTAATTTCTCTGCAATAATGACATAAACTTTATTAAAAAATCTTTGAAAACCCCATTGATTAGCTACGACAATAAATTGCAATTGCTATTGTGTCCTGAAAATCATTTATTTGCAAAAATAAAAATTGGCTACACCCCTTGGACCGCATTTTAAGTAAAAAGAATCTTTTTCCTTAAAAGTACGACTTTTTTTTATAAAGTTGGTACTACCATGAAGTTGCTGCATGACTATAACGCCAAGTTAATTGTGTTTAAATAAATTTTTATAAAAAAAGAGAAATTTTGTTTTTAATTCAATTTTTTTTTCTATTTTTAAAATTTTAAAACGTAATAAGGCTGTCAACTTTCTTCATGTATTGAATTCTTTTTTCATCTCATTATAAAGAGTTTGTCTTTGATTTATGTAGAAAATTACATAATAATTTAACGAAAATTAAAAAACATTTCTATTTTATTTTATTAAATATAATTGATCTTTATGTTCAAATACTTGGCTGCAATGATTTCACGCATTTTTGTAGTTGTTCACATAAAGAAGTTTTATAGAGATCGCACTTGATGAACGATGATTATCGTCTTCGTTATTCATACTTGGCGCGTATTTTTGTGAAGTCCGTTAGGGCTATTTTTGGTGTGATAAAATAAATAGTTCATAATAAGTGAAAGTTTAACTGTTAAGTTTAAAGTGTCAGTGACTAAAATTGTCAATAATTATTGTAGTGTAAAAATTAAAATCAATATTAAACAAAATGAATGTGACTGCATTAACAGTTGTCCAATGGTAAGTTTTTTTTACTATATATTTTAGTACTTCGTTTATAAAATTATAAAATCGGGGAGACTACGGTTTCCGTGGCTTTACTTTACATCTACATGGCTTAAGAAAAACTGTAACCATTAGTGCAGCAATGCCTATGCGACAAAAAATTGCTAAAAACCTAGGTAAAAGTACATTTATCAATAGTTTAATCACTATAAATGAATAATAAGACCAAAATGAATAATTAATAGATAATAATTACATCACAACATTCGTTTAATCATTTATGTGAATTATTACTTCTGATTATTTAAAGTTTATTCATCAAAACTATCATTGATAGTATTAATTATATAATAAGTTGAATCGATCTCAATTAAATTTTTTTCAAATATGTATTCAGGTTTGGAGTATGAAGTATGTACGCCAGATCAATTAGAAGGAAAAAAATTCGATTTTGTTATTGATTGCAGTGGTTCTGCATCAGCTATAGAATCTGCTTTTCCTTTACTCAACAATCGTGGAACCCTTTGCATTTTTGGAGTCGCTAATCCTACAGCAACAATGAAAATCAATCCTTTTGAGGTATAGATTCATTTATTATTAAACAAATGTATTTTAAGATTACAAGTATTCAATTTTTTTTTTGATTTAGGTATACATGAAAGAATTAAAAATTTTTGGAGTCAAAGTCAATCCATTTACATTTCCAAATGGATTATCATTAGTACAAACTATGGGAAATCAATATCTTAATCATGAAAAATTGGGTATTCATGTTTGTAAATTATCTGAATACGAAGATGCCATACATGCCTTACGTGAAAAACAAGTTACAAAAGTGATATTTGAATTGTGTTAATGATTAGAATAAGTAAAGTATACTTATTATAATTATTAAGTATTTTATCTAAAAATGTCTTTGTTGAAAGGTGATCGTTGATATTTTTCAATTTGTATATGTCTTACTAATATGAAAAAAAGGATTTAAAAAAATATTTTCATAAACATAAACGTTGTTTATTGATAATTTTTGTTTAAATGTGAATTCTGAGGTGTCATAATGGGCGTTTTTGCCATGAACCTTTCACTAAAAAATCATTTATTATGCAATTATTATTGCTGTACACTGTCAAACTTTAGCTTCCCCCCTGTATACCATTTTCCTCAATATTTATAAATATTTTTTACATGAAAAAAACCAATGAAAAAAACATAAGTTGACGGGAAAAATTTGAGATGATTTCAGCTCAGGGAAGCCCAGCCTTAAAGTATGTTCTGAATTAGCTGAAAAAAATTTTCTTTAATAATTTTACACTACAAAATTAATATTTTTTTTATTATTTCAGAACGATGTATTGATACTTTTCGTTAAACTTGTTGGGAAACGATCGTTACCTAAGTCTACCTTACTGCAACTGTATCGGTAATAACCGTTAATCCTAACTGTTAGAACATTCATTATTCAGTCAGTGAAGATGACAAAGGTTATTGTAACAAAAAATTTCCAACATCCGAGGTTTAAAAAAGTTAAAAGCCTGAAGATAATCTTTACAAACACAATAAACTATTAGTCGACATATAGAAGACATATTGATCGGTATTCTAGATCAGGGGTAAACAAACTTTGACTTTTACGGAGCACCAGTAAAAAGGTCTATCTAGAAAAATCTTATACCTCTCTCACTTTTACTTGCAGGTGTAATAGCTCTGAAAATTATACCTGAAGTGCCACGTTTACCCACCTCTGCCGTAACCACTCTTTCGGTAGTTTGACTATAGAAAAGATACACTCAAAAAACGATGCACCTCAGTCTAAGTTACTTTCGAACGACGACACATTTGATCAGTTAATTGTCATCAAGCTGCGCTGAACTGACGAAGAACTCATACTGAGAATAATCATCAACCACAATTGTTGACATAAACAAAATTTAATTGAAGATCAATCGATCTGTACGTATTTTTTTTAATTACTAATGTTTTTATATATTTTCACATTTTCATAATATGAAACGTTTATAATATTTATCATTTACAGGGTTACAATAATGCAGTGGTTGATTGCGTTGATATTCCACTTCGTGGTAATGCGCCTATTGAAATTGCCTTTTAACTTTCAACTTGATTACAATAACTTAGCGCTGTCGCCCTTTTCAGATAAGGTAATCGAAGTCATCCATGAGGACTTTTTTGACGTTAGGAAAAATTTCGGCAGAGTTATTATCGTGAATAATAACTTGAGAAAGATAGAACCGCATGCATTTGATAAAGTAAAATATGTTAACATGATTGATTTGCGAATGAATAACTTGACAAGTCTACCAATAGAATTATTCAGTAAAAATAGAATGCTCAAAGTGCTTGATTTATCACAGAACAATTTTTTTATTGATTCATTCCCGCATGATTTGCTACGAAATAACGTTCATTTAACCAATTTTACCATGATACAAAATAAACAGGAAATTGTAACTTTACCTAAACGATTCTTTGCAAATTTGATTAAATTAAAAAATCTAAAGTTAACTGACATTGGTTTATTCTACGTGCATCAAAATTTGCTATGGGGATCGACCGAAATACAAGAGTTATATATAGACAGGAATAGACTTAAATCTATTCCACAAAAATTCTTTAGAGATTGCAGAAAACTGACAAAGCTGGTTTTAAAATGTAATGAAATCAGTTATTTACCTGAAGACATTTTTGCAACACTAACTAATTTGGAAATACTAGATTTGTCTTACAACAATATCAGACATATTGACAAGTAAGTTACATAGAATAATTTTTTACAACGAAAATACTAAACTTAACGAGTTCATCCGTCTTTTTTTATAGCAATCTTCTGAAAAGTTTGTCCTCTTTACGTACAATAAAAATGGAACATAATCAATTGCGAGCAATTGATCCCGAAGCATTCAAGGGCCTAAAGAGTCTTCAAGTTGCACATTTTTCGTACAATAATTTGACATTAAAACCATCAGAAATAATAGACAATGATGCGCTGAAAATTACATATGTTGATAAGGATGAACCGCACTCTGTATTACACTTTTGTAAGGATACTCTTGAAGAACTCTACGTTGATCACAACTTCATTACCGAAGTCTTTTCTGACTGGATCACAGCACCTCGTCTTCGGATTCTCAACTTAGCCCATAATGGAATTTCTTATCTACAAGTAAGTTTAATTTTTCATCATTGCATGAAATACGATACATAAGTCACTAAAAAACATCAAAATATTTCTAATTTATTTTAGATATCAGAATTGCAATTCTCGTCGAGTATAATCGAAGTAGACATGTCACATAACGAAATTCACCGGGTTGATTTTCAAGGTGTTGAAAGGTTAACTCCAGAAAATCTTGGTAAAGTGACAATCAATATACAAGACAATCCTATAAGATGTGACTGTAAGCTGAATGTCTCGTTGAAGTCCATCGACGAGAATATTTACCACCCATATGTACTACATGATGAAAATGTATTTAACCTAAAAGTTGATAATTTGAAATGTCATCGACCTGAATCACTAGAACATGTTAAGATCAACAAATTGAGCTCTAAATCTGTAACTTGTGAAATGATCGAATCACGAAGAAATAATATTTCATTTCCACAAAATTGCAAGTGTATAAGAAGTCTATCAGATGAATCAATTTTAATTAATTGTTGGTATCAAGAACCAACTACTGCTCCAGCGTTTAAAGTTGACATTGAATCATTAGAAGTCATTGATGCAGGATGTTTTGACAATAAGGAGAAATTCGACAAAGTTATTATTGTAAATAAGAACTTGAGAAAAATAGAACCGCATGCATTTGATGAATTAAAATATGTTAAAGAGATTGATTTGCGAATGAATGACTTGACAAGTCTACCAATAGGATTATTCAGTAAAAATACAATGCTCCAAGTGCTTGATTTATCACAGAACAATTTTCTTTATAATTCATTCCCGCATGGTTTGCTACAAAATAACGTTTATTTAACCAATTTTACCATGATACAAAATAAACAGAGATTTATGCATTTACCTGAACGGTTATTGGCTGACTTAGTTTCTTTGAAATATATTAAGTTGACTGATACAGGCATTCTCACAGTTCCAAGGGACCTCATATGGAATTCAAGTAATCTTGAAGTATTCCATCTGGACAATAATTGGATACAATCTCTGCCGGCTGATTTCTTCAAAGACAGTAAAAAATTAAAGGAGCTAGTCTTAAGTTTTAATGTAATTGATAAGTTACCTGAAGACATTTTTGCAACATTAACTAATTTGGAAATACTAGATTTGTCTTACAACAATATCAGATATATTGACAAGTAAGTTACATAGAATAATTTTTTACAACGAAAATACTAAACTTAACGAGTTCATCCGTCTTTTTTTATAGCAATCTTCTGAAAAATTTGTCCTCTTTACGTACAATAAAAATGGAACATAATTACTTGCGAGCAATTGATCCCGAAGCATTCAAGGGCCTAAAGAGTCTTCAAGTTGCACATTTTTCGTACAATAATTTGACATTAAAACCATCAGAAATAATAGACAATGATGCGCTGAAAATTACATATGTTGATAAGGATGAACCGCACTCTGTATTACACTTTTGTAAGGATACTCTTGAAGAACTCTACGTTGATCACAACTTCATTACCGAAGTCTTTTCTGACTGGATCACAGCACCTCGTCTTCGGATTCTCAACTTAGCCCATAATGGAATTTCTTATCTACAAGTAAGTTTAATTTTTCATCATTGCATGAAATACGATACATAAGTCACTAAAAAACATCAAAATATTTCTAATTTATTTTAGATATCAGAATTGCAATTCTCGTCGAGTATAATCGAAGTAGACATGTCACATAACGAAATTCACCGGGTTGATTTTCAAGGTGTTGAAAGGTTAACTCCAGAAAATCTTGGTAAAGTGACAATCAATATACAAGACAATCCTATAAGATGTGACTGTAAGCTGAATGGCTTGTTGAAGTTCATTGATGGAAATATTCACCACCCGTATGTACTACATGGTGAAAATGTATTTAACCTAAAAGTTGATAATTTGACATGTCATCAACCTGAATCACTAAAAGATATCAAAATCAGTGACTTGAGGTCTCAATTGATAGATTGTAATTTTAAAACGTAACTTATGCTGAAAATGATGTATTTATATGCATTGTAAATAATAGAAATTTGTATTGATTACATTCGTAATGGTGTTTTTATTTGGATTATTCTTATATTGAACTGTTAGTGATTGAGGATGCAAAAATAAGCCATTAGTTATTAATATCTGATATTCTATTTTATTAAAGAATGTTTTTTGTTTTTCACTGATACATCTGAATGACTTAAAGGCACTCCAAATAAATTTTTGTCAAGATCATCAAGATCTTCCATTATATACTTACTTTTGTACTTCTGTTCATTATTAATATTTTCATTTTGTGATAAAACATTCATCATTTTTTATTGATTAGCCCATATTCAATTATTAATAATAAATTTCTATTTTAATGGTTACTTGTTCTATGAATATATACATAAAAACTTTGGCGTCTTAGCAACATTTATACTTCACGTAATAAATAATACTGTCATTTATCAATGAAACAAGCATATTTAATATGTATGAAAAACTTATGTATTATATTTGACATAAAAATCACAAACAACTGATTTGTTATTAAACCATAATAATGACATAATTGTGTGCTTTGTTTACATGTCAAACTTAAAACATTCAAGTAGTGACATCTACTGAATGTAAATGTACAAACATCATGCTCCGAAAAAGTCGATAACTTTTATTGGAGCCCTGAATGAATTTTTTGCGGTTATAGTTTTTTTTCAAAATAAATGATCAATTTTAATAATAACAATAATAATAATTATATTTTACAAATATTTATATTTCTGGAAACATCGGTCAATATGCTATGAGAATATTTTTGAATTTCTATGCGATGGATCGAATCGAAACATGAGGATCTGATCGAATTTACGAACACAACGAACATATGATTTCGAGATATATAGACACGTCAGTCAATGCGGCTAATAAAAAACAAACGATACGTATCTATGTTCTGTGAATGATTTTATTATTACATATATATGTCGCATGAATTATTTAACATTTATGTTTTGTTAAGGAAGACATTTAGTCACACAATAATATTCAATTTTCTCTTGTATGCGTACATATTAGTGTAAGGAACTGTGCAGTGTTAAAAATAGCAATACATTAACAAAAGTGAGAATTTCTGTGTCAATTATTTCGTTTTTTATTGCATTTCTAAACAGTCCAGGTTATTATAAGTGCAATAGTCGGTAAACTATTTATCACTGAATCACTTTGTTGATGGACAATTAATATTTATATTCGTTAATTTTTGATATTCGATTAATATCTGGTTTATATACCTCTCAGTACCTGTATAAATAAGCAAACAAAATAATACAATGGCTAAAGTTACGTTCTCCCCACGTGCCTGTAGCAAAATAATTTTACATGCTGCTAAATATCCACATTGTGCCATAAATGGACTTCTCTTGGCTAAACAAAAAAATAAGTCTGAAAAATTAAATGATTTGTTTATTGAAGATGCTATTCCACTTTTTCATCAATGTTTACATGTATCGCCAATGGCTGAGATCGCTCTTACCTTGGTAAATATCTTACATGACTCTTAAAAAACTACGTGATAGAGTTTTTAACATTATTTCTAGTAGTTAATATTTATAATTGTTTTTTACTCGCCAACAGGTAGATCACTTTGCAGGACAAAATGGCATGGTTATCGCAGGATATTATTTAGCCAACGAATTGCTGCAAGATTTGAGGTATGTTCCAGTTATTTATTTTGAATGGCAAGCCTCCAATGAAGTTATTCATTTAATGATAATTAACATCACAGTACAGATAAACCAGCTCACAGAATAGCTGATAAAATAGCTGAAACTTTTGGACCTGCCTTGATGGCAGTAATTGATAATAAAGAATTCAGTCATAACATGCCTGCAATGCCTCTTCGAATTTTACAACATTCCAGTGATGGCAAATGGAAGCTCAAGGATAAAGCAGAGTAAATTTCATTATTCTTTTTATGAATATGTCATAGTAAATAAATGTGATATAGGTTTATTTAAAAATGTTCATTTTCCAGCATTCTCTATGAGGGAGGAGATGCTGTAACAGAAGCAATAACAGTTTTATTGAAAGAAAAACGATATGAAAATCTCATAGATTTCGATAATCATTTGGATGACATTTCACTAGACTGGCACAATAATGAATTGAACAAGATAATAATCAAGAAACTAGTTGATCTTCAATTATAAATTTAATAGAAAATTTTTTCAATGAATCCATTTGTAGATTATTTGATTAAAAAAATATTGGAATAATCAAATGATGTTATTAAAACACTTGCTATAACCTTGACACAAAAATTTTTTTTTATTACCTGATACATTATTATTTAACGGGTCATCAGCGCAAGGAACACATTGAATACTGTTCAATGTAAATGTTATTATTACAATGCCATACAGAAAATATTGTTTGCAAACCACCAGCAGTTTTAAGTACATATGTAATATATATCAGAAATTTACCATGAAATATATTCAATACATTTCATTTGTTCAATTTTTGTTTTTTTTTTTTTGAAAAAATATTGTATATAATATTTTTTCTCATATTCAAAATCCATGCACAAAAATATCTTTTTCAAATCGTTCTTTGACATTCATCAGTTAATAAATCAAATCATTATTTCATACAGTAATTCAATTTTCTGGTCCTCATGACTCTTTTTTCATATACAATTTTCAATTAAGTACAATAAGCAATATCATTGAAGTATCTTTTCATTTCCATTAAAATATATTTCATAAGGAACACCTCACACAGTAGAGGAATAATATTTCATTTGTGAAATAATTTTTTTAAGGTACAAACGGAGTTATTCAATTTATATAAACCTCAAACAAATTTCTAACTTTTCATAGAAATTAAAAATAAATGATAAACTTCAATAATGGTTATTAATAGCTTTAGATATAATGTTTAATAAGGATACTAATATTTTATATAATCTATTGTATATTGCTTACACTACTCTATTTGGTGCAGATATTTAGTAAATATGTCGTGAATAATAATTATTTTATTAAATTTTTATATCAGCGATGTTGCATTAGAATAGATTTAATTATTCGATATGTCCAATTGAGTGTCTTATTGCTCATTTTTTACAATAATTATTCATAATTTTTAAATGAATGTTCATTGTCAAATTGAATTTATGATACAATAACTAATTAAAGTAGATCACAGATTGAATCAGATTAGTGTATCAAAAATACCACATAATTAATTGATTTACTCACAATCTTATGCTTATTGTTATGTTTACGAATGTGTTGATACATGATACATGATACATACACATGTATATCGATTAGTAGGTATGTTATTTTGAATAATTTTTCTTCATTAACAATCTACATAGCACATGTACTTATGATGATGTCGATTAGTATAAACTACAACAGTAATAATAACAATATATATTACAAATTAAAAATTAATATTAATCATTTTTATTTTCTTTTTTAAAGAATTATTTATCGATTTCAATTTTTATATGAATATTATTATTGTTATTATTCTCATTGCTATTTTTTGTTATTATTATTTTTTTAATATTTCAATACCTTCTTCAAATAACTATCATTTATAAAAATTATGTTTCCATTTCATTGCTTTGAATATTATTGATTATAACTAATAGCTTTGAAAGCGATTTTTTCTTCTATAAATTTACAATAAAGAAATATTTTTCTTCTTTGTTGAAAAATTGTTTTCCATTTTTAAAATTATTTTTTATGTTTACTCATTTTATTCTTATTTTTTAACAATTCAAATATTCATTGTTTAATCCATGGCTGGCTATTATTTATTAATATATTATTATAATCACCACTAATATTAATTATCAAATTTATTGATTAATTAAATGCCAATAATTCTATGAATAAAATATCTTATCAAGATGTCATTATTCTATCAAATAGTCAAGAACTCATTAGGATATTTAATTGAGTTTCCTGTATAAAAAAAAATAATTAACTTATTGAAAATCGTACTGAAAATATTCTATAAATAATATTATAACATTTTATAGAAATTTTTTCTATTAATATTCAACATGGGTACATATGCGTTTAAACAATTATTGTTTATTTGTATTTCATGTATTTTTAATTTATGTTACTTTGGTTTTGTTTGCAACCTACGTTGAGTCCTTTGAATTCAATTTATTCAGGTTTTTTTTTAGCATTTAGAATTTAAATATTTCTTTTTAACAGTAATAATATTCAATCTAAAAACCTTGCAACGACCCTTATAATTTAGACATGTATATACAAATATAAATCTAATGTATGTAACAATGCACATTAAGCCATTATTGTATGTAATGTTTAAAGCATGGTAAAACCAACCATTTTTTGGACGGTCTTATTGAGATGATTTCAAAAAATGAAATTAATTAACTCATCTAAGTGTAATCTTGATACAAAAATTTCATAAATTCAATTAAATCAATTTTTATCATTATTTTAATATTAGTATAATCTACTGGCTTATAATACAAATCGATTAAAAATAAAATTTCAAAAAATTCCTATCAGTAATATAGTTTTTTTATCTAATTCGTATACAACTTAATATTAACTTTAATCGATCTTACATATTATTGTTATAATGAATACTGATATTTGTATACCAATTACCACTTGAAAAGACTGCAGATATTGCTTTGAATCTCCATAAAATAATTCAAATTTCAAAACAATTGAAAAGTTTACGAACGATACAATTCCAATTTATTTGCTATAAATAATAATAAAACTCTATGACTTTCAGAATAATAGAATTGTAAATCATCAAGATTATTGTAGACAAAGATGATATTTTATTCCATTATCCCATTAATACTTTCCATTTTTGTTGATTTTTTGAAGATTGAATGACCAACAAGTAAAGCTACATTTCGCCAGCGAAATTACTATGTCATATTGGAAGTGACTATCTAATTTATTTTACAACGGCGTTGTAAACACCGTTTACTAAATACCAGCAGTAAAAAAACAACCATGGCGTAATTTAATTTAATATTACCTAAGACTATTTAGAACTTCAATATCGTTACGTTAGTGAAGTTGAAGATTCAGATATAGATGAAGATGCTGAGACAGGTGTGAGAGGTAATTGATGGGAAGTATTATGCATTCGTCGGGGCCAGTGTTGTGGTGATACTGGAGGGGTCGTTCTTGGTGTTACAGGAGCTGATCCAGCCATCATTCTCCAATTAGCATTCCTCAATGATGATGATTGAGTATATGAAGTCACTGGCGTTGATCGGCCAATGGAACTTAAACTCAGGCTGCTTCCACTACTACAAGCAATTGCTGCCGATAAATCTCCTCTTGATACGGCTCTAAAAATAATAATAATAATAACAATATTAAATTAATGAATCTCTGTAAAATTAAATTGATTTTATACCGTGAAGGTGGAGCAGATCCTCCAGTATATGTTTGAAATCTAGCTGGACCACTTCTAGGTCTTGATGCAGAAACAACGCTTGCAGATCTTGGTAGTGCAGGCGATGGTGGAGCGGACGGCAAAAGTCGTGGTGTTTGTGGTGGTGTTCTTCCAGAGCCTGTACTACTTTGACTACCCGTTGATGATTTTCGTCTCAAAGTTCTAAAAGATGTACACATTAATTTACCACTTTCCTAAAATAACTCAAGTTGACAATTATTATTAATTGATTTTCGAACCTTTTAGATGGCTGCCTACACAATCCCGTAGGACACTGTCTACCCATAGCACATTTTCCCTCACAAACTTCCCGTGCTAATGCCAAAGTTTCATAATTTCTTAAAGTGACTCTGCAGAGTTCAGCATCTGAAGCTGTTAATGCTAGACTTGGAAATCGTTCTCTTAATCTTCTTCTCTCCTATAAATAATTAAAGTAATCAAATTCGTTATAAAATTTATTGTTGAGCTTATTCACTTATTTATTTTTCAGGATAATTAGTAGGATGAGTGATGTAACGATATACTGGTCTGACGCAAGTGATGAATACAGAAATGAAGCAAAGCGGAATACCGAACTAAATGTGTGTTAACTCGAATACGGTCAACCGGTCAATTGATTAATTGGCCCTTATTTTTAGTGATTTAATTTTTTTTTGGAATTTTAAAACTCTTATAGAGGAAATTGAAAATAAATATACAATAAATTGATTTATTTAAAACAAATAAAGATATAAATATATACAAAAATTTTTATAAATAGATAATGATAAAAATTCAAATTACCTCAGCTAAACGGCTTGATTCAAAATCCTGAAGCTGTTGTTGGAAGCCTACATTAGGATTAGCAACTGCTCGACCAACTCGTACAACTTTTAGTGCTTCTTTCCAAGAAAGGTTTGTTGTGCTCATGATATATGCAACTGCCACTGTAACACTCCTTGACATGCCTGCCAAACTGATATAGATAAATTTAATAAAAAAAAATAATTTATTTATTTGAATTAAAATGTCAAAGGAGATATTTATCATTCATACCAGTGTATAAGTACATTTCCACCACGTAGACGAGCAGCATGGATGAAATCATTACATAATGAAAAATATTGGGAAAGATTTTGATCTGGTGTGTCCGCAGCCAAAATACATAGATAGTGCTTGTCCTTGAATCAAAAATATATAGTATTAATATCGATTGGTATTAGTACTGATATAGAAAAAGATGAAATATAATGAAACATGATATGCATGCGATGAAAAAACCAGTTGAATATGGAAACTGATTTATACCAGTGGGAATTAAATGGTGCTTTTATGATGTTGGTTGAGTTGGTAAAAAATTTATGATCATACTGTTCGTGACATAAAAAATGTACTGATGTATCTGCATGTATGTATCATGATGCTTGAATATTTGGAGTAACTAAACAATTTAAAATTCGAGTAAATGACATATTCATAAAAATGGCATTAATAAGATCCATAATTACAGAGTGAAGACGACGAGCAGCATCATGAATCGCTAAAATATGCGTAATTTCAAACCGTTCCAACTGTGCTTCATCTTTACTGTCTCTATAATTACCAACATAAAGACCGGGCAGGACCTGGTAAAAGTCATGAAAATTAATAATCAATAATAAAAAAGGTTCTTCGTGACAAGCATAAATTTAGATTTGATCTGATAGAAATAACATAATCTTTTAACATGCATCCAATACCCTAGAAATTTTCATCGACTTATTTCATATTTTACTTTTATTGAGATAATTTCACTGGTTATTTTCTACATTTATTATACCATATACTTGCCTTATTCATTCCATTCCCCATACTGTTATTTCAGACAATTATTTAAATTAGCTCAGTGAGCACGTGCACTTTATAATTTGATCTACAATAATTGATTTCATGCTCTTTGAAGAGCCCACAGGTCGTTCCTTTGTTGTCTCTCTCATTCTTCTTTTTTATAACTTATGTACAAATCGCTGATTATTATTTACTTGGTCAATGAGCATAGAATAGATATGTGTCATTTTGTATATCACCATGCATCAATACTTTACCCACCAACTGCAACAAAAAGTCATCATCAAGATAACATCATTATTAATCGTTGCTAAGAAGTACAATGTAATCAATAAAATATTGTTCTCAATCATCATGAGTATTTAGCTTTTAATGTAATTGTAGGTCTGACAAATAACATTTATCTATTAGTTATTGTTTAATGTCCTTGATACTTTAGATTCAATATAAATAATTTGATCGTGAGATATGTGTGAGTTGTGAATGTCATTTTAATATTAAATAAATATTGGAAATGAATAATTTAAAGTAAAACAGAATCGATCTGGCAAGTGTAAACAAATCCAATATTCATTTTTATTATTTTTGAAATCAACAAAGCCACAAACTGCACGTGTATACTAGGACATGTGAGTGATCGATTGAATTGTTGATATTAAGTTACACGTCATGTAACAATCCAATATGTAATATGGTCAAGTGCATCATATTTATTATATATCGTATTTATCTATTACAAGGTAATAATAAAACAGTTTATAGTCTATAAGGTAAAGATTTTGCATAAATTAGTATTAACCGTAATAAAAAAAAAAGGAATATAATAGATATACATAATAATTGTTGATGTTTAGCTTGGAAATGATACCGATTACAGGCTATTATAGATAGCAACTATCTATTTCACACATAAACCTAGTCATGCTTATTTATTGATCAACTCAGTGATGTGAAAAAAAAGATAATTTTTTTATGTAGGATGTTTATGTTATTGTTTGTAAGCCTTGATGATGATTATATCTATTATTGATAGAAATTGTCCTATTCTGATAATAAAAAAATAAGGAAAAATTTTTTTCTAACACGTTCTTAGAATAAATATTCAATGTTGGAGCTCTTGATTTTTATGGTAATTTTTTTTTGAATGCTACTTTGAAGTATTTATATTTTTATAAAAAACTAATGTAGTTTATTTTTTTACTTTTTTATATTGAGATATATTTTTAAATAAATTTTTCTGCAATCTTAGTATAATTTTCAGCTGAGAAAATATAACAATTTAGAACATGTTACCAAGATTTTAGATTATTTTTAAAATCAAATAATACGTTAAGTAACATTGACATACATTTTTTGCTCCAGTTAAAATCATACTTTTTTTTTTATAGCTTTCGAGTATGAAAAACAGTTAAAGCTTAAAACATTTTTCTTTCATCTTTTTCTTTGTATGTCAAAATTATCCGGATTATCTACAGCTTTAGAGTTCCATATATAGAGTGTTAGACATGTTACAGATGATTAATGATATCTGTCAAAATTTTTAATCAAGTTGATACATGATTTGATATCTTCAATTATTTTAATCTTGTTTTTTGGTCTTGTTCATATGGAGTAAGTTAATCCAATAACATATTTTTTTCCGAAATATATATGATACGTACATGTATCTAAATGTTTTTTTTCCATCTGTTTTATTTATTTATGCATACGTACAAATTTTATTCTTGGCTTTTTCTTGCTCTCGTTTCTTATTTGAACAATAGCTTTAGGCTGAACAACAAACCTGGGTTCAAGTGGTTATTGTCATATACACGAATAAGAGTAACGAGTATACAATAGATATATTTGCAGACTACATCTTCCCAACACTGTGATAAATAATATGTACATACATACTCAAGTCTAAAAGCTTAAACTTTAGAGACATACAATTTTGAAAAGACTGAACTCCAGGTCGTTTGGAATTTCTTGATATTGAGTTTTCACCTAAACATCATAAAACTCTTATTGTGTTGTTGTTGGCATAATTTTTTTTTTTTTTTAATATTTTATTAAAGTATTGAGAATCTGAATAAAATTGATTGAAAAGCTTAATATAGTAGTTATTTGATATTCAACTATTAACAATAAAATACTTGGAGATTTTATCAAACTCAATTATTGCTTTGGTTCTTTAAACTGTTTTTATTTTTTTGTATTGTATTGATGCATATTTATATCAATTATATCTTTGGAAAAAGTTCAAGATTTTATTTCATCAATTAGTCATGCAGAAAAGCTTCAATTCTCTGAGGATATTAGCAATAAACATTCATATCTACTTTCATAAATCAATGCAAAATGTATTAAAGTTTGCATGATAGCTTTATAAAAACTAGTCGTACCATTGTACATATTTAATTACAATTCGACATACAAGTTGTTGGAATTGAACAAAAGAAAACTTTTCGTTCAATGTGCTAATTTTTAAAATCTTCATTTTGACACAATTTACATGTAGGAGAAAATCTAAAAATCTTGTATAAGGCATTGAAATTTCAAATCAGCTGAGTTTTCTGCTTGAATGATATTTGAAAACAAAAGTTTTTACATAAAAATTCAATTTCCAACATTTTTGACATTCAATAGCTCCATTGAATTTTTTTGTTCTATTGAAATTCTAGTAAATACTTTCAATGTTTTTTTAATTCGATGTCTTTTTTTAAAAATTAAAAATTCAATGAATTTTTAAATAGTGCACATTAAATGATACTAACGCCCACGTTCATCAGTAGCGCAAGTAAAATCAATGAGAATCATTGCCTACCTCAAAAAATCTTACATTGCTGAATCACAATTCTGCTTAGCTTTCAATCCCATGGACATTTTTCAATTAATCAAAAGATCTCAGATATTTTTTAATGACATCAATTATAAAATGTATTATACTATTTCAGAGCAAAGTGTTCATGAATGAACACTAAATGGTTCAATTAATCACAGCACTGTATGTACTAGACTACACTAGATTGCTTCACATAACTGTTTAAATTGAATTTATATTGAAGTTAATTATTGAATAATAGTAGACGAAGAATCCTTATAGTCAATTAACCAATCTTTCCAATAAATTGTTGACAGTTGAACATGTATCAATAGCGCGTGAAATTAGACTGGCATTGGTAGCAGCTCCAGGTATAGTAGGTGATCGCGGCTATCGCGACCATTCTCAACTACTTGCGATTTAGCTGGCTTAACTGTCAGCTTACGCACGCGCCGCTCAATACACGATCCTTGTTATGACATACACCAGCTCATTAGCTTTATATTACAATATATCGTGTAGCTCTCCTGGCATGTTGATATTTCTTCACTGCCAAATGCAGATTTTTCTTTAATTATGAAATAAAAAAGTAAATATTTATCATTATAACCAAAAAATATTTTTGAAATAAATAAAGCAAGCAATGATTTAATGGTTATGTGTAATACTTACCACCCATATTAATGAAAAGCTTATTTATTATTTATAAGATCATCGTCACGTAGATGCATATTTTATATGAATTGTAATATGAAGTGGAAGGCTTCTTTTAGTGCTTGAAATAGACTGAACTAATTAGGGCAAGCTCAGTTACATGTTCCAGGTTTTTTTTACTAACCTTCTATCATCGATAGAATTATTTATTGAAGATGTCTTCTATCACCTTATAGGTACCATTCAGTTCATCTTCAATGCTGTGCTAAAAATGAATCTAAAGCTATTTTTTGAATTACCATCAGGATATTAAAGTAATTTCGGTCATTGATTTTTTTGAAAGCCATATTCAAGTTGCCGTTGGTTACGATTCTACTTTTTAAGGAAGTAGTTGTCATGATGGGTATGAATATAGAATTTATAAAAAGTTTAACTAAGACGAAGAACCGCATTGGTTATTGTAACTTTGCCAGATCAACAAAAATCATTATCACAAAATATACTGAGCCAAATGTGATGCTAAAGTCTGATGGCCAATTTTATCGATTTAATCCAGCTACATAAATAAGAATTGAACCTAAAGCTATAAATCTTTCTAAAAGCGAGATTCCGATATAGCATTTTCAAATTTCCTTTGAAATAGAAACCTAGAAAAAAGAAATAAATACGATTAAATGTTTTGTGGATAAAAGACCTTGAAAATATTTTTTATAAAAGTTCTTATCTTACTTTCAGTTTATAATTCATTTCACCATAAATTTAATTATTTGTGTCAATTAGAGACAAATGTTGTATGTCTCTAATCATTATTGTCATTAAAATAATTATTTATAATTTTGGAGCACTCCATTTTTTTTAGCCTAATAAAGCATACTTTTAACTAATTTATTTCAGTAGAAAACATCAACAAAAGAAGTCAATAGACATTGTTATTGTAAAAATTCCCAGGTAAAGTAGGATTCAAATATTGCGCGTCAAAATTTGTACACCTACACAGCAATAGAAAGGTTATATATTAATGTACAGAGTAAATAAAAGTAATAGCCACGGTGTGCGCAAGATACACCGTTTATATTATAAGTATGAGTGAGGTGCATTGTATTAACGATAAGCCAACACATTTATACAGACTATATAAAATACAGAATATATAAATGTGCAGTCTCCATCACGCACACATACCTCTACTAGAGGCAGCTAACCTGCTAGTGACTGCTAGCCTACAGGTAGTTTAAAAATGGCTGCCGTGAGGTAAACTTGGAAGCCAAGTGCGCCGAGTGCGTTGGCATTTTATTGTAGTTAAAATATATGGTACTTAAAACATATACTTATTATGTGTCTGCTAATATCTGATATGTAGTGTTCTCGTTATAAAAGGAAGATACGGTCAATTAATTGGTTGTGAATAAATAATAATAATAACAATAGAATTATAACGAAATACTTGATTGTAAATAATTATAAGTAAAGTTTTATTAAGAATTGCAAGACGACGAGTTAATTAACTAGTATTTTTTCTTTAAATTTTAGTTTATTATTATTAAATTTCACTTTCTTACTTAATTTTTACCGACTGATATATCTATCGATTAAACTCTACAATTGGGCTCTCAGGCTGCTAAAAAATATTTCAAATAACATCATGTGAAATGTAGAATAAAACAAAGAACGTTGATAAAGCCAATCTACTGTTCAATGAAATATTGTGCGAGTTGTGCGTTCATTTCCACGCCATGTGTTTGAAGGAATAATTCTTAATTCAGTGAGTATTGCACTTTGAAATGTATACTTCAAACTATTCACAGTGTACATACATGTATGTGTCTCCATATGAACGAACATGACATTAATTATTGTGACCTACTGCTGAGATCCCGGAAATGCCAGAAGAATTTTCCACATCCGTTGATCAACTTTATTTAGCTGTTTCTCGTAGATATCTGTACTAATTTCTACGTTCTTTGATTTTTTTCTATTTTTTATCATCGATACGGTTGATTAGCTTTAAAAAAATTACTCTAATCCTACCATAGACAAGATAAGAATCATTAGCCAATGTCTAGTGTAGACTTTTCATTGCAATACTGCGACAAAGTAGAATTTTACATGTGAGAATGATAAAAATTATTCGATAATACTTTCTATTAATAACGGCTACATTGATTAAAAGGATTGCGTAATTTCATATCAAGTATACAAATTACATTTCTCTAAAATAATGCATCATATATTCATATGTTATAGATAAGTTTTTTTGCAATTTATAAAATTTGATATTGCATAACAAATAGGATTTGTTGGAAATTTTTTAACTTAAATTAATGGTAAAAATTTTAAAATTAATGATAGCATATTCATATTGTGCTGTGATAATGTCTAACTAACAAGTTATAATGCATTGATACCGAGAATTGAGAATAATTTTAAATATTTACAGTATTCTTATCCGGATAAAAATAACTAAACAGGTGTTATCGCTTTAATAATTGATTATACTGTATGGTAGTCTTGTTGAACAATATCTTGATATCTTGTTTTTTTTTTTTTTTATGTCAAAAACTTTTGAACTTTTATGTGAAAAATAAATTTCATAAATTCATTAATCATAAAAATATTTAAAAAGTAAATGAATATTATTCTTTCAAATTCAATGTAATATTCAAGAGTGCTTTTTAAATAATTGCAGCACTTTTTTAAAAATTTTACTGCACACATAATACTTAGTCGTTCTCGTGATGTCATATAACATAAGTAATAAATTTTTATTACTCATTAAAAGTACCAGTCAAATAATTAAACAATTTAAAATCCACAAAGTGGGAAATAAATCTTGTTATTTAATGTTTTTATAGAGATTGCAATAAAATTAATAACGATAGTAATAATATTTACGAATCGACCGCAAGTGTAATGATAATTTATGAAAGATTAATGTGATTGATTATTGCGATTAATATACATATTAGTTATAGTGGTATAAGTATTGTTTTTACATATGAGCTTGGTCATAAAAATAAAACATTTGTGTAAATATTGTCTTATGTCTCGGGGAAGAAGAAGGAGAAAAAACACACACATACATAATCCGTTGACTTGTCAGGTAGATTTGAAGGTATACCTGCAGCTCATTCCTCCATGTTTTTTTTTCCATTCATTATTCAAGTTAGGAGAAAGGAGAAATATGGTTTTCTGGTATTTTAAAAGTAGAAACAAAGGTATTTTTAAATAATTCACATACTCATAATCTTATTACTAACTAAACTTAATCATTATCAGTGATCTTTGTTGTTAATAATGTACGATTTCACTGTATTAATCGGTAATAGTAACGGTAATTAATGTCTTATATTGTGTATAAATACTGTTAGGGTGATGCTATAATTAATAAATATAAACTAAAAGAGTTTTATAAAAGCTCAGACAGATAAAGAAAACATAATTAAATGCTAACGTTGTAAATGACTATTATTTTCAGGTAAATATAGCTGTAAAAGTTACAAACACATCGCCATGGAGCACGCAGATCTAGTCGCAGAGATGGTGCATGTAGAAAGACTGACAACACAAGACAGATTACACCTTGCTCGACATCGCAGGCTTCAGCAGCTCAAAGTTTGGCGCCAAAGAGAAAAAGAATGGCTACGTCATCAAGTACGCCACTCAATTAGTAATAAAAGGCATATTTACTTTGATGATAGTGTCATGTTATTAGAAGCTGCATCTAGAAATGACATTGATGAAGGTAAAGAGCTCAGAATAAACCATAATGATTTAAATTACTACTATCTTTAAATAAACTTCATGGTATCATTTATGATCATTTTTATATTTATTAGTATATTTAATTATTAATAATTATGAATTATCAGGCAGATTCTTTTATTACTATCATTATCTATTTTTGTAGTAAGAAGGCTGTTAAAAAAAGGCGTCAATCCAGATTCAACTAATGAAGATGGTTTAACTGCACTTCATCAATGTTGTATTGATGACAATGAAGAAATGATGAAGTTGCTCGTAGAGTTTGGAGCAAATGTTAATGCTGAAGATAGTGAGAAATGGACACCTTTGCATGCTGCTGCTACTTGCGGTCATTTACATCTTGTGCGGTATTTAATATTAGCTGGTGCTAATCTCCTTGCTGTTAATGCGGATGGTAATATGCCTTATGATATCTGTGAAGATGAAAAAACTTTGGATTGCATCGAAGGTAATTGATAAATTCTAATTACTACTTTAATCAATTATTTATTTTATAAGAATACTCCAAAAGCTTGATTGTAATTAATCTAGGAGAAATGGCGAGTCGAGGAGTTACTCAAGAATTAATTGATGAAACTCGAGCATCTACAGAAGTGGAGATGCTACAAGATATGCAAAAATTAGTAGCTTTAGGTGAAGATTTGGAGTATAAAGATCATCAAGGAGCTACACCTGTACGTATAAATAGTATTTTTATATTAAATTTTTTATCTCGTTGAACTTTAATAGAGATTAATAATATATATATTTTTTTAGCTTCATATAGCTGCAGCTAATGGTTACCTTCGAGTGGTTGAGTATCTTCTAGATCAACATGTCTCGACTGATGTAGAAGATAACGACAAGTGGCAGCCAGTTCATGCAGCAGCATGTTGGGGTCATGTATGTTTAAAGCTTTTTAAAAAATATTAATTGCATTAATAATAGTCCTATCATTCATTTATTACTTTTCCGTGATAATATTGTTGACAAATAATTATTATATATTTTTAGTTGGAAGTTCTTGAGTTATTGGTGCAAAACGGAGCAGATTTGAACGCAAAGAATAAGCATGATGAGACGCCTGCAGGTATTATTTAGTTCTTTTGTAATATTTCTGAGAAAGATAAAAATCTTCTTCACATGGCTTTGTTCATTGTATATGTGAATTTTTACAGATATTTGCGAAGATCCCGAGATACGAGAACGAATTGTCGAGTTGAAGACTGAACAGGAAAGTAAAAAATTACGAGAAGCACAAAGTAAACGTGTTCGTCGATCACAAAGTATTAATACTAGAACGCAAAGTGTGAGAAGAACATCTATTAGGGACAAAGTACTTACGACTAAAAAAGATGCTCAAGAAGAAGCAAGGTTGAGGCTACAAGCACAACAGGTAATTTTTGTCTCTATTTTTAGTAAATAAGCTTTTAAAAGTAAAAGTATAATAGAATTAATTAATGATGTAATGTTTTTAAACTAGTTCTTCCGTTCAGAATTTCTTGGAAAATATTTAAATCATGTATCTTCTTATTATTATCATTTGTAGACGTACGTCGCTCCCACAACAAAATGTATGGAACCACTGCCGTCTGCCAATGGCACAAATCTTCAAGACAAAACGTCAGATGAGTCAGATTCTGCTGCATTAACACCAGCTGTTCGTCGAGGTCCTGAAGGAAAAGACAATGATTCTTTTCTCCACGAAGACGTAGACAAAGATTCAGGTATACCAACGTTTCTCAAGCTTTTTTTGCCTGTATATAAATATATTGGTTATGGTGCGGTAGGAGGAAGTTGTGGTGGTGAAAGGTAGCTTATGTCAAGTTCTCAGGCCGACTAGTCATTGATATTAATCTGTTAAAATTGAATAGGAGACAAAGAACAATATGCACAAATTTATATTAAATGAAAAATCGAAAAAGAATAAGAATAAAATAATTAATATGATACGTACATTATATTTATTCATTATAATTGTTTATTATTTTGTAAATATATCATTTAATTTAATTTATTAGTCACCATTCATTTACCTGATGTCTTACTGGTTTTTTTTTCTATTTCATCGATGCCTGTCCCTACAACACTCTTCTGAGGTCAGTTTTTTATGTGACTTTTTTATTTCTTTAATTGGTGATTTATCATTATGATTAGAATTAATGAATAATATTAAAAAAAAAAATTAACTCAAGTATTTCTATCTTGTTTCCATCAGTGCGTATCTCTTTTCCAGTTCCCAAAGATAATTTATTTAATTATACATATTTTTAACTAATAGGTATTTTAATGATATGTGATTTTTACTTCTCATTAATTTTCGCTCGTAATTTAAGTTTATTATCTAGTGGTCGAATTTAGAACTTGTAGAATTTCGCATGTAATTATTTTTCATTAAAATAATTTTTTGTTTGCTTTATATTAAACAAAACTAATTTTTGTTTTAAAGATAATTGCTCTTTGCTTTCTATGTTTTTATATTATAATAATAATTCTTCTATTGCATGTGAAATATTTCAGCACTATCTTAGATTTATGTTAATAATGAATGTCCAGTTCACCAGAAAGATATTTTTTTTTTAAATTTTCAATATAGATGTTAAGCATTTTTAATGTTTGATATTTTATAATCAATTTTTATAAATTTATTAACCATATCAGTTTAGAAATCTGTGCATGTATCAAATATTAATTGACACACAAAATTTCAAAACTTTTGATTAGTATGAACTTGTGAGACGAACTTCATAGCACCCAACAAAGACAAGAATAACAAAAACATAGTTCATTTGCTTAGAATATCTTAGTATTCATTTAAACATTTGACTTGACAATCAACACAGGATCCGACTCACATGTCAACGGTCAACAACCGATTTATACTACCGAGAGTGATGCTAATGGCAAGATCAATATCCACGTGTCCGTAGTTTTCGTCAAGTCTCTGTCTGATCTGAAAAAACAACGAGCCCAAAGCCGACACACAAATCCAGCAACAGCAGCATTGGATCCAAATAGTAACGGGGTTTCAGTTCCTTCAATAGCTGATAGTGATATAACTGCAACTGACTTCCAACGTTTCTCTGGAAATACTAGTGAAATACTTGGTGATAGCCAATCTGAGCAACGATGTTGCGTTATAATGTAGTGTGAGTATTATTATGCAGTGTACGATACAGTATATAACGACATGGACTTTAAGATACTGCCTTATCTTATTTAATAATTAATTATTCATAATTCGTAGCTGTTTACTGTATACCATGTCTATTATTATATACTTGGTACATAACTGTATTCTATACATTATTAACTTTTGTAAATATTCCGAATTTTTAGTGCACGTATTTACAATTTTTATGATTATTATATGCAGTTATTTAGTGAATAGTACAGGATAAACTTTTATTCAATGAAATGATTCATTAAGTATTTCAGTATTTATTTTTAGATAATAAAAAAAATACGAAAATAAATACCAAGTACTTAAAATAAATTATACTTTGCATTTATATTCTAAGAATATTTAAAAAAATATAATTTTGTACGTGCATATTGGTGCATATCAATTTATTGAGAATTAATTTATTGATACAAACTAAGTACTTCTTCTGTTAATTGTATATATATATATATATATATTCTTTGATAAATTATTCGTGGTTTTATAACTTTTTTAAGTATTGTAAATGCTATTCAAGTATTGTTCATAAGGATGAATAGATCACAAATAAAAACAAACTCATACTTAATGAGAAAAGCTACAATTATTATTTTTTGCAATATAAGACTTGAAGAGAAAACATTTTAACTGAAATGATGTATTTTATTCTAATGTAAAATGGTGCGCTTATATTGTGATTACAGTAATTACATCGAAGCCTAAGAGCTATTTTTATTAAGTTGCTGGTGTAAATTTAATTTCCATAAAAAAGAAAAGACCACACACACACACACACGAAAATTGCTCATTATAAATACATTTAAGTACCTAATGGTATATGTATCCAATTTTATCAGCTGTATTCTATTGTATTATTAATATTACGATAATTATAATAATTATTATTATCATTATTATTGGTCCGGCTAAATGTAATTTGAATTAATTTATCTGCTTTCTTCCATTTTCATGATATGTGAGATTCACTTGACCGTCTAAATATTAGAAAATAATAATGATAATAATAATAAGAAATTATGGATAATATCGAAAATTAATTATTTTTGTTTTAAATAATATACTCAAATTAAAGATACCGTCACAAAAGTAAATGTCATCAAAATATCGACAATATAGTCAATTGTGGAATCAAATTGTTAGCATTAATGTAATGAATATAAAAAAATTTTAATCTTCAGTGGATAATTATTATGAAAATAAGCAATATTGAAAATCAAGTATTAAAACATTATGAACTACGAGAAAAATTTTAAACTACTTTAGATAGAATTATTTGAACATTACTAAGTGTGTAGAAAAATGGATATAATAATTTTTTATGAAAATTTCAAATAGTTAGAAATTATAAATTTATGCAACATACTAAATAGATCTTTTCATAGTTGTGATTTCTGAAAAATAAATTATAATACGAATTTTTAGTACACACTGAGTATTATGAAACTATTATAGAATTTAGACCACATTAAATTCAGATAATAATTTATAAAAATAATAAAAAATTAAAACAAGATTACTATTTATATTCAAAATATTTTATGATGCAAATTATGTGTGTTAATCAAATGTTTTCAAGTGCTAATCAATGGAAAGTTTTTCTGAATTAGATCGAATTATTTGTCATCTCTATTTAATGCTGCCAGTGAAGAACAATAGATAAACTGATAAATGAAATTTAAATAAATAATCTTTATCTCAAAAAATACACATATTGAAAAATAGAATTCAGTCTAGGGAGAGATGTTGAAGAATTATTGTAATAACTGTAATAGTAATAATAATAGTAAATCTATTATAAACTTTATTTTTATAATATAATATTGAAAACTTTTTACTGTATCTTTCAGTATAATAAATTACAGAAAAAAGTAATTAAAATGGTATAATTTGTGTTTTCAATTTATATTGTTAATGAAAAATGGTCTTTTATATTTTTACATTGTAATAGAAAAAGATAAGGTGGCACCAATTGATGTAACCGAGAATTGGCACGATGGCAACAGACTCACATTGTACTAATGGGACGACAAAGGGCCAGACGTTTTGTCTGATGCAATGTCATGATACTATTTCTCAAATTGATTTATTGGTAATTTATTATTATTAAAAATGTCTTATATTATATTCATCCTATTTTTTATCTTTATTACTTCTGTTGATATTCAAAGACTTTTAAATTTTTTTTCAATGCTAAAATTTACCCTTGATAAGGATGACATTCAGCTATTAAAAATGTTTTTTGAGTATCAAATTTTTAATCCATTCATTATATTACAGGTAAATTAACTGACGACAAAAGTATGTTTGATAATGAAATTTTATTTAATGTAAATAATACGTAAGCAAGTCAATTTAAATTTATAAAATGAATATACTTTTGAGATAATTTTTTAATTAAAGTATTATTTGTGTATTTACTCTTTGTTGATATAATTTTAAAATTATCATTTTATCAATATAGTTTTATATTTAAAAATATAAATCATTGATCTAATAAGAGTAAATCATTTTATGTCTTAAACACTTGCAATGAGGAAGAGAATGATGATGCCTTGCAGAGGGGATTGTGGCCTTGATGAAATATAAAAACTGGTAGTCTTGACACGCGATCATCAGTCAGCCCAAGTCCATCACGATCTGCTCACAGTTTCGATACATAACTTCTTTGTATTGCAGACCATTTCTAAACTTGCAGACACCAAGTATATTATCATCAACTATTTCTTGGCGGTATATTTTTATCTACTTTTTTACTTTTTGTTCATCACATTACCATTAACTACGGCCAACTTACTAAGAAAACCAGAACTACTTCTATTATCCTCTATGTAAGTTATTTTAATTGAATTTTTTTTACATCTTTAATTCAATATCTTTATTTAAATTAATTATAATTATTTATTTCGCTTGAAATTGTAATGCATAATATTACGTACGTCTTACTCGCGCGATCAATGATTTTGCACTTACCGTTATTATACCTTTTAAGTTAGTTTTATATACATACATACGTAAGATTAGACGTCATAGAACAAAATAACATATATGTTAATAAGAATCATAATGTTTTGTAGTACAGTTTTCTCAAGAGGAATAAGCAGATCACTTGGACCTTATTTTGGTGTTTCTGAAAATAAGTATAACAAAAAGAAGAACATAATGCCAGGTGAAATAGAAGAAACAAAAACAAAAAGGGCGACGTTTGGAATGGGTTGCTTTTGGGCATGCGATGCTCTTTTTGGCGTAACTCCAGGTGTAATAAGGACTTGTGTCGGTTATGCTGGTGGTACTCAACCAACACCAACATACAAGAAAATGTACGTCTCATTTCATTTATATTCATTGCTGTCACGATGATAGAGTATTCTCTTACAGTTCCCGCATGTCTAATGTAAATAAACACTAGATTAACAAAGCCTTTTTACTTTTAGTGGTGATCATACTGAAGTTATTGACATTGAATACGACCCGGAAGCTGTTTCATTTAATCAATTGCTAACTCTATTCTGGAATAATCATGAATATGGTTTAACACGAAAGATAAAAACTCAATATGCTTCTTTGATCCTTTATCATGATGATGAGCAAATGAGCATAGCGGAAAAATCTCGTGATCATGAACAACGTGAACGTGGAGAAGTCTTAGCAACAACTATTAGAAAGTTTGAAAACTTTTATCCAGCTGAAGAGTAAGTTTTTACAAATATGATTTATATTATTGTTTACTTCATACATCATTCATCAATTTTCATTCTTTTTTTAGCTATCATCAAAAATACCGATTGCAACTCCATTCTTTCTTGGTTGATTCATTAGGTTTAACATCTTCAGAGCTTCGAACATCTTCATTAGCTGCACGACTTAATGGTTATGTAGCTGGAGCTGCATCTATTGAACAATTTGAGAATGATCCATTGTGTCAGAGTCTTAATGAAAAGCAATATCAATATGTCAAGAAACATGTAATCGAAAATCAAGGCAATGGTCTTTATTGCTGATTTACAAAAAATTCACATTTGGTGTTCTTTATTGCAGTATTGTTATTTCCTTACATAAATTATGTATTTTTGACTAGGATTATTGTAAGAAATTTCTTAAAATTTCATTAAAAACTTGATGACCTCGTAAATGACCTTGGCCTAGGCACGTTGTCAAGGTCGTTAGTTTGAATTATTGCCATTTCTTTTATGCAAATACAATACGTTTTTGTCTAATTATTGTTATATTTTTTTAAACTCACCACATAATATTACTTTTAAAAAATTGAATAACGATTAATTAATTAATACGTTGAATAAAAAACTCGATTGTGAAAAAATTTGATTAAAAAATTAAAAATTCGCGCGATGATGTAATTAATGCGACGCTAATGCCATCTTCAGACTTGACACATGCGCTGTAAAAAGCGGCAAGTGTTTACATGTATCACATGTTTATAGATTATGTATTGTTGAAATTTAGAGTTAGTAAAAATAAGAAAGTAATTGTTAATAGAAAATGTTGAGAATTATTTCTACTTTGATAAGGTCTCCAATCGTTGAACCTTTATGTTCACGATTGAATCCTAGTCAGTTCTCGAATTGGAGATGTCTTCATTTAACATATCCACAGTTCAGAGATCCAGATAAAGAAATGAGAAGAAGATTACCGAAAAATCGTCTTGCTGTTGAAGGAGAGCATGTCGTAGATATCGATGAAGTTATTTCAAAGTTAGTTACCACTAAAATGTGATTTATTTTAAGTAAACTTGTATTACATGCTATTGATAAAATTATATTTGATAAGAGGTTATGATGTATTTATGTTTTTTCATTAGTTTTTTAATTTACCATATAATGACGTGATTTCTTTCAGATCCAATTTATTCCCTGATATGCATACACCTAATAAATTATTCAATGGGATTCCTTTCAAAGATGTTCCAGTAGTTACTATTAAAGTTTCTAAAAATAATACAATTATGACATTAAGAGATTCTAAAAGTAAAACTTATTTTACAATAATTTAATCTTTAATATTGAGATAATTACTCCTACAATTATTATTTTATTACAGATATGACGAAAGCCCAGAAAAGTTGTGGCACAGAAGGTTATAAAAATGCTAAAAAAGGAACAAATATTGCTGCTCAAGCAACTGGTATAGCAATGGCTACAGTAAGCGTATAAACATTATCATTTAATCGACAAAATTATCAAAAATTATACATATTTTATCAACTGAATAATTTTTTTTCGTATTTGCAGAGAGCATTAGAGCTTGGTTTTAAAACAATCCGAGTTTGTGTGAGAGGTCTAGGGCCAGGGAGAATGGTAAGTCAATGCACAAATTATCGTAAGTTTTCTACAATTAAAATAAAATTGTTAGCAGTTTTAACAATAATGGATTTGTAGGCTTCTGTAAAAGGTCTTGAAATGGCCGGAATGGATATTATATCGATTACAGATACCACTAGGGTAACCTGGACTCCTCTTCGTCCTAGAAAAGCTCGAAGAGTATAAATTTTTTATGAATTCAATAAATTGAATAATGATGATTATTATATTAATAATTAAAAAATCATTTTAGAATAAAATTATTTATTATTTTATGTACAAGTTGAAATTAATGTGGAATATTTCTTCCATATAGTAATCTTTTTGGCGAGGTTAATAAACTAGACGTTACTTATACATATAATACAACTAAATTTGGCTTGTTTACACATTAGAGATACATATATTAAATTGAGGACTAGAAGGTTTCAGTATTCATACATATGAATCAGTTTATCATATATTAAATTAGGAAAGTGTTTGTTGCGTGATCCAAGGAATGTATTCTGAAATGCGGGTATAAATTCCCGGAAGTCGTGGTCTAGCACAACCAACACCAGAGGAAACAACACCTACGACAACTGTACATTCGTCCTGGAGATGATTTTTAATCATTAAGGGGCCACCACTGTCAGCCTAAAACAGCAAAGAATAATATGATATTTATATCTAGTTAAAATTATATTATGATAAAATGGAATTTTTTCCTATTTAGCTAAGCCATGTATTTCATTAATTTTTCATTTCATTTATTATTTATTATTACTCGTCAATTTTTTATGTCCGATTAATTAACTTACCCAGCAAGAGTCATGACCACCAGCCTCATGACCAGCACACATTTGTTGAGCTTCTACACGCGTTTTTTTTCCTTGACTTTCATACCACTGCCTGCAGACTTTATTTTCCACCACGTTAACTTCTACTTTTTGTAAAACGTCAGTTCTTTTATCTGAAGAGAAAAGAGTTCTTATAAATATATAAAAATAAAAATATATATATTCGTTCGAAATATTGTATAAATTTAAAAAATATATTCGCTGATGCGTATAATTTATATTTCTATGATTATGAAAGAGGTGTTGAAATATTTACATTTTGAACGGTCTTCTCCAAGCCATCCCCATCCAGCAGCAATGGCTTGTTCATTATCGTATGAATTGTAGCCGTTCTCCCCTTGTGCTACTGGAAGACATGCTGGCTGGACAGTGTCTGACCAAGTTATTGGTGACTCTAGCTCAAGTATAGCAATATCATTCACGTATTGTCCACATATGTGGTCTGGATGAACAGTTACCCTTCGTACATTTTCCGTCACAGCCGCAGGAACCTCAGCTTCACGTAAATTATATTCTCCAAGCGTCACTCGAAATTGTCTTGCAGGAATAGAATTACTGCCGCTGAAATAAAAAAAAAAAACTAAATCAACTATATTTCTTCATCATTGAAAATTTTCTATTAACAGTTGAATCTACTTTTCATTATTGCGGTATACTTTAACTAGTTCAGCAAGTATAGATTTATTTCCAACTGTCAAGAATAAAATTGCTACGGTATATAGACTAACTATCCACAAGTAAAAGCAACAAACTAACAATAAGTCTTTCCCCAACTGTACGTATTAAATTGGAATCTTGTAAAAACTCATTTGAAACATTAAAACTGGATAAAAGTGTCGAGTTGTTGTCGACCCGTAATAAAGATACGGAACAGAAGTAAATGAATTGTATCGAGATGATTTATACAACTTATGTAACTTATACGTAGGTGAAAGAAAATGAAATTTTTTTGTGCCACAGAAACTTAATTTGGAACACGGTCTGATTAGAAATATGTGCACATGTGGGGTAGTGTAAGTCTTTAGAAGCTAGTAGATGTTAACGAGAGCTTTGTAATCCACATGCAATCATCATTTTGTTCTTGCTGAAGTCATGTTTAAAGATATACCGAGAGTAGAGTAGATTGAATATGTAGAAGTATCACAGTAGGTGGTTGTGATAAGCTCCAAAGTTAACCTATTGCTGAATGCGTTTGCTTTGGACTTTTAATTGTCCAGCGACAGTATTATGATTTTCTGTTATTGAATTTGTTCACAAGTTAGATGATTAAATCCGTAAATCTCTCATGTTTTAGTGAGTGCAATGAATAATCTCCATAGTATTGATAAATAATTCCTAGTCTACTTTCTGTTGATTATTCAGATACTAAATAATTAAATTTTAAACAATCATCATAGATTTAAATTGATGATGGAAAAAAGAAATGTCAAACAAAATACTAGGAATAAATAAACTAGCTGAAGTGATTGTAATATTATTACATGTAGTTTAGGATATTACACTCTCAACCAAGTTGAGAAATTTAAACCATTAATCTCAATTAATTCAAGAATAAATTGATGATATACTCACGAGCATAGGCAATGGGCTGCAGTAAGAATAAATCTTGAATTAATTATCGAACCACCACAGTAGTGTCCTCCTTTTCTAGTAATGCTCACCAGCCAAGGAAATTCATGTGGAAGTGCATCTTGACCTCCTACAACTTTTGGTTTTCGTGAATTGATTAATGTTTTACCACAAGGGACATCAGCAACTGCAAGTACAAATAGACGAATATTTCATCAGGAAATTAATTTAAAAATTGCAGCTTCCTTTATTTAATGGAAGATTGTTGGAATAGACTTGCAACTTTGTTGGTTCATTTTCAATAGAATATTAGCCAAAGGCATTGAACGTGTATGGAATCTTTTATAAGCAATTTTCATTGATGAAAAATATTTTGAGTGATTTTGGAAGCTTTATTAATGTTAGTAGGTATTAAAATCAGTTGATGATTATTTGGGTCGAGGAATGTGGAGTATAGCTATGAGAATTAATTACAAGCTTTTAGCTAATACGATGAATGTCGTAACATTATATTGGTGAATGTTAAGGAGAGATTTGCGGGTAGATAATTAATTATTTTATCAAATCTCTTGGATGAAATTCTGCGCACACTAAACTGCGAATAGATACGACGGATCTGTCACCACAATTCCGAGGTTTGGTATTTCCCCTTTCCCTACTACAGCACCAGCAGCATCCTCGTTTCACGCCTCGACTGATTAATTGAAGAGCCGCGTTTCACTTCGTCCCGTTCCCGCGTTAGCTTGAATCCGTTTGCCCATAGAATTCCAAGTCACCTCTATTCGGAAGCGCGTAATAGATATGTCAAATCCAGGCGGAACATGGTCATGATAATACGCCGATGCTTTACTAGAATTGCATGAATTGGAAACGTGAATATAATTTTCAACCTTTGAAAAATATATCCTTTGGATTATTATTGCACCTTTTGACTTCCCTCGTGATCCCATATTATATTCATCAACAGCATCAAATGTCCAATATCTATTTTATTCATTTTTTTTTTATCTTCACTTTCATCTTGTATATTATTACAATGTGTAGTGATATATCCCATTATTATCAAAAATTTCAATAAAATTGGAATCAACTGCGGTTGAGAAAATTATTTTTTGATCAAATTGGTAAATTATCATTCCTTTTACGATTTTAGTAATTTTCTTTTTTTTGAGTAAACAATTTTTTTTTTTAGTGGTTGAATTTTTTGTATTGAAAGTTAATTTTCTAGTTCTTGCATTCTCTCAATTTTTTCCGTATATTACATTGGAAAAAATTGAAGAACTCCGTCGGCTATTTTTTTATATCATCGATTAAATACAGCTTTTATTAGAAAAAAAAAAAGTTTTTTTTTATAAAAATAATTTCAACAAATTTCATTTCTCGTAAAACATTTTCATAAAATTTCGGAATTTATTTATTAAAAACACAGCTATTGTATTTTTAGAAAATAAATAAAAATGATAAATAAAACGATTTGACAAAGTTCTACACGATTTTGACATATTCTATTACCTATTGGTGATGTCTGTGACTGTTCTAGTTTAAAAGTAATCAACGAGAGTACCATTTAGGTACAGGTACAAGCTGAAGAATTTTACCTAACACCAGTGACAAGTATAAATAACAAAAATTTTTATCTATAAATTGTTTATTTATTTACTTTCTTCAAATAACAAATATTTGATATTAAAAAAAAATTTCATTAAAAAAATCGTTTATTTTTTTTTAAAAAAAACACAAATAGTTATAAATGTATATCTCTAGTAATTAAATATATAAAATACGATTTTTCCATTTAAATTATTCGAATGAATTCGACTAATTTTCATTGTTAATAGAATAAAACCCGGTCATTATTGTGCGCATTTAATATCGATTTTTTGGTAATGAGCAATCGGAGCTCAATGCGCTAAATATCCGGGTGTCAGGAAGCGGAAGTGACGTGTTTTTTTTTTGTTTTTCGTTCTTTATTCTAATCCGGTCGATATGTTTTACATACATAGCGAGCCAGTGATGCACTTGGCGATTGGCACCCGACGATAATTGTATTTATCGCTTGAGAGACACCGATCGACCTATCGTACATATACCGAGCATCACTACTGTATTTTCCATTCCGACGTTGTCAGAGTTAAATAAAATTATAGCCAATGCACGCGGTTAGTTTGAATTGTAAATTTTGTCATAGACGGATGGTTGTTGTATTCGCGTGTTCACGAAATTTCGATCTTCATCAAAACAAGTCATTTGCATTTTTCAAAATCCATGTTATGACTATTTTTTAATGATTGATAGAATCCAAATTATTAAATAGACTAATTAAATTTTTTAATTCAACATCTTGACAATCATATGTTAAACTGATTTATTAAATTGTTTTAATTGAATTAGACTGAAGTAAAAGAATTAAACTGAAAAAAAATTTATTGTTGTAAAAATAATACTGTACCCCTTAAATTAACGAGTTAATCTTTAAAATTTATAGTATTGTTATACAGAAATAATTTTTCCATTATATTTAAGTGCAAAAAATAACAAGTTTTAAAGTTTACAACTAAAAATTTTTATATCCAAAAATAAATATTGAGTTCTTGCCTAAATCGAAACAAATATATTTTTGAAAATAAATTTTATTTTAATAATATACAAAAATACGTTAAAATATAATTATTGAATTGATCTTGTATAATTGAACTTAAAAAAATTTATTATTATATAATTGACGGTATAAATGTATTTAATTATATTTCTATATATTTGATTATACAAGATTTGGCTGAACAATTATATTTTAATATATATTCTGAGAATAAAATATATCTTTTATAAAGTGGCTTTGTAAAATAATTATTTACGACCACTCAAAATTCACTGTTTAACAAAAATGTCCGTCCTTTATTCCAAGAGTACACTTGTTATTTTTTACTTACGGTTAGTGCAATAATTCTCTCTGTGTACTATAACAATACTTCACTTGCCCATATGATTAAGATAGTTGTAGCAGCTATCTAGATAGTTATTATAGCTATCTAAATAATTAGAGCAGGTATAAGGATTGCTGTGACAGCAATCTACTTTGGCTATACTTTGAATTGCTTCTACAACTATGAAATTTTTTTAGTGTACTTGAAAGAAATAATTTTTTTTCTACTACACTTATTCAACTATTAAATTATTCAGTTAATAATAACATTAGAGAATTTTATTCAAAGATAAACAAATATTTTGTAGCAAAAGAAATAAAGTGTATTAATTTTCCAAAAAAATGCAAAAATTAAAATACCCTTCAGTTTAGAACTTTTTTAAAGAGAAAACTTCCTTGTAAGTCAAATTAAAAAATAACGTGCACGATGAGATGTAAAGAGATGTAACGAAGAATGTAATGAAAATTCGTGCTTAATGGTGGATATTAATTCTAGTTTATTAACTTGCTGTTCTGTCGGGCGTAACAAATCCTACCCCCCCAGTTTTCTCTCGATTTGTTATATGTATATATATACACAGCGATTATATGAATCTACTACTATATAAATATATATTATAGTATATATCCTCTTGTTAAATCGCGTGTCCGTTGGTGAGGAAATACGGAATCGAAAGTTCAACAAGAGCTTTAAAGTTCATCTCAAACTTTATAAAAATAACCAACAAAGTTGAAGTGAAAAAAATAAAAGCCTAAAATGAAATAGATATTTACAGTTTTTGTAGCCAATGACCAAAGTTGGTGTTAATCCGATGATAAGAAATAGTACACAGACCATTTTCCTCTTGACTGGTTCGACTTATTATGGTGAACAGAAAAATTTTCACAGCTTCCTGACATCCACAGGTTCTGCTTTATACATCACAAACTTTCCTCCCACTCTTATTTCTCTGATGTATTATTATATAGACAACAACTAAAATGAAGAAAGAAAAAATAAGAGTGGGAATGGTCTTGAATAAATTCACTTAATGTGGTTGTATCTCTACTACTTGTTACCTTCTACCACCAACAAACTTTTATCAAGCCAATGAGTTGATGAATCATGGTGTCTATGTGTGTGTAACCAAAATTACCTGGTAGTGGTTCTCGTTAATGAGACATTACAATGTCATAAGACTCATGGGTTCAAGTACACTCAACTTATAATGTGCTTGAATAATTTACGTATTGTCAAAATTGTGTTAGGAATTCAATGAACGTTCTTTCAAGGCTCTTCTCTTTCTTTTTTTTTCTCTAAAAGTCCTTCATAAGTGTTTTAAATTTTCTCTCGCTTTTATTTCTATTCGTTTAATACCAAGAATCTAAGAATTTATTGATTCATTCATAGATATATATTTTTAATGGCTGAGAACAATTATTTACTACCTCTGGATGTTGGAAATCAGCAAAAATAAGATCAAAAAAATTACCCACTGAAACAAAAAGATAAAAATATCTTTAATGAATTTTTTATCTGGATAGAGGTACTAAATTAAATAAGAACATTGTGAAAAACTCACTAAAATAAAATGCATGGATTTCAGGTGTCATTGTAAATGTAGGTATTGGGTGAGTCTTACTTCATTCATGCTGGGTTCTGAACTTGACCTCCTTTCTGGTGCACATAATGCATATGTGTATGAACCAATAAGATAAAGCTTGAATTAAATTAATGGATTTATTAATCTGCACCAAATAAATTCAAATAATTTATTGTCTAGCAATTTATAGAAAATTTCATGTGTTTTATTTTTAAAAAATAAATCACCAATAAAGTTAAACTCTATTAGTTCTAGATTAGTTCTAGATATAATGAATTAACCAAGAAATCATTCGACCTATAAAATATTAGATAATTGGATTAATTCATTAAATTAAAGATAAATTAAATTTCAATTGAAACAAATTATTTACACAATTTAACCTAGAAACATCATTTTAGATAGTTTGATTAAATAATATTACTCAATATTCATTCAAAAAAAAAATCTTTTGTCTCAAGTATTAATATTAAAATGAACTTTTTTAAGAAAGAAATTGTAAAATTAGACAAGTAATGATGTCAATGACTTGAATATATAATTAATATCTAAATGTCTGACAGCAGTATTTCAACATCACTTAATTTTCAACCGAATAGAAAAATGTTTGAAATAACTCATAATAAAAATGAGTATTATTGAATTGAAACATTAACCATGACTATTGCTATTTCTATGATTCTAACAAAGGAAATAATATTATTTTGTAGAGTTTTAGCTTTGAATATAATTATAATTTTGAAGCTTTTAATACTTAATGCAGTTTCTTTTTCATGACAAGTTTATTGAAGCATGGAATAACGTGCATTTGTCGACACAGCAAGAGGTGACTTGTTGAGATTAAATTATAAAACTTGAAGAGGCATTAGGCACTCTTGCTTTTCTCTCTTTTTCTTTTTAAAGTGAGAGGATATCAATGAGACGTTTTTCGATGTTATATTCAACAACAATAACAACAACAACAACAACTGATGAAGAAAATAACTTTTCTTTAAAATTCAATTATTATACAACATTAAAGTTTGTTTCTTCAACTTTCCATAAGAGTTAATTAAATCCTTTCAAATCAACGAGAAATATATACATTAATACGTTGATTTAATAATAAGTACTTCAAGAATATTAACTAGATTTTCTAGAGACATATATTGAGGAATAACACAAGTTTTAAAGTGTGCAAGTAAATTTATTGTAAATGGGTCAATTAAGAATATTCTGATACATTTTTCAATTATAACATTTAATTACAGAAAATGTTTAGAAATTTTTTGAAACAGTTAATGGATAAAAAAAAAAACGTAGTGTTTTTGACATAAACAATTTAAAATATATATATGAAATAAAAATTTTTTTATGATTGAAAAATAGAAAATTTTTAAATATAAAAGAAATAATCAATAAAAAAAAAGTTGACATCAAAAATTAATTAAAAGTATAGATATTTTTCAAACTCATTTTATCCGTCAGTTGCTGTCAATACCAATAATTTCTATCGATTAACATCATCCGATAACTTAGTCAAGCAATACCTATTAATAATTCAATCCAGTAGCATTCAATCGAAATAATCATCAAAAATACACAATAGCAGATTTCCATTTACATTTGAATTTTTTTTTTCCAATCATTCATTCATTCAAAATGATTCTATAATTTATCTTTTATCTTTGATTTAATTACAATAACATAGTAAATAAATTTTTTTCAAGTAGCTTTTTAAAAGAAAAAAAAATTAATAAATAACATTGGAATATCAAAAATGATTAGACTAATCAAAAGTATATTAAAAAAAATGGAAGGATAATACTTATTATTGGGTAGTAATAATAATAAGTCGTCCTCGAGTGAATTCGAGATGATAGTAGCTTGAATGTCAGAGCGATAAGCATTAAACCCGGTTCCAACGTTGACCTAGTCCCGATAGCCTGGAAAAAAACGTTCGTCCAGGGTAATCGGTCTTGTTCAATAGTCGATCGACCGTGAGTTCATTCTGTATAATATAATAGTCTGTAGTTCGTACGTTCACCTCTTTTTCCCGTCAATCGAAAGAAAAAAGAGATTATCGGTGATTGATTATATTCTTGCGTTTATTTTTTATCATCTTTTTAGTATATAATATATATAGAGCATTCAAATCTTTGCAATCTTTCAATTATATAAAATTAAACTGCACTTTTTTTATATTTCAGCAGTATCAATAAATTATTTTATCGATAATGTATTATAGTGGTTTTGCTTTAATTATCAGTTTTTATCAACTAAATATTTCAGTAATTATTTTATCGTTAAATTTTATTATTTAATCTCTACATTTAATTACGTCACAACAATAGCAGGCACCGTACTTTATTATCTCTATTTTACCTTGGACGTGGCACATAATAATTGTATTTTCTATGTAACCAGCACGAATTCGTTGGCATTGCGTGATGCACCAGTTGACATTTACACTGGCCTTCAACATACCGATAGGTCTTCAATACAATTATTATACTAAATCAACTTTTTTTCTTTTTTTTTACCACACTGAACAAAACACATTTATCTGGTATAACTGGATATACTAGTGTTGTGTACCATAATAACAAAAAAATACATCAAACTCCCTTGATGTTTCATACCGAAGGGGTGTTTTAAAAAAAAAAAAAAAAATATGTATATATGTGTACATATAAAATGTATAAAATATAAAGTATCGATTTAATAGTGATGCCTCTTGGCAAGAGAGGCATATAAATAAATCAAACCTACGGTAGCGCTTTGGGATTAGGTTTTGTACCGGATGGATGCCCGGATAGAGAGATATCCATCAAAGTCTTTTGGAGAAGTGTATGAACCATTATATCCACTCGTTGGAGCGGTGATCCACAACTCTACCACATCCTTCCATAAATCTGTCTCACAATCAGTGTATATGATCCCATTGGATTTTTGCATTTTTTTTTTTTTATACCAATTAATGAAAATTAATGACTTTTGGGTGGTAATCGAAAGGATTTTTTTTTAATGTTTGTAGTAAATGGATTAAGAATAATTTACAATTAAATTTGAAGTATGACAAAATTTATTTTGATGTTAACAATAAATTGTAATAAAAATGATATTTTTATTTATTAATATTAAATTAGATTAAACATTCTATCAATAAATATATTTAATATGGTTAAAATCTATATTTTCAATAATGAAATTACTTTTAATAATTTAATAATCAATGTAAATAAATAAATAATTGTTTTAGATGAAGAAAAAGAATTTTTGTAGAGAAAAATAAGAAAAGTTGTTTTGAAAAACTATTAAAATCTTCTATATTTTATTGAATATTTTCATTAAAGAATAATTATAGATATATTTGTCTGAGTAAAGTTATGTGTCGTTTTAATCCTTTTTCACTGACATCGAGGCTTGGTAAACTTACGACCACTTACCCACGGGCGTACGTCTCTGCAAGTTGTTTGCTCTCGCTGAAGTAACATTCTACTCAGTTCGCAGTTAAATTGGTAAAGTTTTAAGTTTTAACGCTTATACCACCACCGTCTTACTATCGTCCAAGACCTCTAGTGCATCCTTGAGACGCTGCCACGTAATATACTAGCGTTTTCTCTTTTTGTTTGGCTCTCTCTCTCTTATTCTGCTTAAATTGTAATCGTTGAGGTTGCATCAAGCTGTGGGAGAACATGAGCTTCTTGGCGCCACCTCAACTTGAAGGAAGGAAAACCAACTTTTGACGAATTCATTATATGAACTAAGGGTGGTAGTAGCAGTAAAGATGGTAGAAGTAGGGGGTTAGTTATTATGTCGAGTCTTTGTGATAAAAGTGAGTCAGGGGATTGGCTTTGGTACGGATTCGAATAATCGCAGTGCTTCGATTCACCAGGGAAATGAAACTCTTCTCATTCTGCTAGCATTTCTTTAGGACTTTTCCGCGTATCCAAACGCGATAAAAAGGATCTCCAAAGCTCTATTCGCGTTGATATATATTATATAGCGTTAGCCTGAGAGACATTGTGTAGCTTTCGAAGCCTTTAAAATCTCCTAACTTCCTTTCATGGTCTGGAAATGAGAGCATTAGCATTTAGAGCGTAATTTTCTCATTAGTTGTGCGAGTGGCACTTTCGTAGAATGACCTCACGCCCCGGCAATCACCATTCGAGTCCTCTTGACAGTTGAAAAAAATAAATATTGCTGCCCTAGTAAGTAGAACACTTTTTCAACTTGAACATTTATTATTTTGTGCGTCCCAAATAAATGACAAGCGATTTCTTTAAACTTTTGAGTTAGACTTTGTATTACTATGTACATACACTATATCTATATAAGTTCTATGAAGACTTTATGTGAAGAAAGATAGCACAAGAATTATGGCAGGATTTAAGTTTCATCCTCACAACTTGCAAGCCTGTAATTTTTAGCTGAATGAGAACTTAAGAATTATTTAGTGGTATAGCTTTTTTGGTGGCTATATAAATACTCTAGGTGCTGTTAATTGCCCTCAATTCAACTTGATTTGTTCCAGAGAATTAAATAACTAAGAAAGAAAGGATATTCTTTGTCTTCCTGTGTAGAGAGCTCTAGTTGGTTTAGATTGGTAAATAGAGGGCGGTGTTATTGTAAAGAATAGCCAACAAAAAAAACTACGATTCGTTCATTGTATTCAAGTATACACCTCTATCCAACTATTCAAATTTATTGCTTTAAGTGTACGAGATTAATGTCAAATAATGTTACTTTTTGTAGCAATGAAGTTGCTTAGCATTTAGAAATAGAACGGAAATAAGTGGGTGTTGCACAGGGAATAAGGATTATTTGTTCTGGTAAATAAATACAATCTTTCACATTTCTCTTGGGTTTGGACGTATACAGTTTACTCCATAGCGTTAACACACTATCAAGTTTACATAGGTGTATAACATGAATTTCATGCTCTCGTTGTTATTATTATAGTTAATATTATTATACACATTTAATCAATACTTTGTTAAAATTCATTTTATAGTCTAGATCTTAATGTGGTCTAACAAGTACTTAGATATCCAAGTGCATGTTCATTTTTGTAGCACTCTCCACGCATCTTTATGCTTCGTGAAATACATTTTTAGTGTTCAAATCCCCATAATTGCTCCTAAAAATACTTTTGTTATTTTTTTTAATATTTTCTAAAATTATCATTATTTCTTTATTTTATTTTATCATTCATTTGTTAATGCAGCTATTGTTCCACTGCATAACCTGTTAAACAAAAACATGTCCTTTATGATGCTGTACATTTTTTATTCATTCATTAATTTAAATATTTACAATATTTTTTAAAATTGATGTTTATTCGACGGCACACCATTTTTCTAACGAATCTACATACTGAAATACTTTTTTTTTTCTTTTAATTACATCGATGACTTATTATTATTATTATTATTATTTATAATAGATTATGAGAACAATAAAAATGTTATCCTACATAAATTTGCATTTCACTTTTTGGTTCCACAGATTTTTCATTTTCATTTGAATAGTATTTTTAAAATGAATAAAATAACCTAAGTTACTTTACGCGAATCGTGTTTCATTAGTAAAATTGACTCGTCAATCGAGCTTCATGCAGTGCATTGAAAGGAATGAAGATAAAAAAAATTTCTACTTGTAAAGTAAAAACCTCATTTTATATGCAAACTCTTTTCTTTCAATATTAAAGTAAACCTTTTTTTTTATTTTTTTTATCAAATGTATTTCCCTCATTTTCATTTTAATAATAAGCTCGATTATGTTCGGAAAAATTGATGTATGACATTCTACATATAATTACCATCGTCAATTACAATGCAACTTCCTATTTTATTTATCCTTTTAGCAGCAATTATCAATTAATATTAATATATAACTTTCGCTTTAGTTTAATCATAATTTTTTATTACATTAAGGTAATGACTACTTAATTTTATTCTTATAAAGATAATAATAAAATTGTAACTATTAATAATTTTATTTTTTTTTTGTAAAGTTCACGTTAGTTAATATGAATCATTTATTTCTTTTATTACGTACAAATTGACTTTCCTTCTTCTACATCTTAAATTAGTAAAGATTAAAATTTTGTATAAATAAATACACTTTTGTGAATATCGTAATTTTATCTGACAAATAATATTATTTTAAATGTTAATATTAAATACTATTATTATTATCTTCATTATTGTAATAATTATTATCAATTGCTATAACAATTGTTGTAGAGAATTAATTACGTATAAATATATAGACGATTATGTACACATAAATCTGTAGTGGAGTTCATAAAAAAGACTTTATCTGTTTAACCTGTCAAAAATAATTAACTTTTTTTTATACAAATTAATTTCCAAATATTTTCTTTTTTTTTGTTTATTGATAATAAGAACAATGTCGCAACAAATAGATATTATAATTTGATACTAAAAATTCAAGAATTAATTATCAGAATAATTAGTCTATATATATTTTTTCTTAAAAAACATAAATATTTTAGTGTTCTGATAAAAAAATAATTATAAAAACTTAGAATAGTACAAATATTAATATATTAATTTGGCAGCGAAGGAATGTTTTAAGATAGTTTTTATACATAAGGAAAACTTATTTATCTAAATAAAAGTTTATAAAAATAGATCAACAAATCATAAATATATATTATCTAACAATTATTTACTGTATAATTTATACAGTCATTAGATTTCGCTTTGTCACGACAACATTTCGATTTAATCATCATTTTATTATTATGTAAATAATATGTATTTACTATTATTATATGATATATACATTATCATTTTATTATAAGGTAATTAAATACAACAACTTAATAATATTCCAACTTTCCGTTTCTATTTGAACGAGAGTATTTTATATCTGCTTATAAAATACTTGCTATAGTAATTGAATAGCAATATCGAATAAGTCGAAACAATTATCTCATACTTCCAATGAATGGTATTATATTTATTATCAAGAGTATTATCATTATTACTATTATTACAATTTAGAGAGTTATAGATATTTCTCTAGAGATGTAATAGATAATTTAATGGTACAAACGCATTCGTTTCATTGCGTAAAAATAATTTATACAATTATTTACACCACGTTGAATATTTATTTATTTATATTTGCTTATTATTTAAATTAATTATCGCTCGAAACTTGATGGTAAGGACAAATGATCTGATGGGCGGAAATTATTCTAGCTAAAAAAATCTTTTTTAAGGATAAATAAAAAGTAGATATTTTTTTCTAAAATTCAAGAAAGTGTATTTGAAAATGGAATTACAGAAGATTTTTTCACTTTTAGTGAGGTTCCCTTTTCGGAAACATTGATAAATGTTGAACAAAATAAATAGTTTTATGTGAAAAATTTATATTCTTTGCTCGTCTTTCGATTTTTCAACTACTTATCTACTGGTCTGTCCACTTCATGACATGCTAAAACTTTTTATCTCCTTCCATTTGCAAATTCCAAGATCATATCATCTATTTATATCTAATTTCAAGCACGTTCTAAATAAAATATTTCCATTCTTTATATCTCAGTAATTTTTTTTTTATCATTTTTTACATTTAAATAATTTGTAGTTTAGAACTGTGGTATTGTGGACTAATTTTTAATATCAATATAAATTTTTTAGCCTAGCTATTTAATAGCACATCTTCAATCTACCCTTAAAGTATTTTTTTAGCTAGAAAATCTAACTCATTAATTAATAATTACGTATAAAAATGTTGAATGACGATTCTCCTTTATGATTTATGGTACAATAAAATGTCCACATTTACGTTCAATCAGTCTTGAATAATGAACAAAATTTTCTTCTTCAATTAAAAATTTAAAATTCAAGGCTGGCGGAATTGATTATACTGAAAGACTATTATCTTCTCGACTCAATAGCCATAATTGCATAATTTCCTGTAAAATCAATTACGACTTGCGGATAGAGTGTCTGGAGGGGGTAAATTAAACGGCTGAATAAAGTCGAGAGACCTCGAGGTGAGTCGAGGGCGAAACTTGTGGTTGCGTTCACAAAGTGGTGTTAAATTAACGCCAGTGTGGATAGAAAGTGATGAGTGTGAGACAAAGGAGTAATACTAGAATGTTACATTTTGGAATGCAGTTACCACTGAAATCAGACGCACGTGTGACGTTTACTGACACAGATGCGTCAGCAACACCAGCAGGTGACCGAATAATCAACATCCACTCGCCTGCATGCGACAATTGGACGGCTTCGATACGTAGAATCGTCTTGAAACATGCTTCTGTTCCACCATCCTGCAACATTTATTTATTTATTTTTTTCAAAAATATAACACAACTGGTGAATCATAAATTTAAGTGTAATTAATGGAGAATCTCATTGGAGTTTGAAATGAAAAATAAAACATGAATTTTTAGCTGGATAAAAAATTGTTTTTGTGAATCTTTACCACTTATCCAAGGTGTGCACGTCGCTCTATCATCTATATACCTTACACTATGGTCTCGGACATGCCAACGCAATAAATACACCAAGAGACTGTGTATAGTGAAAAGAGTGAAAAGGATGAAAGGATGAAAGGAAGTAAAGAAAAACCATCCGATGAGATTTCCGTTTCATCACGTACGGGAATTTCACTAGCGGTTGGATATTTTTTTCTTTCATTTTGTTTTTTTTTTTTCCTATCCCTTGAAAAACAATAAATATCCAAGCTTTGTTCAATGTAAATTTAGAGTTTGAGGGATCAACGCAAATTTAGTTGTAGGAAATAAGACTCATAGTAGAATTTTTTCCAGCTTTTCATTGAAGTAATTCCTGCTAAATTCAAATTTACAAGCTATTGATTGCGGTATTGTTTGAAATTTCTAGGAGGGAATCCATTTTTATTGCATTTATTTCAGTAGAGAGGCTGAAGTTGAGTTTATATTGGACTGATTACTGAGTTGAATTTTCTTTTTCTTTTCAAAATAAAAGATACACAAAACAGTACACAATTAATTTATATTGTTTTTCAAGCTACAGTAATTTCAATAAAAATTATTACACCATTTTTTATTTTCTTCTTTGTATAAAAATGCATAAAATTAATTTCTCCTCCAATAAGGAACTTTCATTTTAATTTGAAAAAAAATATTTAAAGAATTTTATTAATCGTTTTTTCTGAAATAAATAATTTAAAAAGCAATTAAAATGATTACATCAAGTGCTAAAAAGCGATGTCTAAAGAGAGTTCTATAAAACTGAATGAAAATCATTAGGGCAGAAGAGCAAAAGGAAGGGAACAATCTTAGGAACGTTTGTGTTAAAACGAAGGAGTGAAGAGAACACATCGGAAGATAATTTACCTCGACTTCTAAGACTCGAACACCATCCCGGATGTTGCCGCCGGGTACGTAGACACTGTCGGAAGAAAGCCAAAGGAGTTTGGTGTAAGAAGGCTCTGCGCAAAATTCGACAGCGACTTCTAGTGTGTCGCCTTCCTCTGCAGACACTGACTGCACTGGTGGGTTCACCATTGGCTGACCTAAAATTTTAATTTATTCATGTTAATCCATAAATCTAATATTCCTCTCCGTATTTCACAATCAATCTACGGATTATGCTTCGTTATGCACGTTCCATAGTTTTAAATTAAATCCATATGTATCCTAGTTCACTTATATATACGATGAAGGACAGACAAATAGAGTTATGCTAGCTTGATATGTGCTTTGAGAATATTTCTGGCAACATTAACATTATTGTTTTACGTAATAATACATAATTAACTATTTGTTTTAATTAATGCTCGTTTATTTCTCACGTGTAATGATTAATGTCTTGATTTATTTAATTATTAATAATCATTTGTCACTTTAAGTGTATCATTTACTGTGGAATGTTGGGACAAACTCTGGTTATATCACTGTTTTATCAAAAATGATATTTAATTTTTAATTATGCGCAACTTAATTTGATGAATTGTTCTATTTTTTATTCCTTCAAAGCAAGTTGTGATATTTATTTTGTTTATGTAATTGAAGACATCACAATTACTTCCCGTATAAAAAAATTTTGTTACTCAAAGGTTCCTCGAATGTTTAAACAAGTTCCCGTTTTACCCCATTTTAGGAGTGAGATAATGGAATTTTCATATGTTTGACCTGATTCCGCATTTCTAGGCATCAAGACGAAGAGAATGAGTGGTCAAACTTGAAAATCGGACAACTTTGATTTTTCGACCCCAAAAAATGGCAAGTGGTACCCCTTTCCATTTTTTTAGGCCAAAAAATAAAAGTTCTCCGATTTTAATGATTGAGGGCTCATTCTCTTCGTCTTGATGCGTAGAAATGCGGAATCAGGGCCCAACCCAGGAAAATTTACTTTAACACCCTTAAAAAGGGGTAAAACTGGATATAAATTACGAATGATCATCCCCTTGTCTTTAAACCCTAATAACTCATGAACCGACAGTCTAATAACCGATTTTAGGGACGTTTTGAAAACCTCAGAATCTAAGCTAAACATGCATATCAATAAAAAATGTTTAAAAAATTCCTTTCATCCTCAAAATCGCCATAAAACTTGGCAAACTCCAAAAAATGTGATATTTTTATATTTTGGTGATTTTGAAGGTGAAATAAATTTTTTAAACATTTTTTATTGATACGCATGTTTAGCTTAGATTCTGAGGTTTTTAAAACGTCCCTAAAAATGGTTATTAGACTGTCGGTTCATGAGTTATAGGGGTCTAGAGCCAAGGGGATGATCATTCGTAATTTGTATCCAGTTTTACCCCTTTTTAAGGGTGTTAAAGTGAATTTTCCTGGGTTGGGCCCCGATTCCGCATTTCTACGCATCAAGACGAAGAGAATGAGCCCTCAATCATTAAAATCGGAGTACTTTTATTTTTTGGCCTAAAAAAATGGAAAGGGGTACCACTTGCCATTTTTTGGGGTCGAAAAATCAAAGTTGTCCAATTTTCAAGTTTGACCACTCATTCTCTTCGTCTCAATGCTTGGAAATGCGGAATCAGGTCAAACATATGAAAAATCTATTATTTCACTCCTAAAATGGGGTAAAACGGGAACTTGTTTAAACATCCGAGGAACCTTTGAGGAACAAAATTTTTTTATACGTGAAGTAATTAATTATCAATCAATAAGAAGGAATTTTATTTTTTTTTACTATTAATGTTTTTCAAATTATTATCAATATAAAATTGATCAAATATTTATGTTCATATATTAAATTTTATAATTATAAATGAATTTCAAATTCCTCATTTGATTTTTATGAAATTATAATGAATAAAATAAAATATTTAACAATGCTCATTTATGGAGTAAATGAAGTAATTGGTGGAATTAATGAATTGCTTTTCATAGGATTCATTAGTCTAGTTTTTATGATTTCATTTCTGTATTAATATCTAAAAATGTATACATTATAAATAATACAAATCATATTGTATAAATTTATAATAAAATAAATAGAATATTTATTTGAATGTTACTTCCTCATTAAATCTTTCTACTTTAGGGAAGAACACATGGAATAAAAGCATAAGATGATTAGAATTTACAAGAAAAACATTAGAAAGTTTATAGGATAATTGAAAAAGTTAGGATGCACTTTGACTAATTGGACTTGGGAACGTGATGAGTTGCTATTCTTATAAATACAAATAAAAAGTTTCAAGTATAATACAAATGTATATTTAATTTTTAAATTAAAAAATTTCACTTAAAATTTGCTATTTAACATTCTAAAGTAAAATATTCTAAATTTCTATCAGTAGCTTACATTGAAGTAACAAAAATTGAAACTTTACTGAATTTACAATAATTAATTATGCAGTTTTCGAAAATAACTTTGGAAGGCATATAGCTATTCAAATAATTGTAAAAGTTATCCATGTGTACATATGTATATACTTTCAAACAGTTTGTGAGCGACCTATGCTACTTCTCATCTGCATGGATTTGCCAGTTGGTGAGGCCTGTTTTCTGACCTAGACCAATTCATCTACACCTTATTCTGGAAATGGAGGTATAGTAGTTACGTGAACACACCATTTTAACGTGAAAGTCATTCATGAATATTCCTACGCAAAATTATACTTGAATATCCTGAATGCCATCTCTAAAATACCTTGAGAGATGAATTGTAAAGCTATTGGTATCATGTGTCTGTGAGCAAATATAGTTAGGCTTTTATTAAAATCAACATTCAATTAAAATGAGTTATTATAAGCTCTCCTGTCACCACTTTAATTTTTTTTTTTATTAATAAAACAAAATTTTCAGCTTTGTGATTATCATCATCATCATCATCATCATCATCATCAAAAAGTACTAAAATCAATGATGCTTTTTATTTATCCAATGTTTTTTTTTTTGATGGATCTAGTTCTTTCACTGAATGGACAAACACATGAGCATGCAAATCAATTTATGTGGAAAATCATCAAAGCAAATGAAATTAAAAGCTATTACTTCTAGTTGCTTGAGTCCTTGGAATGTTATTAATCAATCCAATCTGATGATCAATTTCATAAGCTTATGATCATACATAAAAATTAAACAACATTTATGAGTATGATTCTTTTTTTTCTTTGAAGGGAAACAAAATAATAATTATGAAAACTAAAATATTTATTTTAGTAGAAATATAAAACTGATAGTTGATGTAATAAAGTGACATTTCCTTGTATTTTTGAACGGAAATGTGTGACTATAACTAAACTTTGAAAGTTGCAAAATGTCTGTAAATTTACTTCTTTTTGGCAACATGTAGGTATTGAATGTTAGCCAAGAAGAGCAAACTCATTGGTGCCGTTGATGAATGAGAGAAAAAAAAGAATGAATGAAAATGGAATGATGTTATTTTTGTGATGTTGAAGCTAATAAGAATCATTGCTGCATCGTTTTAAGATTTAATTATATTAAAAAGTAAAATAGAATTTGTTTTCTTTTTGAATTTAATTTACTTCAGACTTATCTACTTAATATAACACAGCTCTGAGCTTGTTTATTAAATACACCAGTTTACAGCAAATAAGTTAACTGGTTAATTCAATTTCAGATATTATCTAGCTGAATTTTAATTCGCTTAATAATATTTTATTATTATCATTAAATTTTTATGTTTAAAAATCTCATTGAATAATCAATGAGTTAAATAAGAATTCATTTGAAATATTAAATAAGGATTTATGAATATTTTTTTCAAATCAAGCAGAATTTTATAACATCAAATCAAATATTTCAACCATCAGAAAATTTTGTCTTTTAAAAATATAATTTATTAAATAGGTCAATATTTATGTGCATTTTCTATCAACAAAATTTGTATACATTTTTTTGCAAATAAAAATGTATTATTTATTTGAACTGAAAAAATTTTTCTCATCCATAAAAATTAATTGTATTTTTCAAAATTATGAGCAAAAATTATAACAATAATTCAACGTTACCAGATGCTCATTAAAAATTTGATTACAAACGAGAATACCAAATTATTTATTTTTAAAATGGATCAGTGCTTCAAAGTGGATGAATAACCAATTTCAGTACCAAGAATGATAAATAAATTTAATTAATAACAAAATATATGATTACATGAAATAAACCAATTTTTAATTGATTAATATTGTAAAAAAATCAATGAAATTCAATAACCACAGTTAAGTATTTACAAAAATTTATTCAACGCTCAAAATTGCAGGTTGAATATAGGCAAAAGATGTAGATATCATCAATGTTCATTGGAAACTAACGATAATGTTTCTATTGTCTAGTCGGATGCAAATGTTAGATTGTATAGAGAAGCAGGCACGATTCTTGGTTATCTCTCCATTGTTTGCAATGTTCATTAAAACCTTCTAAATAAGTTTGCTAGATTTTCCTGTTGCGATTCTCTGAAGTGACAAAAATGAGGGAAAATTTGATATCTCATTGAAAAGGTTCATATAATACATGGTTGCATTTAAGCAAAATTTTGATTCATTTCCTTATCTCTAAAGTAAATAATGATTCATCTATGACCCATAACTTGTGATAAAATAACCGCAGTTCTATTGTGCAAGAAGAGCTATGTACATATTATTCTGATCTATCATTTAGCATGTAATATACAGAATCGTATGTTGAGTAAATATATAGATACAAACAAATATCTGTATATTTGTGCATGGAAACACATCTATTTAATGCATGTATATCTTATTCCAGGTCGTCAGCAATGTTGAATATGAAAGCTACAATCCTAGAACTAGGACATTGCTTATTTCTCTTTGTCTCTTACCGTGTAATCTCTAGCGTCTTTCTTCCCATCCTTTGTTCCTCATGTCATGGAAAATGTAACTGATCTTCAGGCGTTACTCTAGTCTTGGAAACTCATATGTATACAACGTTGATGTTACGTACACATTAAGTATGTTCATGACATAGTTGTAGATGAGTTCATTTTGCTCAGTTGGTCAAAAGTCATAGTTGATGGCAAAAATGTAATGGTGAATATTCCATAGAGTAAACTGGTGCT